AAACTGTCTCTCTTCCTCACTGCCCAAAGTGGTATAATGATTTTGCTGCAATGTGTGCAGAGGAGTGGGAATATATTGTGGGTGTAATGACCCAGCCAGTAGATTGTCAGGTATCAAAAATGAGTTGGAGGAAATCAAAGACAGGGGGCGGGGGGAGTTGGTGTCATGGGGGAAGAGAGGAAGGATGTGAAAAAGGGGGCAGGCAGTTTTATCAACAACAACAACAACAACAATCTTTATTACGGTCCAGAGACCCAACAAATCGTTACAAAGCAATGCACAATTCATACAGCCTACCTCCAGGTTAAACAAGCATTTTGTTCAGAATATAGGGATCATTGGTTCTTGCAACCACCGATAAAAACTTTGCCACTGCTAATGTTCTAGCATTTGTCCGGTCTTCCAATAGGAACCTGACATAGTGAGCCTCTGATTTTCCTGGGAAAGGTACCAGCAAGGGTATTATCAGTTCAGCCCTGGCTTGTTGATATTTTGCATAGTGCAACAAAATATGTTTTATGGAATTGATGTCTTGAGCACACAAGCAAAGTCTGTCCTGGTAGGGAACTCCTCTCAACCTGCCATCCAACACTGCAGAAGGAAAGAAGTTTTATCCAATCCTTCACCCATATATTATGCCTGCTGTGCATATATCTCCAGTGGCCACATCAAAGCAGATAAATATGAGAGCTGACACAATTGCGCCTGAATTTGATGTGAGTACAATTGTGCCCTCTTTAGTAGGGACTTTTTAAAACAGTACATACCGGTATGTTAAATGCACCAAATGATCCGTGGGCTTTTGCTACTAGGTCTCTCTGCCCTCTAATGGGCAGAACTAGAATTGCACCACTTTTCTGGCCTGCTGTTTGTTAAATTACTTCTGCATCACACTTTCTCAAGTAGTGTTCTGCATCCATTACAAAATATATTAAAATCCTGTTTGGCACATATAAATATAAATATCGAATGCTGATAAGATTTACAAACACAGTGCCATTTCTGTATAAATTTGGATAAAATAAAATGTGCTTTTGCTCCTATCCAGTTGCCATTGACGTAGGAAAAATAGCTAAAGAAGCTGAAAACCAAGACCAAATAAACCAAATGAAGACAACCTAAGAGATATATGAACCTTTTCCTCAATTTTGCTTTTTAATCTGCTCTCCTTTTAATTTGCTTCTGCTGTTATTCCCCTCTTTCGAATCCCTTCTTTCCTTCCTGTCAAATAAAGCATTTTTCTTTCCTCCCTGCACTGCCTATTAACCCTATTTCCTGAATTTACCCTATCTCTATTTTTTAATTGTATCCAAGTATTTTTTATAATTGTATCCAAGCATTTCTTTGTAATTATATCCAGGTAATTCTAAATTGTATCTAGGTATTTTTCTTGTAATTGTGTCTTTACTACTTGTAAATGTAAATCCCTACTGTGACCCTTATGCAACTGTTACATTTGGGGTCTTTGCAATGGAAATTGACTCCTTTGTATCCTTGTGCCTTATCAGTGTTTGTTCAACTTCTCAATGATTGTAACTACTTTCAGGAAAATAAGAATTGGAACCCATGTATTCAAATTGCATCGCTTTATTGTAACCATGAAAGTATAAACATTATTTTTAGCCTCAACCTAATCACTTCCACTCAGCTCCCCTTCCTTCTTCTGTAAAGTGCCAGATGACCAGATCAATTTCCTTTGACCCTGCGGGAAGAGGAATTCAACTGTTAGATAAAACTCTCATCCCTATTGTTATTCTAGAAAACCAGTTGCCATCTCTCCCTGGATTTCTAGGTATTACCTTACTCATGTACAGTAGATAGGCTTTGGACCCCTATCTTTCATCCTTGTATCTTTCATCCAAACCTCCCTTTTGCACCCTGCACCCATGTACCTCCCCCTTACCTTGTAAACTGACGAACAAGACCACCTGCAATTTCGATTGTATAAATTTCTGGACTTACCTTTCGGCAGGGTTCCGCATACCTTTTGTTACCTTTGCGTAGGGAACCCGGTTGCAACAGAATAAAAAGCCTCTTGCTTCTTTCTCTCCTTGGTTGGACATTACCCGTCTTCTCCAACCATAGCGGACCCCTTTGGGCCCCCGAACCAAATTCTAAGTTTTTTGCATCACCATCAAGAGATCCATATTTGTACTGGCTTCTCTATTTGTACATCAGTCTTGGGCTGTACTGTACCAGGAGTGCGTCTGCACCTGAGTCTCTCAAGGTCCCCATATATGGAAGCAGTTCCTGGATCAAAGCAGTTGACTTCAACCATGTGTCGAGATCTCAGGGAATGTCTTTTTAGGGGGTGAAATTTAAATTTTTGCGAATTTATTCAATGAGTGGTCTTAAAAATACATTGTGGGGTGTGAGGAATTTAATTTGGCTATAAGTTTTGTGATTGGACCACATTTAGCTTGGTCAATCTACATTTGATTAAAACACACATAAACTGCTCTTGGAAAACCAAATAATTTTAATTTTACCTTCTGAAAATGTCAGGTAATATTATATAAATTTTTGTTTCTCTGCATAAGATATATACTACGAAGCATACAACATTACCTTGTAATCATAAAACAACATTAGAAAGTAATGACATCAGTTAAGAAGAAATGCAAATGACAAGTTTAGCTCCCCTCTTTTTTAGAATTTGAAAGCTGAAAAATTCAACACGCCTTATAAGTCACCTAATTTTAGTTTTATGTCAAATCTTTAGTTTTCACATAGCAAAGCTTATTTTTACAACCTAGAAAATTGCTTTGCTTGCAGAATGACAACTTGATCTACTAAATTCCACATTCGAAGCCATCTACTGTGATTGAAAGTGTACCCGACCACAGAGAAAACCAGCATCCCTGCAAATGACACTGTCATTCTGGATTTTAGGTTACATTTAAAACAAAACTTGTGATCCACGGGTCATGATACCAGAAGCATTGTGCATCGTAATTTATATGGTTAAATTATTGGGCCTACAGATATTGCTTCCATCTTTTATCTGTCCCTTGAGACAAAGTGCATTAGAAATGCTTTGGGGATGAGCACATTGGCTTTCTTTCAAATACGATGTTTTCCAGCAAACACAGAGTGATCTGCTCTGATTATACTAAAGCTGGCTATTAATATCAGGAAATAACAGATTAAATCTAAAAGGGATTAGCATCTTATTAACTACATTAAAAACTATACAATTTTTATTGGTTTTGACAGTCCTGTGTGTTTATTGATGGAAGTGAAAGTATGTTACCCTGTGCATTATTGATTAAATTACGCTATTTTCTTTTATTTCAGGCCATTTGTATTAATCTTGCTCATGTATGAAGACTGACATGGACTAAGACCACTCTTCTTCTTTCTTTCCTTTCCCCCCCACTCCTAACTAAAGAAAACTAGGGTACATAAAAAACAAACAAACCCAGCTCAAATAAAGCAATGTTCTGTGGATATTTTGCTGTCTGCAAAACCAAGAAATGTAATTTCCCACTTCACTGGTAATTTACTGTGTGTCTATGCAATCAGCAATGACCAGAAATATGCACCTAGATTATATTAATTAAAGATACGGTAGTTTGCCATATGCAGGACAAGCTTGGATAAGAGAGAATTCTGGTATGTGAATTCCTGTTCAGCTCATTGACATGCAGGCCTAAATTATCTACCTGTAGAGACCTCTTTGGAATTCAGGGGACATTTTTACATGCTTCTGAAAATTTTGGCAGGAGCAGCATGAGTGGGAGTGTAGCAAAGTGATTTTAGCCTGGTGCACCAGTACTCTGAATGCTCACTTTTAAATCATAGCTTAGTTTAATGATGGTTTACAAAGCCACTGGCTACAATGAGCGGCAGCAGGTCTCCAGAATTCCAGGCAGAGGACTAAGGTGGCAGGGATTGAACTGGGGTCCTTCTGCATGTGAAACGTGTGTTCTGCCACTGAGGCATCACCATTTCACAGATGACACGTAGGCATTAAAAATGGAAGCCTGTGTATCTGTGTCAGGGGCTGGTCTGGATTGGAAGACTGGGGAATGCAATTGCAGGAAGATCAGTTCCTAACAGAAGAGGAGGGGAAATATTCACACACACCCCTACTTCCAGTGTTTTCAGAAGCAGAGAGACAGGCAGACACAGAAGCTGCACAGTTGAGAGAGGAGCTACCCAGCTATGAGATAGTAGCTAAGCAACCAGAAGGGATGGAGCAGCTGGGCGATGCATCAGTTGAGAGTGGGGGAGAACCCCCTCCCTCCCCCTGAACTCAGAGGTCTGAGTGTGTCAGAGAACAAAGGAAACATGGGGGGGGAGGAACTTCTCACTGGCGCACATCTTGCTGCGGAAGTGGGGAGGAATCAGAGTAGGCAACTGATATCCTTGCGGAGGGTTGCCTGTTTGTGTTTGTAACAGAATGCTGGAATAAAAGGACTATAAATCTACCAAATGCTCATTAATTCTGATTGGTGAGCCACTGGAAGGGAGAGGGAACTCCCATACGTGACAATCTGTGAAGAACAGCTATCCCAACTGTGTATCTATATATCACATGTACACAGTGGAGGGAAATACCAGGGAGTGCAGCCACTAGTGTGATGAGGCTTTCTTACCCCTTTGACATTTCATGGGGTCTTTGGAATGTGTGCAAAGACTGCACATGAAACAATTCTGCAAAAAGTCAGGTGGTGGTTTCAAAAGTGACCCTTAAAACGTTGGCGGGGGAGCAGAAAATAAAAGATGAAAAAGGACTTAATAGTGCTGCAGAAATTGCAATGCTATGTGTTCTCTGTAGTCTGTAGATGAAACCTGTTGTATTGGATATATTACCAGGGGACTTGTGGGTATAGGGCGGTATACAAATTTAATAAACAACAGTAATAAAAAGATTTATTTAAGTTTGGAGAACTGGTGTGGTGGTGGTCAGACAGTGTGGCACAGACTGAGGAAGTAAGGTTTTTTTATGAGTCAGATTATGTCTGGGCACACACAAATGGGGAGAAAATAAAGTTAAGTCTTTCATCTGATTGGTAAAATCATTTTTTATTAGATAATACCATTTTACAAGTCTCTCATGCATTCTAACAAAAGTATCATTCCCTGGCAACCTAACAGCTGGTGAAAGTGAAAAAAAACACTTAAGAATACAAATCTTACCTGTTATGCAAAGGCAGTGGTAATAGGTACTAGCTTGCACTGAAGCAAAACAAAATAATCACAAAAGTAAGATAATCTTTCTTCTAGTATAAACATGGAAAATTCACTTTCAGTCACATATTCAGAGTCTCTGGCATCTTTTATGCAGAAATCTCTGTGATGTAAGAATCTGTTTGAATGTCAGTAACAGCTACTTAATACTGCCAGAGTATTTTCTTCCTTCAGCAGATAGGATCTGTTCCTTTACACACAGGCACAGAAAAAAAAAGTAAAGTACTTGAGTGAATGTTCAGAACTCACACAAAACTTGCACATACCTATTTCAATAAAAGAAGTGGGGCTGGAGGAAAGTGTACAGTGCAAGCAAAGCAAATGAATGTGATTTTTCTTACCGCCCATGGTTTGTTAGGGGAAAACAAACCAGGAGTCGGTTTCAGATGTAATGCTAAACCAAACTGTGCACTGCACAACACAAGCTACTTCAGTCCTTCTGATGTTCCACAGTTGTTTCAGTAATAAATGGGATCCTAAGAGTAACTTCAAGAAAGCTGAGCTTCTATTTACCCATTCAGCAATGCAACAAATGTGCATCAGTTTCCAGCATTTTAAGCAATACCTGTCCAAACTTCCAAAGATTTTCTTTATATCAAGCCTCCTCTGAAACCTTTACTTTTATAATCTATGACAGTCAAAATTCTTATCAGCCCGTAGTGATTTCAGGGCCACACACATTGGCGTAATGCAGTTGATCACTATATGTATGGTCAGTGAATCACACTGCAAAAATGAGAAGTACACCACCAGTGTTGCCACAAATCACTAAACCCATCGAGTTTTTAAGTGGCATTCATGCCCCATCTGAGTTTGTACTCCCTTTTCTGCTGTCTCATCTGATCTCCTGAAACTTTGCTTTTTGCCCCATCAGTTTAATCTTACAAAGCACAATATCTCTTCTTCCACTGCGGTTTTCTAAACAAAGTAATGGCATTTAAGAGAAGCTGAGTTTAATAGATCATAGTGAAGCATGTGGCCATTCCTCGCCAAGTTAGTTACGATAAACCTTGCAAAATCTGAACTCCTAAATCATAAGGCATCCCCTCTGCACATTAATAACATTTTCTTCAAACACCCAAGCAGACATCCCTGCATGTCGAGTGAAATGGCAAATCCAGATTAGGTTTTTCAGAGCAGAATTTAAATTCACTCTCCTTCTATTGTAAAGCACAGCAGTAGGAAGCCGCTTAAGATTTTCGTTTGTAGGCTTAGCATACATTTTTGGAACATCATCTGAATCAATGCACATTTTTAAATATTTACCCTTCTTTTCCTTGTCTTACTTTTTTCATGTGTCATGTACTGGAGATAGATGGGATTTAAATTTTCAGAAGAGAGAGAGAAAAAAGAACCATGCAGAAAGAACAAGAAGGTGGCAATTCTGCTAAAGCCAAATGGACTCGATTAGGAACTAGGTGTAAAAATCACACCTGCAATGAATTAGAAAGAGTAATCAGTCATCAATATGAAATAGACAAATTCTTCTTATGGAGCATTACACGTGTGAGTGCAATTTTATACATGTCTATTTGAAGCAAGTCCCATTGGAGTCCCAGAGGAGTTTACTTAGGTTTACAACCTTAGAGGGATCTAATCACCCATGTTAATGTATCCAGAGAAAGTTAAGCATGCTCAAATTCTACTGAATTCAATGAGACATTAATACCCTTGACTTTCTCTGGTTTGTTTTCATTGAGAAACAACTGGGGTGGAGGAGAAGACACACGGTCCATACCAAACCTCACCCACAACTGAACCTAACTTAAGATGATGTTATCTAGTCCAGCATCATATGGGTATCCTATAAACACGACAATATCACTGCCCTGCTTATGTCCACCTAGTGACTTTGTGCCTGCCTAGTCTGCTGTCCAGGTGCTGCTAACTGTTGAGAGACAACCTCAAAGCACTTGTTTCCCCTTCTTAGGGGTTCTTTGGCTTTAAAACCGAACTTGGACCAGGCAGCCCTTCAAACTAAGGGCTGCCCTTTGTGAAACAGGACATGCAGCCACTTTGTTCATGTATAGTTTAATTCTCTTTTTAAAACCCTCTAAGTTGGTGGTCATCACCAAATCCTCTGGTAGATAATGCCACAGTGTGAACAAGGCCAAAAGAAAAACAGGCTCTTTATAATGCCCTGTTAGTCTGGTTTGACTCAACAGAAAAAAATTCAAGGGAGGATTTCATGTCATGACCTTGTCTGTCGGCACAACTAGCTTAATGTCTTTGGATATGGTTAATTCTTAAAACCTTTGGACCACGGGAAGCAAAACTCCCATTGAATTCAGTGAGCATGTCGCTTGAAGCCTAAAACCAGAGTAGCTAGAGTCACCCTCACCATGATAGGCAGGGCTAAGGGTTTGTAACATTCCATGTAAGTTCTATCATGTGCTACCTAGCCATACACAATCCCCTGGTTATCTTACGACTTCCCTGTGGTCAGATGTGTCATGATGGGTGCATCGAGGACAATCCTCAGGGTTACTGTTCTCAGGATTCTCAGGGAGCAGAGAATATCCCAGACAGAAAGACACACGTCCTCTTTACAGTCCTTCTTGTGATGGGAAAATTATTTGAAGGGGCCTCAAGTATCCATGCTCTGATCAGATATGATTTCATGCTTTTATCCGTGCCATATTAGGTTTCGTACAAATATTCAGAAAGAAAACATACATGGTTGTTTTTTCAATACTGAGAAAGGGCAGGGTGTGTGTGTAGCTGCATTTGGCTACATTTATGTTTGGGGGAAGCTAATTAATCATGGTCCAGATAGAAAGGCAAAGCATTTCAAAACAGAAACCTGATCCCTTGGGACATATTCTGGCCCCCAATAAGCCAGCACATGAGTCTCAAATCCACAATGTGGAGTTTCATATTGCCTTTTGCCCCAGGCAATAAAATGTCTTGGACTGGCCTTAACTTTGGTTAAGCCAGGGACAGCCAGTGTGATACTTTCCAGATGATGTGAACCAAAACCTCCATTGCCTTTAAACAGCATGGCCAATCGTGAGGGATCATGGGAGTTGAAGTTGAACAACACCTGGAGGCCGCCAGGTTGGATATTGTTGAATTGAATTAATGCATGTCTCTATACAGGTTCCCTTAAACTAGGCTCAAACTACTGAACACTTATCAGAAATCTACTTCTATACAAAACTGACTTTCTACATTGTTGATCTATAACAGCCTTTCCCAACCTATTGCATTCCAGATGTTTTAAAAGCTTGTCCAAAATGCCTAGAGGCAACTGGTTGGAGGAAAGCTGCACTATATCTATGTTTTGATATCTTGATAAATCAAAAGTTCCATGACAAATACTCATCTACTAGTGACACAAGAGAATGTGAGCCACTGAAGGGTTGGTAAGGTTCACATGTCACAAACATATGCAACTTCTGAAGTCCCAAAGGAGACATGTGCCTCCAAATCACTCTGAACAAAATCTAAAGCATTACTTCCCACTTACCTTATCTACCCTGTGATTTTGAGGTCATCCTTATCCCTGTGGTGTTCAAATGCTAGGAATAATTTCTTCATGCACCAGACTTTGCCACACGTCTTCAAACAGATGGTCTTGTGAGACCAGCTTACCAAATTTAGCCATGAAACTCACAGGGTTGCTATTCTAAAGATTGGAGGGTTGGGGGATCTATGTGTGTATGCCTGTCTGTCGGTCTGCACATGCACATACTAGGCTATGCACAAGTATGCACATATTGGCAAAAATACCACACAAAGTTGCATTAGATTTCAGAAATCTGCTTTGCAAAATACATATAGTAAGCAAAAGTGAATACCAAAATGTGTATATAAGGAGAATTATGTACTAAATGCTAGTGGATTTTCAATGTGGTGGGTTTTTCTGCAGTGTGGGGGAGGTTGATATGGCGGAGAACTGAATTTAAGAGTGGAAAAATGAGAAACTGAGAGACATTGAAACTGACAGATTTGCTCATCCCTATTGACAACTGTGCATATATCACAGGATCTGTTTCAGATCTGAAGAGAATTCTGGGGTACTATTTGTGGCATTGCACACGGCTGAATATGACTGCAGATTTGAAGCACATGCACAATGACATTTCAAGGGATCCTGGCGTACACATTTTGGGTTGTGCTGGGCAATCTCTTGGGACTGCACAGTATAATGGATCAGCTCTCTTAACAACCCATTCCAAAATGGACAGCATCAGAGTTGTCGCATGGCCATTTTAAAACAATTGCTCGGTCAGCCTCTATACCATGTAATAAGATGTTTTTAGAGTGGAGAAATAGGAAACAGAGAGAAATCAAGATGGACACCCACCCCTACCTCTTCCTTTTGCAACACACTTATCTCCTTTCAAATCCTGCATGGCTTTGCACTTCATACCCTATGATTCTTTTAAATTGCTATTTTTGCTAATACTCAGCTTGTATATCTGATAAATGGTTTATTCAGTGTCAATCCTGCTGTTTATTTCACTATAAACTTTGCCCCAGCTGGTGGTGGAGAAGAGGGAGTGACTTTGTAATTGCCACAGGAGCAACCAATCCGCATTCTGCAAGCCAGCTTTGGCTGGAAACAGGCGTTTGGTTATTTTAAGAAGGTGGCACAGCTATCGAAAATGCAATGAGCCACAACAGGCTCACTGTCCACAACATGTATGCCTGTAGAGAGACTATTAAATAGTTCTAGAGATCTGGCAGAACACAGAACATTCTGTTTATTTCCCCCCACCCCATCAAAAACAACCACAACAAAAACCACCAAACCATTGCCACACTTCTTCAGGCCATCTTATTCCTTTGCCATCTAGTTTGCTAGACTTTGAATGTCTGTGAAAAGTAGTATCACATCTTATTCACCTCTCTGCATTTCAAGCTGAATAACCTTCAAAGAAGGCTATTCCCCAGCATAGCTGCCAATTTTGAACTGGTAAACAGGATGAGGAAGTTTATCAGGATGAATTGCAGGTTTTCAATATTTTGGAGTAGCATCAGACAGCAAGCAGTGTTGCTCTAAGGCAGAGGTGGGGAACCTGCGGTCTTCTAGATGTTGTCTGATTCCAACTTCAATCAGGCCAAAGCAGCATGATGAAGGATGACGGCAGCTGTACTCACCCCTTCTGGAGTCCACTTTCAGAACAGGGGTTGGGGGTGATGATTAAAAATTGTGATTTCCCAGCTTTTTGTTTTTTTAAACATGCCAGTAACATAACAGGTTTCTTACTCAGGGGAACCTCCCTCCTGTCTCCAGTTTTCAACCTGATTGCCCTGTCATAAAAAAACACACCCTTAGAGGAGCAATTTCCACCCTCCCTCAAAATGCTAAAGTCTGTCCTTGCAACTATCTTCCGGAAATTTGTCACAGTTCATCCCTTTAGAAAGGTCTACTGTACCTGCAATTTGCATGCAAATATGGTTTTGATATTTATAAGTAGGAGCAGAGCTCAACAACAAGTTGTGCATGAATTTAGGAGGCTGCCATATACCATTAGACTATTTGTTCACCTGGTTCAGCATTGTCAACTCTGATTGGCTGGACTACAACTCCTCTTATCCCTGACCATTGGCCATGCTGACGGGAGCTGGAGCCCAACAATATCAAGAGGCTATCCCTCACCTAGGAAATCTTTACTTGCTCCGGCCCTTCCCTAATCCATGATTTGCTAGGGAAAACCCCATTTGACTTAGTCAAAACTCCAACCCCTTTGAAACTGTTTTAAGTCAGTGGGGACATTTACACTGAACAGAGACCAGGGAGTTTCTTTAAAACCACAGGCTGGTCTGCAAATAAGAGGTGGACATTTAACCAGCCACAAGCAAGTTAAGATGGAAAACAGACAGACAGCTTTTCAAAAGACCCAAGGATGTGTTCTTGATAAAGGCTCATTGGTTAATTTACAAACATTCAAATCCCACAATTGTTGCACTCTTCCCAGCTGAAGCTTTCACCGTTGAATTTCATTCTTCCACCAATTTGATTGACATGCACCCAAAGACAAAGAAAAGCTTTGAAGCTGGGATCAAAAGCTGTCGTGCTACTGAGAGCCTTATGGATCCACAGCATGGATGCTGTGCTACTTTTTAGGTCACACTTGATCTCTTTTGTCAATATCTTATCAGGCCAGCAAACACCTGTCCCACACACTTCTTCACATTTTCAATTCACCTTCGAATCTAAGACTTGTAGAACTTCAAGAACAGAAGCTAAAACAGGGCCTTCCGCTTTTCATGTTTGGCGTCTCCATCCCTTTGGAAGTGGATTATAGTTGGAGTCAGCTAGTGACAGGTAGTAATCAGACCTGGAATCCATGGAGACCATGTCAGGATCTGTCTGGGCACGTTGGCCATAGTATGCATACTGTAGACGAGAGCTGCAGGGGGCAGTGGAGCTCGGAGCAGACACTGTGCTCTTTGCAGGGAAAAATGCCGCTGACTGGCTCCTTCCAAACGAAGCTAATTTTGCATGGGCACTCAGAGCAGGATGCTCGTAAGCCACTTTTTGTTTCCACTCATCCGGCGGCGCAGGCAGTGTTTTCCGGCGAGCAGCAGACACAACATTTGCAGCGATTGACTCTTGAATGGTCTGTGGGCCGAAGGCATCATCCACCAGCCCAAGAGGGGACTTGGCGGCTGCTTCCCAAGGAGTCAGCCTCTTCCCAGGCTTATCAGCTGCAGGAGGTGGTTTGCTAAAATAATCAGGAGCAGGTTGAAACACCACAGGAGAGACAGGGGACATGGATCGTGAAGTGGCTGAAGGTGGCCATCCAGGGAGTGATAAAGACCGTTCTCCGCCTCTTTCCTAGAAACAACAAAAGCTTAAATATAATGACAATCACTCAATAGCAATGTCAGAGATTTCCAAATGAAACAACAGATGGTTGTTTTTGTTTAGTGATCTACTATTGTAATACTGTGCTACTGTATACAGTAAGTAAGTAGCCCCCAATTTTATAAAAAAAGAACAAAGTACGAGCAATAGTATTAGAAAAGAAAAAGATGGAATTTGCTGGAAAATTGTAGGACAAAGAAATCCTCCAAGTTTCATTACCATTGCCATCTGAGATTTCAGCTATCTTTTCTTAGATCAGGGGTAGACAACCTAAGGCCCAGGGGCCGGATACGGCCCAATCCAATCGCCTTCTCAATCCGGCCTGGAGACGGTCCGGGAATCAGCGTATTTTTACCTGAGTAGAATGTGTCCTTTTATTTAAAATGCATCTCTGGATTATTTGTGGGGCATAGGAATTCATTCATTATTATTTTTTTCAAAATATAGTCCAGCCCCCCACATGGTCTGAGGGACAGTGGACCAGCTCATGGCTGAAAAAGGTTGCTGACCCCTGTCTTAGATATATTGATAAAACATTTTTTTCTCAAGGGAATTTTGAGAATTGTATTGCACACAAGAAAGTTCTAGGAACATAGGAGATCAATTAGCAGCAATCACCAGCCCAACCTGTTTGCAGGCCTGCAGTAGGTGATCAGGTCTGGAGAGGGATTGCGACACAGCAGGTTCATGGCCAGGAATACCAGAGCAAACAGTTAAGGGGGTGATCAAATCAAGCACATCTATGGTGGACTTCATGGAAAGGAACAGAATCAAGGAGAAAGATATGAAAGGGCAAACAGTGAGAAGAAATCATAGTTCTCAAAGAGTCAAGGAAGACAAATACAAGGAAACAGAATTTTGTGTGACTTTTCAGTTCCTTGGGTGGAATGATCCTTGACCAGACTAGCCAAACTCAATTCACATGTGATACATTCAGGTAGCTTGTGCAGGCCACAGAAGTCAGTCCCAACCCTAAGCTTTTAAGCTTCTCGCTTTTGATTGACATATTTGACAGTGAGGGAGAGAGGATGAATTAGATAGCATTAGAGAGATAACTGTCAAGAAATTAACTCATTGAGCAGTATAGGGATGAGGCAACTGTCTCAATCCAGATTTTGTTGGACTACAGTTCCCATCATTCTTGTCCACCGATCATGCCAACAGGGGCTGATTTGAGGTGAAGTCCAACAACATCTGGAGGGCCACAGGTTCCCCATCTGTTATTTCTTCCTAACTTAAAATCTCAAGCATGCTCTTCTATGAAGGACAGTTCCAACCCACCAATCATTGCTGCTGCGTACCCCTTGTTCCTTTCAGGGAGCCTGTGCTGGCAGTTCCTGAGGGTGGCCCTTATTTGGAACTGAAAGAGAAAATGTGAGCGGATGACCTGTGTACCCTTCAGAGTACTGTACCTCCTCTGTCAACCTGTGCTACTATGTTTTAGCTATTCAGTATCAAATATTATATTCGCTTGTCACTCATTCTAACAGCCTTATATCCCTCTCCCTCCCAATGATTACGTTCAATATGGCTAGGAAGGCCAAAATTAAAATCAAAGCATCTGACTGAACCTAATTGCAAATGTTTGTATCCCACCATTATGATACTCTACTTAACCCTGCTCCTTTAAAATAAAAATAAAGCTTTGCCCTGATAATTTCAGAACACTCTGACCCATTTATAGGAGCAATCCATTCATAGTTCACAAATCCTAATCTGCTTAGGTAATGAGCGCTTTCATTCATAAATCCAGTGCACCGCCACCGCAATCTTCTTTCATATACAACATGCCCTTACTCTACAAACACTGCCTATTAGGCTATTCAGCTGTACAAAGAGGACTTGTTAGGCTGCACAAAGACAAAAGGTTTCGGGACACATGGGTGGAATGCGATGAAAATTGAAACAAATATTTCCTAAATTTGTGAGTTATACTACCATATGTACATACTGGTGGCCTCAGGTCTGTTCAAACCACTGGCATTTACTTCCAGGTACCGTATTGGCCTGAATATAAGCCACACACGCAAATAAGCCGCACTTTTAAAATTCAAGGCGTGGGGGAGAAAAAAAGACAATACCCAAATATAAGCTGCTCCCTTAAAATTCCGCAGGCACTCACACCCATAAATGGCTAACACAGAAGAAAATCCTACAGCAGTATCGTAAAAGCCAATTTCTGTAAGGTTGCAAATTTAAGCTGCACTTTAACTTTTCACAGTTGGAATTTGGGGGTGGGGGGAGTGCGGCATAAATTTGGGCCAATACGATATATAGCTTGGATCCAAAGGTGCTGTTGCATGAACAGAAGGCATTGCTTTTCATGTGAAATTGCAACAGTTTTAGGGGGGATGTAGGGGCACAATGGGGGAAGAAGTGGGTGAGGAAGTTACACTGTGCAGCTAAAAGCTGTTGTGCCAAACTGTCTAGTTGAATACTGCCCAACATGAATATTCTGAGTATGGAAGTAAATTGCAGATAGTTTATGGTCTGCATTTGTGCTATCTTCCCACCACTATTTGGAGGGAATGAGTAATGCAAACAGGTCTTCTAAATAATTGTGCCTTTACATAGAACATCCGCTTTACACCAAGTGTTTTCTGCATAGTGGAGAAGAGAAGAAATGGGCTTTCTCATGTAATGGCTGTATCAGTCTTGGCAACCTTAGAAACTGGAAGGTTTCTAGCTACCTACTACACACATCCTAAATAACCATGCCCTTTATCTAGAAAAGTCAATGCAGGAAGTTAACTGCCATCTGCATTTTGACCTACAACATTACACAATCATAGCTTTGTGTTGGTGCAATGCTTCTGCTGAAACACAATGCAAGGTTATTGTGTCACACTGACCTTGTGTTACATTCCTCCTGTTACACTGACACAAAACTACGATTGTGCAACGTTCTAAGTACTTCGCTCTCCACAACTTGGCATTTCAAGCAATGTGGTTTTCCTTCCTGAGGAAGGTTTTCCTTCCTCTTTCCTTCTGACTGTCTAGTCAGGTTACATCATTCTCTTCTTCCTACTTTGTTGCTGGGGTTTGTGGCTTTCCTTTTTCCTTTGTATTTGCTTATTTCTTAAATAGACTTCTACAGCTCGTTCTGACTTCTTAGAATGCAACAGCCAAACAGTGTTGTTCAGTCTCACATACTCAGGCAATATTTTTTTTTTTTAAGAAACACCCCAAATTTGCATGGCCTTTCTACCTGCCACTGAACACACGCACAAGAAGACAACATTTTCCATTCACATTACACTAAAATAGTGCAGGAATATGTTGGGAATAGTTCAACCCATCACAGAAGCCTTACCCATCATGGTTAATTTCCTAAAAGTAGAAATGGTGAAAACCTGGGCTATAGACAAATGTCCCTGCATTTCCCTGTTGCCTAGCCCATCTGTCCCAAGGAGTAAATGAATTAAAAAGAAGTTAAAACACCATATCCTATCATAATAAATACTATCAATCCTTACAATCTGGAGAATTAGATGGATTAGATAGAATAAAGATCCTCAAAAAGTCCTTACCTACCAAGGACAATAGGGACGCGGGTGGTGCTGTGGATTAAACCACAGAGCCTAGGACTTGTCGATCAGAAGGTCGGCGGTTCGAATCCCCGTGATGGGGTGAGCTCCCGTTGTTCAGTCCCTGCTCCTGCCAACCTAGCAGTTTGAAAGCACATCAAAGTGCAAGTAGATAAATAGGTACCGCTCCAGCGGGAAGGTAAGCGGCGTTTCCGTGTGCTGCTCTGGTTCGCCAGAAGCAGCTTAGTCATGTTGGCCACATGACCTGGAAGCTGTAAGCTGGCTCCCTCGGCCAATAAAGCGAGATGAGCGCCGCAACCCCAGAGTCGGTCACAACTGGACCTAATGGTCAGGTGCCCCTTTACCTTTACCTTTTACCAAGGACAATAACTATTTTCTTATACTTGTCCCCAGTAAATCCTTGCCCTTATTTTGCCTCTGTCTTTTGAGGATGCTTTAAAACACCACCACCTTTCCTTCTACAATGTTAGTAAACCAAGCATCAAAAAGAAGCAGACACGATCTGTTTACTAACATACCCTGCTTTGGAAGTCCTGTGAGCTATTCTAAATCTTGCTTGCAGTCACATACCAAGATTCATATCTTCATTGCTGACCTGGTTCTTCATAACTGTGGAAATTTCTCTGAACGGAGACTGTCTAGATGAAGCAGTGTTGTTTTAAATGGGTAGAGGAGCAACTCTAGTAATTGGAGTTATTGGAATGAGGTGTCATCCAAGGATCACAGGCAAGAGAAGAGTGAGTGAATACCCACAGTGAGGTACGCCAACTTTTCAACTCATTTTTGTAGCTCTGCCTTTAACAGCAACATGTCCTGCAGCAATTAGTAGATGATAACATTCTTCTCCATGCCAGGACAAGTCAACAGCTAAAGGCAATGCGACAAGGTTAAAAAGTTGACAGCATTATCTACAGGATGCAGAGATGCACTTCAGTGTTTTGAAACAGTAGGAAGGAGGTGAGCAAATGGTTCATGATGTGAATATTATCAGTGTTTGCCCCCTTTTTTATCTGACAGTACACCCAAATATATGAACAGTCTGCTTCCTTGCTTTGACTACTTTGTGGTCTCAATCGGATGTAGCATTAAATTAAACTATGGTTTAGCATTATGTGAATAGGTCTTGGGGTTTTCAGCTTCTCTTTCCCTACTCCACTATATTTACAGGGAGAAAACTGGAAGCTTTCACTTCCATTTTTAACTAACCACAATTTATCATTATGTACAAACCTGGACAAATCTTAGGAAAACAAGTCAACTTCAAACCATGGTTTACAATCCAGGCTTGTTTCTCTAAACCATAGTTATGCACAGTTTGGGGATTTGGATGTGACAATAAATTGCAGATAAATCAAAATGGAAGTAGAAGTTTCTAATCTCCTCGTATCTATGCCCAAAGATGACTGGGTAGTGATGAAGACACAACACCACGGCCCAGTCACGTAACAGTAAACCACACTGTACTGCACTCATTGCCAGCTTAAAGTGATTGCTTTGATTTTGTCTGTCGTTTGGTTCCTACAAGTTTTTGAGTTGTCATAATGAATACACTTCGTGCTAAGTCAGTACAGCTCACTTCAGTTTCACATCTCCTTAAAAAACAACAATGAATAGCTTATTTCATGTACTAAGAAGGCATTCACTACTGCCACCTTCTGGATATCAACAGTAAAATCACACATGGTTGATTACTAGAGCACGATACTAAGGACATTTATTAACAGGTGCAGTGTATGAGCCTGTCATTACTTCAGAGTTTGGCTAAAAATCAATTGGCCATTTAAGTATGTTAATACTTGCATGCAGAACTGTATAATTACAGTCATACCTCGTGTTGCGTTAGGTTCATGTTGCGTCTTTTCAGCTTGCAAACGCTTGCGAATGTGGCAAACCCGGAAGTGTATACTTCTGGGTTTCGCCGCGTGCGCGTGCGCAGAAGCGTTCTGCGTGCTTCGCACATGCACAGAAGTGCTTGCGCAGAAGCGCCGCTCTAGTTGCAGACTTTTTGGGGGGCGAATAGCACCCCAGAATGGATTGTGTCCACAACTAGAGGTACCACTGTATTAAGCTTATATATAAATGTGTACAATATGCAATTATAAATTAAACTACAACAGGGAAATAATACAATATATTCTGGGACACCAAACACTCAGAATTCACAGAACCTGCAACATCAGAGTCAGAACTGGTCCTGGCACTTGCCAGGTTCACATGTAATGCTAAACCATAGTTTATGTGCATACACCTAAGGTTTCTGAGCTCCCACCTTCTTTCTCAGCTGTGAGGAAATCATAAGTGTTTTTCCAGCTTTATTTCTATAGTGGGAAAATGTTGGTTTCATAAACTCATTAGTAACAATGAATGGCGGGAATTGTAAGTACAATATTAGGGAAGCTTGGCTGTTTCAAAGTTGCAACTGATGTTCCTCAGGGGGTTATCCCTAGCAGGTATGTGAATTAGATGCACAGTCTTCTGGGATGCTAAATTGTATTTGTCAGCAGTTTTCAGTACCTCTTCCAGCGGGAAGGTAAACGGCGTTTCCGTGTGCTGCTCGGGTTTGCCAGAAGTGGCTTAGTCATGCTGGCCACATGACCTGGAAGCTGGACGCCAGCTCCCTCGGCCAATAAAGCGAGATGAGTGCCGCAACCCCAGAGTCATTCGCAACTGGACCTAATGGTCAGGGGTCCCTTTACCTTTACCTTTATTCTGACAAACATTGGGCAGCATACCATGGTTTTAGCATCATGTGTGAACCCAGCCACAGAACAAATACTCATAAATACATGCATATATTCATCAATATTTTCCAAATCCAACAATTCATCTTCCAGAGTCTAAAGCCTGTCCTCTCAAAACACACACATACAGTTCCATCCTTTCCCAATGACATTTAAAATTTATTTTTAACGCAATGCTCCACCGACCACACTTACTGCCAGCTCTCTGCAGAATTCAAATCCCTACCTGACTTTTGAAAAATAAATTCAGCACCACACTGAATTTAATGGGGTTCAGTTATTTTTAATGCAGGAAGTAGGCTTCTGAGAGATGTAAAAACCTAGCTAGCTAGCTTCCCCGCCCCCACCTTTGCATTTCTCCACACTACTGTGGAGCCCTCATAAGCAATGTTATTTTAAGGCTTCTTTCTTCACTGCATGGTCCTAGACATTTACAGACCATGTAGTGAATATATTATGGCACTATGCAGCGAATCTGACTTGACTATTTCACCTCACTTTTGCCCATGTACACCAACATTCTTCAATATTTTCACAACAACTTTATAATGAGCAATTTTCATCCCTGAATTGTAGCTTTAAAAAGTAAAGAAGGTAAAGGAGCCCTGGACAGTTAAGTCCAGTCAAACGCGACTGTGGGGTTGTGGTGCTCATCTAGCTTCAGGCCAAGGGAGCTGGTGTTTTTCTGCAGACCGCTTCTGGCGCAACAGAACACCATGACGGAAGCTAGAGTGCATGGAAACACCATTTACCTTCCCGCCACAGTGGTACCTATTTATCTACTCACACTGGTGTGCTTTTGAACTGCTAAGTTGGCAGAAGCTGGGACCAAGCAACAGGAGCTCACTCCGTCATGCGGATTCGAACTACCGACCTTCCGATCGGCAAGGCCAAGAGGCTCAGTGGTTTAGACCACAACGCCATCCACTCCCTTAAAAAAACACTTATTACAAACTTTCAAACACATATGACAAACTTGCATCCAATGAATCAGTCCATTGTGTAAAATAAATACATGCACCTGTAGGCCCTAGAGGGTCTGTGGTGGTGTTCATTGGATAGAAGATGGAACAGCTCCTAAGAATAATCACATCTTATCTCAGCCCTTGAATTACAGTGCTACTTTAGTCATAAATTATCTTAGTGCCTCATCTATCTCACATTACTGTTGAGAATCAATGAAGACTTCAATGCACTTTGAATAATAACTACAGTATAGTGCTCTGTAAATAATAATGGAAACATTCCATAGGCTTGGTGACACATCCTGACCTACTAACTACGTGCATAACTCATCAACGTCAGTAGGGACTACAGAATGGAATGCTGTGCAAAGGAACACTAAACTTGGAAACAGAAGTTCATTGGGGGGCAGAGGGGGGCATTGTTATGTAGGCATGTAATTTCCCCCTACTGTCCTCTAAGCTATTTACAGAGGGAGGGGGGCTGTTAAGAGTGACACTGGCAGCTCTTATTGCATCCAATGAATCATAGGAAGACCTTGGGATTCTGGAGCTGTTGTCAGACTATAACATTCACGGTTCCTCTGTGTGCATTTCAAATGCTATATTGGGCCACAATTGTTTTTTCCCAGCTCAAGGAAGCAAACTTCTTTTATGGAAAGTTGTTGTCACATATGCCTCTTGAGTAAATAACAACTCCACCCCTGTGAATTTGGGGCTGGGGTAAGAGGTAACATCATACATGTTTGCACACTGCCAGGTTATGAATTCATATTAGAGGCTGTATAAACAAAGCATGAAATGCTACACTGGGGTTTGTTCTGCTATACAAAGTAAAGTTAGATAGTTGATTGGCAAAGTCCTCAAACACTGTAGAAGGAAAAAAATATTGAATCCTGGGAGTCCCTAACCCAAAGCCAAGATCTGTTGGTATGAGCAAGTTATGATCCAGCACATCTCTAGCTCAGCCTACTGATTCCTGGTGCAGCCATGCTGAGATGGCATAAGCCCCACATCTTAGCTCAGCTAGAGACAGCATGGCATAACTCCTTCATTCTGGCTCAACCAGTGTTCAGCCAGCTGAGCTGAGAATGGTGGATCTTACACCACTGTAATTGCTGAAAAGCAGGTATTCCAGGGGAGTGATATGTTGGGATTGAGTGGGGTTTGGATTTACCACTGGATCCTAACTCCATTCATCTTAGTCACATGACCAGATAAGCCAGAGTAACATACTCTGGTAAAATGGATAGCATAAGTCAAACTCTATTTTAAAGCTTAGCTCTCCCTCTCTCAGGCTTAGGACAGCTGAACCAGCGGGATCTCTGCTTCTGAACAAAGTCTGTAGTACCACACTGGCTTAATTTAACTTCCGTCAGCTTCCTAATACTTAAGATTGCTCTGTAAAGCAGAAGCCGTCAATATGGTGTCTTCCAAAAGTTGTTGGATTGCATTGCAATTTGGAGTTGACTATCATTGGCCTAAAGGGGAAAAAATACATTGTTGCAGATATCTGCTTAAGATCAACAAGCCTTTCTGCTTCTCTATACTGATAACAGTAGGATCAGAGACTGACTTTGATAATATGGCACCCTGAGTGAGAACAAAATTTTGCCACCCCCCTCCAAATATTTATTTTCACAATAGCTCTTTCCTTTGTTATTTATTATTATTTTGCGCCCCATAGCTTGGCACCTTGTGCAGAGTTGGGAGGATCATCTGTCCCTATACTTATGCCACTGCAAGAAAAATATTGAAACACATGAAGGAAAATGATCTTCCAAAGTTGCTACCAGAATCAGCCCCATTGTCTCATACCCTGGCACTCACACCTTTTCAGAACTTACAGGGAGATTCCTCACTGAAAAGCTGGAGCAGCTGAGCATCCCTGTAATCTGGAGAGCGCGCTCAGGCAAAGGGCTGGATACCGTGTATAAACCAGGCTTGCTCTTACAGGGCTCTCCTTCCCCACTTCTGCAAGGGGCCCTGATTCTGTTCTTCCTTGCTTAGAGATTGTCACTCGTGCATCTTCAAGAACAGTCTTCTTGGTGGAGACTTTCCCAAACAACATGAGCATGTCTCTCTCACCAGGCAGAGGAGCTACCTCTTTGGAACCTATTGCACTTGCAAAGGCAGCATGATTCCTCATTTATAGCCATTTAAACTCACCAAGTACTTGTTTTATAACTGGCTTTATTTTGTCTTCACCATTGCTAGAAATCTTGTCAGCTATATTTGTGCATTTGTAATTTTGCAAGGTATGGGACCTGGCAGCTACATCAACAATTTTTTGCATGGTCTGTGATATTTTAAATATATATTTGCTGCTATTGGGGGGGGGATCTTCTGGCTGTTCCCTCACTGCAAGAAGTGAAATTCTCCTTGTGGAAAGCCCTCCCATCAGATGTCAAGAAGATAAAGAAGTAGACAACATTTAGAAGACATCTGAAGGCAGCCCTGTATAGGGAAAGTTTTAATGTTTGATGTTTTATTATGTTTTTATATGTGCTGGAAGCCGTCCATAGTGGCTGGGAAAACCCAGCCAGATGGGAGGGGTATAAATAATAAAATTATCATTATCATTATGTTATATATGACTTGCATGTTAATTGAATTGTTTGGTTTTTGTTATAATCTTCACTAGGACTTTGGATTGACTTGTTATAGCATGTGGGTTTTGTTATATTATTTTGTCATTTCTATGAGTTGTGATTGTGAGCCACAATTTGAAAAAGTTTATGTACAAATTAAAAATCAAAACAGAATAGAGTAAGATGTGCATCAAGTGCTTTGTGGAAGGAAAGGATACTGTGCCTTCTTATCCTGAAGACAATGTACTAACACCATGTTCTAACACCATGATAAAAAACCCCAACAGAATATCAAAGCTCAAACCTGGCAACAAAAACCCAATTCTGTACTAGTACATTTAGCAAAATCCATAAAAAATTGAAGAATGAGCTATATAAAGAGGCAATGAATCCATGCTTCCAGGATTAGGGTGCCACAGGATAGATGCCACAATAAAAATTAGCATGCTCCACACTCTCACACTGACAGACTGTAGAGCAAAGATCAAGGAGACACACATGGAAGGAAGTGTTCCATAAGGGGTCTGTGGCTTGGCTTTTGAAAAATAGGGGGTCCTCGGTAATAGGTAATAGGTAATTGGGAACCACTGATCCAGAAAAATGGAGCATCACCTATGCCTTCATGAGAGCAACACAACTTTGGGCTCAAAGCCTGTCACTGTACTTCCAGAGAAGCTACCTTTGTTAAATGCTTTGAAGACCTGAGCTTACTGGAGCCTCAGAAGGCATATACATTCCATGTCCTGGGTCACTGGTGCACATAGAGTTCTTGAAACCTGCAAGTATCTCAGCCCTGGTCTAAAGTGGCCTCCACAACATTGTAAATTTCCTGTATGTGAACTCTGTCAGTGTTTATGGGCATTGTGAGGTTGGCCACTGAATGGTGTCATGAAGGCTTACTACAAAACACTTGGGTCTCTTGGGATGAGGGGCTTCAAGGGGACCACACTGTAGAGGCACCTCACTAGCAAATTCCATCTGACTCATTGTCTAAGCTGGATTTCACTAGAATATTAATGAGTGGAAAAAGCAAAGACCCTGCTTTCAAAGACATGAACTCACTTCTCAGGAAAGAGCCATTAGCAGTGCCCAATCTTTTGTATTACCAGTGAAAGAGTGCTCCCACTCTGCCCCAAATAGAATTGTCCATTACATGGGCAAACATGTTTTCCACATCTTACGTTTACAAGATAACATGATGGGGGCGGGGTTGGGACACCTGCAGGTCAGGTGAGGGTACGTAATCCTTAATCACCTGCTGCTTTCCTTTTGCTGTTGCTCTTCCCTGATCATGTCCCCCAGCTGAGCTTCTTTCTTGTTTCTGAAACCTGGCTGGGAGCAAAAGCAGGGAAAGCAATTGGGGCAAAGGAGGCACTGCAGTGAGGAAAAGGGTGGGCAGTGAAGGATTAAGTACACACAGCTTCTCCCCTACAGATTCCTCTTCACCATGTACATTCATGTAATTCAGCAAACATGGGACAGGGAAGCTGCCTTTGCCTGAATGACATGAAACTCCCGCCTGGTGAGTTGCCTTAACCAACCTCATTGTGGCTTTTATTAGAAGGGGATGACGCATAGGGCACATGTGTGTAGGTTTACTATGGAAGTTGGAATCCAGAGAACATTAGCTTCTGTCTGTAGAAAAACACATTTCTAACCCACCAACAAAAGCTTAGTAACTGGCAATTTTGGAAAACTTTAAATACCTTCCACAGCTCTCCATAGTTGTCTATCCCCTGCCTGTTTCATACCGCTGCAGCCTCTGCCTAAGCAATCTTTGCCACAAAATTCCAAAGAATTTGAAAACACGAGTGCTTGAAAAAACATTGCATTCCCTTGACAGATAATTCAGATTTCTGGGTGTGTGCTGTGCAGCCATGAGTGTAGACTGATCTTCACATCTGCTCACATCTTTCTTTCTGAGTCTTCCAATAAGAATGCCAGTTAATGCTTCTTTGGGTTGTGGTTGGGTGTGAGGCAAATCACTCTGCTTAAACTGGACTGAGAGTCACCATCCACTGATGTCACTCAGACGACTCAGCAGCTGGGCATGGCTTTCAGTCATTCCTGCCCTAGGCCATATTTGAACAAGAGGTGAGAGGCGCTGTATTCTATTACCAGTCCCCTTTGCAACCCATTCCCTGTGGAGTTAAAAATGAAAAGCATCTAAAACTTTAGTCTCAACTCAGGAAGAGGGCAGGCTTTCCCCGTGTCATTGCAATAGTTAGGTGCAGCAATACAATTCTCAGAAATATCCTTTCAGAGCAAAGATGGGAATAGCACATTGCATTAATCTATGAGCCCTCTTCCTAAAAAGCCAAATTGGGCGGCTATTTTGATAGGCGCATTTTTTAAATCCAGTATCTGCAAGTCTAATGTTCTCATTCAGGATACTGTTTTGTGGATTCAAACACCTAACACATTTATTTGTCTCTGATTCAAACAAATATTTTTAATTAGTCAACACATATTTACTCTTGTGGGTGCCCAGAGGGTGGATCGTGTTTGTGAAATGCTTCAGCACATATCCAAATTGCAACTCACTGTGTCTTAGTTCAAACTTAGATTTTGAAGCAGTCACAAGTCTACTCACCACTGAAAAGGCAACTCATGTTGACTCAACACATTTAAAATAGTTGGGGAAACCAGACTGGAATAATTTATTCCTGTACAAACTTCTAGCAGAATGGTTATAGGACCCTGGGCCTCTCAACCCAATTTATAATCCAGTTCTGACAGATATGATGAGGTCTACTCACCTTACCTGAAGCAGGATTCCCAAAAGGCAGACCCTGAGAAGCAGACAGCAACTTTGAAATGCCAAAATGTGGCCAACAGTAGCCGCCCTTTGAGGGCCTGACCAGAGAAGAATGATAGCACATTTCTCAGATCGTCTCAAATTCACAGGGCAGCAGCATTGATTATTTTCTCTATTCACAATTTAGGAAAGTGAGCAACAAGCAGAAGGGAGAAGGAAGCCATAAGAGGCGAAAACTGTAGGGGCTGTGCAATGAAGTTTTAATTTAATCTTCCCCTTCATGAGATGGTTCAGTATGAGCCTGGTGAGTGATTAGAGAAAGACATCACCAGGCTTCTCTCACTTTCCTCCCTCTGATAGTTACAGCAGAGACCAACATATATGACTGCAGAGTCATTAGCTGTAGAATCACCCTCATAACCATCTTGGCACCAATTCTGCACAACAAATTTATGACACTTCAGTTCTAGTGATGTCCTACTCAATTCACACCCTATTCAGATTTAAGCGCTTGGATTTAATTGAGTTGTTGATCAGACTGAATTCATTCCACCAGAAACTGAATGGCATTTTGAGCAATTTTGGCAGAAGGAAGGAGAGAAAGGAAAAGAAGGAAAGAAAGACCTTGAAACTCTTTTTCAACTGCAGATAAAAACATGTGAAATCAAAGAAAAAGCAAAAAATACAGATAAAGAAGAAAGGAACAATTTTAATGGTAGAGGAAAAAATACAGCAGATTGTAATTGGAAAATGAACAGAAAGAAGATCCCAAGAGGATTAAAATATTGGTACCGCATAATCTTAAATATGTTGTGTTGCAAAAGAATCCTTTGTGTACATATTTCTATGTAACATGGGCTGTTTAATTAAAATTGATACAGCCACATTTGACTTCCAGTATAGACTACTTCAGCTAACAAAGCCTACCCTAAATATGTTGAGCTTTGGACAAGAACCCCACTGTAGTCAAAAGGACTTCTTATGACTAAATATGTTCTAGCTAGTCAAAAAGAGTTATTCCATTTGCTCTATGGACTTTGGATAAGTCCTACATGTTAGGGAATGCTCCTTTTATGTGTGAAGTATGAAATATATGCCTCAAATGTTTCCTAAGTGTGGCACATTTCACACTTTTTCATTTTTGGATGGTGATTGGTCTACTTATATAGTACATGGCTGTTCTTTCAATATTATAGTCAAAATGCCTTCCACATGACTGCAGAAAAGCTGTTCTCAATTGCCTGCCCACCGAACGTAATCACATGGGGCGGTATCCATCAGCACAAAAGTTTCCATCTACACAATGGAACTGGCTCCCTCTCCCATCTCCTGTGTGCCCCCATTCCCCCTCCAAAGCTGCTCCAGAAGTTTGGAAGAAACCTCAGAGCAGATTTAGGGGTTCCATAGAAGGCAAACATAAAGAAGAGAGGGAGGGGAAGTTCTGTTGTGCGCTCCAATATCCTTGTGCTAATGGAACTACTTTAATGTATATCACCAAGGGAGGTGGTAGCAACAAGGGAGGCTTGTTCACTGTGTGGCCTAGTCTGTTCACACAGATAGGTATGGCTTCCTTACATAAATTTCTGTAATTGTGACATCAAGCCACAATAGTGGAAACTGGAACCAAGAAACTACCCATTGGTATATCCCCACAGCCCTGAAGGCAGCGCATGGTGTTCTCTATGGAATGCATCTTCAAAGGCAGTCAAGACATATTAAATTAAAGTAATTTTGACTGCTTGCAACATTATTTTAGTGGTATAGGAAGTGTTGCAGCGTGTGCCCTTCACGCATTGCTGAAACCTTGGAAATTCAAGTAGTAGCTGTTTGTGTGAATTGGACTGTAGGCACAGCTCTGTTTCAGAGGGATTCAGTGATGTGAAGGTGAGCATCAATTTCAGCACTAGACAATGGGGCAACTTCTCCCATGAACACCACCAGCCTTGGCAATGCACCATTCAGGCAATGCAAATGGGAATGAAATGGCATTATGGCCACAGTAGGTTTTTGAGGGCCTCCAGAACTTAGTATGCTACAATGGAGAGGGACTGTAACTCTGTAGATCACATGATTTGCATGTAGAAGGTCCCAAGTTCAATCCCTGGCATCTCCTGGTAAAAGGAGTAGATAACAAGAAATGGGGGTGGGGGACTCTGCTTTAGACTCCAAAGAGCAAGTGCTAGTCAGACTAGATAACACTGGGCTATATGGGCCACACAGAAGCTTTGTATGTTCATTTATATAAATTCAAACAATTTTCAGACCAGACTTGGTTGGATCTGTTAATCAGCAGTCAGTACATTCACATGAACTGTTCCTACTCAGGCACTTTCCCATTATGGCTGTATGTCCAAAATCCATCTAAATAATTTCACCAAACCTAAATTAATTATTGTCATTCATTTTGTGGTATTGGTTTAGCTAGAAGAGTGGGGAAAGTCTATCCCTTAACCTCTTTTTTAATCACCTCAGTGTGTGCACTCAAACGGTATTCAATGGAATTCAGTCTCAAGCATTACTGGAGATGTCAAATATTGTTCTTTTGTATCACAACCATAAATAAAATTGGCAGAACCTAACCCTGGATATTCAACCCAGCAAACATGGTGTGGTAACAGTGTCTTGATCCTCCTGGTCCACAGTGTATTATTACTCGAGAGTAGGGTGAAAGCACAAGAGCAGAGTGAAAAGAAACACCAGTGGAAGAAGCAGGACTGGAAAGCCCAAGGTGAAAACGAGAATGTGCCTCAGCGATCTGCAGAAATATGAGGTCAGGAATCATGGCATGTCATTAGACAAGTATTTATAAGGCACATACTGCTCTGGTTGCGAAACTGGTATTCAAGGACGTGTCCCTTCAGTTTATAGTCGCTATGCTTTCACGTGAACATATTGCACCACTTCCACAGCTGTAGGACCCAGCTCATCCTCCTGGCTCCTGTAATTTTCTACTTGTCAAAAACAGAACAAAATGCTAGGCCTGAGGAGGTCAACATTTCCCCCCAAAATGGGAAAACTTTGAATAGCCTCTCCAGCCTATGGCTTTCTTCTTCCAAATCTAGTAATATTATTTACCCTTAACCAGGGGAAGGGGGAAATTGAAGAGGTAATTCATGATTGCGGATCACCAGTTTACTCTCTAATGACCCAAGCCTGCAACTGAACCTCCAGTGAATGAAACTGACCAGTGCTGATTTGTATAAATCATTTCCCTGTAGTTATGGGGTCACGGGATCAGGTGTAACACAGCCACGTTATTATAGTGCTTATGTGAGCTAAGTCGTCACGGATCCGTCGTGGTGGTGTGTCGCCTTAAGCTGAGAATCAAAGAAATGCTGCTCGCGAATACACCACTTTGCATGCCCAGTGGCTATACAAAAAGGAATTCATTCATCCCCCCCCCCACCATATGGTTGCTGTGATAGTAGGAACGGGGCTCTGAAGATGCCTCATAATAGGGATTAAACTGCAGAGTTGGGCCAAGACTCTATACCTATTTTTATACACAACATTCATAAGAGACATAACATTTGAAGGCACTTTTCAGAAATAAATCTAATATCATTGTTATTTTGATTGTGCTCAGACCCTTTGGCCGCCAGTCTCCCCCACCCCCCACCCCAAAAACCTTCTGTGAAACCTATGTTCTAACAGATGAATTACAGGAACAGGGTTCCCTGTGTATTTGTGTACTGAAGCACTAACACCTAGCGTCCTGCTTACTTAATATGAAGTGGCACATGCCCGTCTTAGGACACTGTGCATGCATAGCCATGAAAGAGGACTGCATACATAAATGTGTGTCATTGCAAATTAATATTCATTTTGATTCATTTAAAAATCGTTCACTGTGCCATCCTATGCATGTTTACTCAGAAAAAATGCCTCACCATTTTCAGTGGGACTTACTCCCAGGTAAGTATGCATAGGATTTCAGCCTGAAGCCTTTTTTTTTTTTGGACCCAGATTTCATGTGATAGATCTGAAAAAAAATATTAAGTAAGCCAAGGATCACTTGAGTGCCAGATTACCACCGCAAACAATTCATTGCGAGCTGAGTGGATACTGAGTTGTATCTATGCTTTACTCTTCAATGGCTGAGGGTTTCCACACCTGTGCTGAGACACCAACTTTCTTGGCTGAGAACTTTGGCCTGGGAGCAGTAAACATAGAGGATGCTGCTGGTTCTTGCTTCGAAAAAGAAGGGTAGCCTGTCGACGCACAGGACTCAATGACAGGGCTAGAGGCATTCGACTGGAAGAAAGGTTGTGAAGTGTAGGCTGGTACAGAGTACACTGAAGATTCCCGGACATTAGAAGGAGAACCAGCGTTGAGCGATCTTGAAGGTAGAGCTTGCTTTGAGGCAGACGCTGAGTCAAACTTCGCAGGCTGCTTAGGAAGTGCACTTTCCTTATTATCAGAGGGAGGTTGGAAAGTAAATAAGGATGAATTAAGCTGGTATGGTTGGTGCTTCATAACTTCCAAAGAACTAAGTGCTTTCTTAGGCTTTTTCTTGGTAGTTTTGGCAGCAGCAGGGGACTTTGACTGTGGCTTGGTAGCAGCAAGAGGATAAGATGGAGTGTAGATGGGGTTATAGCCCACAGGTGGTGGTGCTCGAACATTCGAAGAATATTTCCAAGATGCTGGTAAAGACGGAGTTGGTGATCCGGCCCGCGCCATATTGGCCTGCACGGTTTCTGAGTCTACCACATATTTTTCCATCCGCGACTGCCTTTTAGCAAAGAGCTGGGCTCCTTTCCCACTCAAAGCTGGGGGCATCTCAAAAGCTGGCCCTACCCCTCCAGCAAGCACAGCATTTCCTACTGGGGTGGTGGGTGTTGTTTTGGGTGTATAATTTTGGTGTGGCGCTGCTGTTTGAGGCCCTTTAAAAGGACTGGCTAGCTTAAGAGTACTTGGGGGCTGTGGAGGGGAATAAGCAGGTTGGGGAGGAGGGTAAGCAGGTTGTGCTATGTTGACAGGTTGGGGAGGGGGATAAGCAGGTTGTACTATGTTGACAGTTTGGGGAGGGGGATAAGCAGGTTGTGCTGTTTTGACAGGTGCTGGAGCTGCCATTTCAGGTGAGTTTGGAGCTGGAAAGATAGGAGGCTGAGTAACAGCCACAGCTGGAGGTGACCAGACTGGTGAAGCAGGCGTTGCGGCAGTGGGAGAAACCTTTAACGAGGGTTTGGGAGCAACTGGAGGTGGGACCTTTTGCTTGGCTGCCTGGATTTGCATGAAATTGCAGGCCTCTGCTCCCAAGCTGAGGTAGTCTTCTTCAGGCCCCGATTCAAAGCCTGCAGCACCACCTTTTTTGCCTTCTGTATTCTGTACAAGGGACAGAAGGGCAGGGTTAGGGCTCAGCTTGGGGGTGTCTTTGAAAGTAAACATTGGCTTTGCGGTGCTTCTTCTCTTTGCCTCTTGCAATATTCCAGTTCTTTTGGCAGGCACCGCGATCCTTTCATCCCTGGATGCGATCTGTTCTGTTGACTCTGTTGGAGACCAGATCGCCGGCTGCGCTGGACTGGCGGCAACTGGAGACAAAACAGTTCTGTATAAGGTTTCAGGGGGTGGGCTGACCGAAGTGTAAGGCGGTGGCGCAGGGAGATCTGACAGAGGGCTCGTCATGCTTCTGGTGGGAGAAAACGGAGCCGCTGCTCTGTTTTGTACACCAGGGAAAGGCTTGGCTGTTCTGTTGGAAGCAGCAGTTTTAAGGGCTTCTGAGGATGGGTACATCAGGTTTGCTTCGGGAGTGATCCCGATGCCATTTTGCTGAATTGCTGCACCATGACTGTGGCTCACTTCTATGTAGCTTTTGCTGACATGGCTTTTCACCCTGGAAGATTCTTCCTGTTTTGCCTGATATGAGGAGGAGCTCATTTTGTAGGTGCTCTCGCTTGTCGTGGCTGCCTGGTGTTCCTCAGAGGAGCTGTGCCCTGCCTGCATCCTCATTGCCTCTTGCTCAGCCGTGATCTGGTCCAACCGTTGACGCCTTTTGGCAAACATGACTGCCCCCTTGCCCTTGCTTTCTGGAAGCAGCTGAGACATCTCGTCCCCACTTTTTGGTTTCTTTTCAACCTCAAGCAGTCCAGTATCCCAGTCAAATGTCACAATCCGGTCTTCTTTGTCAATGTCGGAGAAGAAATCTTCATCGATTTCCGACTCGCTTGTGCCTAGCAAGGTAATTTCAAAAGCGTTCTCTTTCTCACCTTCTTCACCTTCGTCTTCTTCTCCCTCGTCCTCGTAACGCTCTAGCTCCCCAGTCCCGTAGCTGACCAACGTATATTTCCTAGCTCTTTGGCGACGCTTCTTGAACATCAACACCCCCTTGGAATTGGGATTTGGAGCTGCTGTCAGCAAGAGGGCAATGCTCTTACATTTAGACTTGGCTTCTTTCACCTGCTTCTCTGACTGACTCTCGCTCCGTCTGAGCCCTGCAGAAAAGGATTAAAGAACACATCTCAGGCAACAGCGTAACATGAGAGCCATTTTAACCATAAGCTGCACAATAGCTATTTGGGGTGCAAGAGTGCAGTCCTAATCTTTCTTTCTCTAGAGCTGGAATCTTCCCCCTTATGTAAAGATGCATAGGAAAGGCATTAAGATTAATCTTTTCCCACAGTTCCAGCCATGATAAAAATTCCATAGCAATCATTCCTCCCTGGCTGACATTCTTTGCACAATTTTTTTTCTTATGGATTTGCTAGCTCCACTTTCAAGAGCTTTTGATGTCACATATTTGCTGCTGTCTGTGTACATATATATAAGCCAGTATAATATAGAAGATAAATCAGAAGTGTCAGATAGACGTACACATACTATGGATGCTGAGTTAGGCACACATGCTCCTGGAAAAGTTTGAAGAATATGTTTATTAACTTAAACAAGATCAATTCCTCTGAAATAGTTAAATGGTTTAACTTGTTCAGAGATCTCCCTCTCCCCACATGTCTGAAAGTTATGGTTTAAGGAATAGGAGTTTGAATCAAACCAGGAATATTTTATATATACACACAAACAGTCCTACTGGGACTGTATTTCTCTATCCTGAGCGGCATAGAAAACCATGGTTGCAATGTAGTAGGCTTTTATAAGCAGATTATATGATAAGGCATGGATAGCCTTCTGTTCAAAGGAGAGGAGAGTAAAAGAAAAAGAAAAGGATCCTACTGGAGGTGTCTAAGCTATCATGCCCAAAGTAGCTATTGGGAACTCTCCCAACAGTACCATATCTGGTCCTACGGAAGGCAGCCCAATTTTGCTGCTGAATTACAGGGCAAGACAAATCACAAGTTCTTCTACAAACAGAAAAAGACAATACTTGAGGTGTGATAATCCAGGATTTATAGCCACAGGAAAATAAGTTTTATTCCCTGTACCTTGAAAACCATTTTGAATGTGAATCATTGTAACCATGGTATTGAATCATGCTATTCAGAATTGGATTTTTTTAAACAATATGAAATAAATACTTCAATTAAATGTAACCAGACTGTTAATAGGGAAAGTACTTCCTCTGGGGAATGAAAAAAATAAAGCAGACTCCGTAAGCAGACCTAAATCAGTGGTATTAATTTACATTTATTTTTATTTTTTTTAAGACATGTTCTAACTCTACTTTAATAACTAATTTCTGTTAATGTCTCTAGTTTTTGTTAAAAAAGAAGCTCTGGAGGATATAAACTTTTCACCTTGAATGAACTGCTATTGAATGCTCACATTTTGCTATCCTGAGATAAACGACATTTCCTTCTATTCATATTTCATCTCATATTTCATTTTTTACACATGTAGGTCTGCGCCTAAGTGTAAGGATTGTAATGCAAAAAATGCTTCCACCAGTATCACGGGAATCCTATGCACGCTTATTTGAGAGTAAGCCCCATCAATCAGAGGAGGACATACTTCTGAATAAATAGGCATAGGGTTGGGTTGCCCACTTCCAGAGGCATGTATTGGGCAAAAAGGGGAAAGAGACAGTTGTATAAGACATGAGATCTTAAACATCGGCAGGCACATGCTACATGATAAGCAGGCTGTAGTGTGAGTACTAAAGCATAGAACAGAATTCCCAACCTGGTGCCTTCCAAATGTTTTAGACCATAAATCCCATTATCCCTGACATTTTACATCACTGCCTAGGAATGGTGGGAGAGAAGAGTCCAGCAACCTCAGGAGAGTACTTGGTTGGGGAAGATTGGCATAGATTAGAATATATTGATCTTATAATATGGAGCCCTATTGCTTTACAGGCTAGCTTATCTTTCAATGTCGGATATACTACCCCATTTTCCTTTTGATGCATCACAAACAGCATCAATTTTAACACAACAATGTTACATAATATTTTAGGCTGTAGATAGCCTAATCCAGGGAACATGGTTTTCATGGAGACCTCCATAGTAGATACTTGTTGGGACCCAAAGAGCCCTGGAACTAGAGATGCACACCCCAGAAGACTTTAGATTTGGGTGTTATCAAACAGAAATCTCCCATATCTCATGGTAAAACACATTTGAAGCTGTTTCTAAAGCAGTTTATGATATGACATGAGTGTGGGAGCCTACTATTCAAAGAGCGGGGGAGACAAAAATCATATTGGGTGCACGTTAGCCCTTGTGTATATGGTACCTAAGCCTATAGTGACTCTTTTGATACCAGCCTATGTTTATGTGTTTAGAAATGAATGTATTTTCTTCTTTAAGAAAGGAAATACGACTCCCTGATTTGTATTCGTTGCAATGGTACTTGAAGCATGCAAAACATTCCTATCTTGAATGGCTTAATTATGGGTATTTAGTCAAACCCCTTTCTAACTAAACCGATGGTGTAATCTGACAAGCACAACCCCACAGTTGCTGCTGGCTTCACTGCCAAAATGCAAAGCATGCATGCTGTTCTTTTATACTCTGTTAAATATGACATAAATATGTGGATTACAGCTGGGCACTTTAAGCATAAGCAACAGCTTAATTTACACACTGATGCAAACGGCTATAATTCTAAAAATATGCTTGCAGGGGAATTCGTAATGAGTTATCATGCTCAGCCTGTGCAAGACAGCTCAATGCTACAGTATAGCATCAAGCCTTTGTCATTTTGCAATGAAAAATCCCTTGACGGAATTCTTGAAATAGTCCACAATGAATGCACAACTGCCAGGAACAGAACTGAATCAATAAATGGATGCTTTGAGAAAAGCTGCATCTGAGTTAGTCTTTTTTAGCTGTCGTACTATTGGTCAACTAGTTTACTTCCAATTAAAGACCTTGTGTAGATTTTGCACTGACCTCTAGGTATGGGAGGCAGAAGGAATAGTAAGTTCACTTTACAGTGTAGAGAAGCCTTGCAAAACTGAAAGGGATCATATAACTGGCCAAAAATACACATGCTGGTGTCTGTCAAAGCGACTTTCTGCAAGCATCATCAAGCTTCACTACTTCACTACTTTTCCTTTTTTTAAAAAAATCCTTCTCGACTTTTAATAGAAGTAGCATCGTAAGTATGCCAATTCTAGACAAAACACAGCCTTTCTTTGTACATGGTGAAACCTACAAGCAAGAAACGATATGCCTGACAACATTTCTCTCATCTGGGACAATCTCTGTCAAATTGCCTTTTACGTCTTTGTTAAGAAGCCCCACAGGCTGTCTGTACCAGCAAGTATTTTTAGCAGTAGAAAGTTAGCAGTCCTAGATAATGTTTCAAAGCGAGCTTTCTAGTCAGTGCTATGAAGAACATTCAATTCCTACTGATTTTTTTTTAAATTATTACTACAGGGCTTACAAAAACTACATATCAAAACAACAGAAACTGAATGGCATTTAGAAAAATGAGGGGGGATATTAAGAAACCCCCTTTTAAGGTTTATATTAATCCTAAGCACATGGAGGCAATTGTACTTTGAAATGTTCTACGTTGCAAAATGCAAGTCTCAAGCAAAGCCACCCTCTAAGCGATAACATACTCACTGGCGTGCCTTGCCCTGTGTTTGTGAGGTCTGCTATGTTCCCTTTCAGAGTGCTGGTCGTCTTCTCCCTGCTCTGTGCCTTCTGACGAGATGCCGAAGGAGACTACAGAAGGAGGTGCCTCTGACTGCCCTCCTTCCACTTGAGAATCCACACACCCCTTTTCGGCCAGAGACCCAAACTCTTCCTTTGCCCTGTCAGAGCAGTCTAGGATCACCTCTACCTTGGTGAGAGACGGCTCCTTTGTCTCAGCTCTGAGGGCTGCTTTGACCTCTTTGCCGCCAGCAGCCTGGAATGTTCTGCTTGACCACTGGACAGCTTGGTCTTTTTCAGCTGCGGGACCTGCAGTCAGCCAGCTAGTCCCATCTTGCGGTAGGCTGGCTCCCGCTTCTGAGGACTTGTGCTGTTCAGCTCCTAGGACAGTCAGGCTGGGAACACTGCTGCCTTTGTGTTTGCCATGCAAGAGGGACAACTGGAGCTCAACTGTTGGTCCTGGCTTTTCCCCGGTGAGAGCAGGCACCTCTATGAAGTGTGTTTTAGGGGCTTCTATCACTTTGGGAGGGATTTTGTGAGAAGGGGTGATATCTCTTTCGGCATCGCTTTGCTGCTCTTTCTGGAGTGTTTCATGGGTTGCCCCTATGATCTGCAGTTGTTGGTGAGGTCTGGGGGCTGCTGTTCTGATTTGCAGGGTAGTGCTCTCTTTATATTCCTCATTTTTAATGTCACTGCCATTTTCTGTTTCAGGACTGAAGGACTCATTCACTCCACTGGAAGATCTGCAGAGACACAAATAACGAATCTGAGTTGTAAATCTAATTGTGTATCAAGCTACTTTTTAAAAAGTTCACATCATCAATACAGTGCATTGCACAAGTAGTCAATGTGTTGCCCTCCAGACTTTTGGAGTACAACTACCATCAGCCCCAGCTAGCATGCTCAATGGTCAGGGATGATGGGAGTTGTAGTCCAACAACAGCACACCACAGCTATCCCTGGTGTATGCAGTGTTGGACTTAAGCTGGGGAGAACCAAGAGTTTACAAATGAATCTCAGAATGGAGTTTGGCCAAGCAAGAAATCCTCTGGATCCCAAGTCAACCCTGCTGCTGTTGTGTGATGTCAACAAGCCTCATTCAGGCCTTTTCACTGCACCAGTCTAGGAGCTGGCAAAGCAAACAATCAGTTTCAACCTTCTGCCCGGGCCAGCATCAGTGGCAGGGCTGTGGATGTGGCACTGGGTATCCTGCTTCATTAAGTTCCACTGCTGCCAGCCATATGTGAGGTGGTTTCCTAGTTCCTTCCTAGTTAGTATCTAAATCTATCACATAATTTGCTTTGTAGGACAAAACTAGTAAAGTTTTTGGGTTTTTTTTTACTAACAGTAAGAAACGTAGACACCTGAACAAGTGTTGACATTGATGCCAATGCATCTTTCTATCCTGGTCTTCCAGTATATTGATGAGCCTCAAACATATTTCCATGTATTTCCATGTATTATGAAGGAGAACATGTTAAAGATGGCATTCTTTTCACTAGATCAAACCATAGCTTAGTGTGCATGTTCAAATGTGCAGATTATTGGAGAGGGTTGTGGCTGCCACACAACTCCTGTGGTTCTGCTGCCATACTAACTGGGAATAAGCCATAGTTTGGCTTCGTGTATCATCAACACCCACGCTCATGGTTTGTCTCACTCTGGACATACAGTGAGCTGTCACCAAGGTTTGTTCTTCATTTAGCGTATATGCCACACAACTGAGTGGAACTATTCTAAAGAACAGGGTTGGAGGATTTTAGCCTTTAGCACTGAAACTGGAGATGGGGTGAGTCTTTGAGGGAAGGCCAAGCTCTGCCCTGCTACCCTTCGATTTTGCTCCAATTTCCCTGAGAAAAGTACCTTTACCTTTGAGGAATGATGGCATAATACATGGGGGAAAGCTGACTTCAAAACAAGACAGGCTTCACAAGGTCTGTCCTTAATTGCAAATGGCAATCCCCTTGGTCCCCAGCAGGATCAGGCCACATGTGACTTCCAGCTAAGGGAATGCTTTGTGGTATCAAGGTTCGCTGTCTGCCATTGGATACCCTATCCCTTCTCAAAGGCAAGATCTTTTACTGTGAGAATGTGGGGAAAATTGGCAGTGAATGTGTGAACCAATCCTTTGGGTTTTTGAGCATTCAAAGCCCAGTTGATTTTTAGGGCAAGCCCAATGTGTCCCACATTTTAAACAAGCTTTTCAAAAGCATCTAAAAATGACTTTTTTCTCTTTTCTTGGCTCCTAGAAGCCAGATTCTACAATATGAAAGTCATAGTATTGTCATCAGAGAACTATTCACCCCTTTGTTACTGCCTAGAGGCAGCAATGGACTATATATGAAAAGGCAAAACAGAGGTGCTCCTGGTCAGGAGAGATGACAAGTCATTTTTTGTTTCTGGGATGGTGAGAGTCTAATTAATGATTCCCTCTAATTCTTCTATTAGTTAAATAATATTGTACTTCACAGAATGGCTGTTTAATGGGAAGTTACTCACAAATTCCACAGGCAGGATCAATAAGAAGCAGTAAAATGTATTGAATTTGTGAGTAGTACATTTCTATTTGAAGTCATTGGGGGCTTTTGCTGAATGGAACTTACTTGTGGGTCTTATTGATAACCCACTTGGCCATTGGGAAAGGGCACTGCTAGTTAATATAGCTGTTAAGTGTGTTAATATCAATGCCACCTCTTTGGGACAAAGGGTGAAATATAAAGTTAACAAATAAAAACATACAGTATTGTGCCATATGGAGATCTCTCTTTTAATCCAGCAAATTGCAGAGTGGTGTCTCAGTAGCACTAAAGGGGTCTAATATGGACCCAAGGCTGTCACATCTTACAGGAAAGGGGGGGAAATGTAAGTCCTTGGTTCCCTCAGACCCCACAACCATACAGTGGTACCTCAGGTTACATACGCTTCAGATTACATACGCTTCAGGTTACAGACTCCGCTAACCCAGAAATAGTGCTTCAGGTTAAGAACTTTGCTTCAGGATGAGAACAGAAATCGTGCTCCGGTGGTGCAGCAGCAGCAGGAGGCCCCATTAGCTAAAGTGGTGCTTCAGGTTAAGAACAGTTTCAGGTTAAGAATGGACCTCCGGAACGAATTAAGTACTTAACCCGAGGTACCACTGTACATCCAAGTGATATACCATGAATTTTCTATCTGGCTTTGAGGAAGCAAAAGTTCAGTATACTCAATAAAAAGCATGAATAAATTATGCAAGATCTGGCACTGTTGGCTGAAGATTTTAGGGGAAACTGGTAAATTAAAAGACATGCTTAAAAAGCCATCTGTTCTGGCAAATCTCAGTCCCACTCTGTCTCTGTCTTGCACATCTGTATCAGTTGCTGGAAACAGTACCTGGACACAGGGCTGGTCCATAATATCTATCAAACCATGGACGGAGCTCCCAAAAGGTCAAGCATCTTAATTTATGCAGCCCTGTGAATGTAGCTGGTTTCCATCATGTTGTGTTATTTGGACAATCAATTGTGGTGCTTAATAAACTATGAATCTGTAAACATTTCCTTGTAGGAAGGAAGACTGGGAGTGAGCCAGATAAATGTTAGCCTTTATTGGTAGCTTAGTGTGTCTGGATTTCTGTTTATGTGAGGACAGGAGAGAGGGAGGGAATGAGGGAGGGAGGGAAAGAGGGAGAGACAGAAACAGAGCCACAAAGAATTCCCCCCTTAAAAGGCTCTCTGCCTATGGATATACTTGAATTCTTTATACGCCATCTCCTGTCCCCAACAGTACATGTTTGCCATTTGCTGTGCAGGATTAAACATCTTTCTTTAAAGTCTGATGATGATTACAATTAACCAAGTTGCACTTCTGTTGTGGGGAGACTGACCACAAGATACAAAGCGCATTGTTCCCTCTAGGACTTAAATTTCAGTATTTGTATCTGGTCTGTGGGATTTAATCTTCACTCTTATTGGGCAAATGCATTTTCTATTATATAAATGATAAGTGGTACAACTCCTATCACACCACTGTATGAACTTCAACAGGCTGATGCTGTTTAAAAAGTGAACACTACTCTGATCCCTCTGAAAGTTTAGATAATTTTATGTTATGACTGTCAGAATGATCCTATACCTACTTCCATGGGAATTAATCCTTAGTAAATTGTTCAGGGTCGAAGGCTCAGTTTTCCAATGAAATAATTTAATCATCCATGTAATTAATTTGCACTTTCTGGATGCAATTAGGAAGTGCAAAGAACCAGGCATTGTGATTGTGAAAATAAGTGTTCTTAAAATGGTATATTAAAAATTGTGTAAAGTGGCACAGAAAGTGCAAAGTTGGTTCCTAAAATCCCCATGGGACTATAACATGGACCTTATCAGTATAAGTAGCCAAGCTGAGGTTTGTTTACCTCTTGATAAGCATCTGGAGAGTGTCAGCCAAGCCTTCCATCAGAGCGATAACTTCAGAATAGGTCAAGTTGTCACAAGGGTTGCCATTGATAGATATCACCTCATCCCCTTCACACAGCCCAGCCTTGGATGCTTTGCTTTTACTGCGAATCTGAAACAAATAAAAAGTAAAGCATCTATTCAGATAGTGGCAGGAAAAAAGTTCATTTCATTCGTATGGAGCAACAAATTGCCATAAGAAAGCTGTATTTATCCATTGTTTTGATTTATGAAAGACTGCAATGATTGCTGTAATTTATCAAATTCTTCTACATTTCATCTACTTACATTTTCATTTTCTCTCTCTCTCTTATTGCTGACCACATATCACCAGCTCATGCCCCTTGATTTCAATCAAATTGGGTGCCCCGGAAGGCTATAATATGCAGATGACCAGAGTGATGGTTTGTAGAATGAAAAAAGGACACTCACTAAAACTCCTCTGCCACCTCAGAAGCAGGCTAGCTGCAACAAAAAACCCTTGATAATTTTCTTGATTGATAGAGAATGGTTGAAAAACATAATAAAGTAGGTTGGACAGATGTATCAGAATAAAAACAAAAACCAGGCACCTTAGAATGTATTTCTACAGTGGGATGTGGCTAGCTTCTTCCACTTTCAAAATGCCAATGATGTACCACTTGAATACTCAATCATTTCCCTTGCTCTTTTACAGGGTCATTCACATTTCAATGGTTATTTTTATAACTCAGCATTTATTTTGTTCCGTGGTTTTTTAAATATTGAAAACCTGCTCTAGAGAATAGGAGTAGACTCAATCCGGCTAATGGATTGAGGTTGAATCCTGAAAAGATAGAAGTACTGTTTTGGGGGGACAGGAGGCAGGCAGGTGTGGAGGACTGCCTGGTCCCGAATGGGGTAACTGTGCCCCTCAAGGACCAGGTGCGCAGCCTTGGAGTCATTTTGGACTCACAGCTGTCCATGGAGGCACAGGTAAATTCTGTGTCCAGGGCAGCTGTCCACCAGCTCCATCTGGTACACAGGCTGAGACCCTACCTACCTGCAGACTGTTTCGCCAGAGTGGTGCATGCTCTAGTTATTTCCCGCTTGGACTACTGCAATGTGCTCTACGTGGGACTACCTTTGAAGGTGACTTGGAAACTACAACTAATCCAGAATGTGGCAGCTAGACTGGTGACTGGGAGTGGCTGCTGAGACCATATAACACTTGTCCTGAAACACCTACATTGGCTCCCAGTACGTTTCTAAGTACAATTCAAAGTGTTGGTGCTGATCTTTAAGGCCCTAAATGACCTTGGCCCAGTATACCTGAAGGAACATCTCCATCCCCATCATTCAGCCCGGACACTGAGGTCCAGCTCCGAGGTCCTTCTGGCGGTTCCCTCACTGCGAGAAGTGAGGTTACAGGGAACCAGGCAGAGGGCCTTCTTGGTAGTGGTGCCAGCTCTGTGGAATGCCCTCCCATCAGATGTCAAGGAAATAAACAACTATCTTACTTTTAGAAGACATCTGTATTAGGATATTTTTAATGTTTGGTGTTTTACAATTTTTATATGTGCTGTAAGCTGCCCAGAGTGGCTGGGGAAACTCAGCCAGATATGTGGGATATAAATAATAAAATTATTATTATTATTATTATTATTACTACTACTACTACTACTACTTGTGACATCACAAGGATCCAGGCAGTCAGTGCTACATACAGCTGTCTTCAGCTGCAAACAGGAAGAATGAAATTCCATTGAACTCAGTTCTTAAGACAGGAATCTGTTGCATCTGCTTCTACAGCTGGTTTAGATCCTCCAATGTCCCACTTTTCTTTAGGACGTCCTGATTTTCATCAGAAAATTATTGGAAGGTATGGAATAGGATGTCCCTATTTTCATCAGAAAAAAGTTGGATGGTATGCAAGTTTACTGCTGAAATTGCTGAAGTCTTGATACATTATCACAGAGTTTCTTTTTCTGCATATCTATAATCTAGATTTGAAATGAGAATAAGTGAATGGAATAGATACAAAGCAATGTGAAGCAGACTCAACAATGCCTCAGCAGAACACAGATACATGAACATTACAGCTCCTTGCACAGTGGTTTGAGCTGGTAACTCACTGGTTGGGCACCTGTGGCCTGGGGTTGTAATTAGGCCTGCAAGGACCCAGGGGCTGGCCCACCAGGCTATTTTGGATGAACCATGCCCACTTTTCCCACGCCTAACGATGTGGCTGCAAAAAAGGAAGAACCAGGAGCCCACTCCTGCAAACTAACAGAAAGAAGGCATCAAATTTTAAAAAGTGCTCAATTTTGGTTGCAAGAAAAGAATTGGGAGCACACTCTTGAGTTTTCCTTTGCAAGCATGGCTTGAATTCAAACCAGGGCTGAAAATGATGAATCTTGAAACTTCGGTGACATAATGTCACATGACGACAAGTGACAGACAGATGGGTGGCCCCTGACAGTTGTCAAAGTGGCCCATGGAGGGGTTGCCACTTCTGGATTTAGCCCTCTGACTGGATCCAATTCCTCACACTTGCTGTAGGCTAGCTACTCCCCATCTGAGTTGTCTCTGAGTTGTCCATCTCATGGTTTGAGATGGTCCTGGAAGTCACCTGCTGCCAGCCACCAACCACTCAGCTGAGACAGGGTTTGTTTTCTATACACTAAGTTGCACATGTGCTGCTCCTATGCAAAAACCTATCTCAGAAAAAAAACTTGCATAACAACAGTAACAACATGAAAAATCATAATCATCCCCATAATTAAAAAAACGTGGTTGCAGTGGGCTTAGATGGTCAAGGGAATCAATATTTAAACTGATTCACATAAACTGGCCAGTCACATTCTCTTTTTTGGTTTGGTCGACTCATGGAGCAGAGTGAAGTATTATGAGGTGGCAGGATGACCAGAATTGTTTCAGGTTGCAAGCTGGTGGGGAGGGGCACATTTTGAAAATTATTCCCTATGTAGAAAGCTTGCCACATATAGCACATGCTTAATACTAGGAACCGTGGCATCATGGTATTCAGTTGGATTAAGTAAATAGAAAGCTCTGTCAAAACATTTTCCTTCTAAACAAAAATCTGAAGTGACTATCCTAGAGGATTTTTTCAATAAAATGGATTTGGAATTGAAGCATGGTGACTTTAGGGTGCACCTGTTAGTAGATCCCAAGACAAGTCCATACCTTGATAGGACTGATAATTTTTGGTGACTTTTTCCACTTGGATTATGCCGGAGCCTTACTTTTATACGTGAATTTGTAAGAAACAAAATTACAAAATGCGTAATTTATAATTGTGCAAGTTGATTGAGATATTCCTTAGTCTGAAAACTATTTCAAACAGATCAGTTCTATGCAGGGATGAATGAACACAATGGAAAAATGAGTCCTCATTTTTATCCTCAGATGTGAAGTGTGGCCCTTGTGTTTTTAGTCCAAACACAACTGTTCCATGAATTAAAGCAAGTCTGCATTCCTTGGATTATCTCAGATTGCATGGGTAGAAGAAACAGGTCTGGGATATCTATGACTCAAGTCACGTAAAGCACCAGAGGCCATAAATAGAATCTTACATTGTTGGAACTGGCAGCTAATACTTGGAAGTACTAGCAAGACAAATTGTTAGTATTTTATGAGTTCCAGGACTAACATAAGATATCTACTTTCTGTTATGGTTCGCATGGACTATGAAATAATATAATATTCTGAGATGTGCAGTGACATTAACCAGGTGGGCATCTAAGAACTCAATTATATTAGCCAATGCAACAGCAAATAAGGACATCTCTGCAAAGAGAAGGGGAAATGGGCTCAGAAGTGCCCAGCAGTACACCCAAGCACTCTTGTTTATAGAATTCTTGGCACTGCGCAGATCTATGGATAAAAAGAGATGCCTGAAATGGGGAATGGCAGGGATGAAACATGCTAATGAAGCTGAGTTCATATTCTCTGTCGAATAGAATGCTGGTCTTGTGCCCTTTCCAGTAAATGGCTTTTATTATTAGCAATCAGTGAATATCTGGATCTAATCCATGACAACAAAGCACTACAGTATGGTACATCACAATCTTCAAATATGCTTTTGGTGTCAGAGAACAGGGCAGGAGAACCAAAAAGCCAGATGCCAATTCAAAGTGGATCAATAATCTCTGCATCATTTGACCTCCTCAAATAAGGTTCCTGCCAGAGGTATTGTATATATTTGCTGTCTCTGCTCTAACAAATGCATCTTCCTTATGGTGAATTTTGTGGCATTACATTAAAGCTTCTTACAACTTCTTATTGGTTACAAACAATAATTCCTAGTGCACCCTCACTCAGAGCAGAGTATACTTGGCTCAACATTTTCCCTTAATGCTTCTCATTTGGGCCTGTCATCTGAAGAAACTAACTGACAGAATGTCTTGAAGATAACCATCAGTAGGGTAATCCTAGGCATAGCTGTGGACATCTTCACTGTTGAGAATACTTGGCACTCATTTGAACAATATCAAAGCACACCCTCCATAGCCTAATTGCTCCTTGTAGAGATGATAAACATTTACAAATATGGTGTGGTATGCTGTGCACATCTTTCCCTTGAAGGAATATATAAACACCCTTGCAAGTTTGGAAGAACCCCGGTCTCGAACCTTTGGGATGCCCTTCTAACAATTAAATGCCTTGTTTTTGCTTGCAATACAGAATCAAGGGCTTTCCTATTATTATTATTATTATTATTATTATTATTATTATTATTATTTTCAGTAACCCTTGGTGCTAATATTTGGTAGCGTATGGGAGCCTGCATTCTTACAACAAAGAACAATGCATATTCCAGGGAAATATTTGGTTGCTGAAAATAAAAGTTGTCAGTGATGTCAAGGGAAAAGACAGGAGTTTCCAATTTCAATCTGGCTGAAGCTGTTAGTCATTATTGGTGGAAGTTGGGTTTTAAATATAGAGGAAACAAACTCTCTAGTCACCATTAGGGCATTTAATCCACTGCTCCTGCCACACAGGAGGTTAATGAAGACTGCCTTTAGCTTCTTTGACTCTAAGATACAGTAGTTGTTAAAATTGCTTGGTTTAAATATGCCATCCGTTCTCCAACAGCAGAAATCCATTCTGGCCTTCTGCAGTCATTTTCTACAGCCTTGAACTACCTTATGTTGAATATGTCTAGACAACAGCTGCCTTACTGGAACATTCAAAAGTCTCCCTTTCCTTCCCCCTGGTGCAGAGCATTGCTCCTGTTGAAAGATGTGTTCCATAATATACAGCTCTCCCTCTAAGGTAAGTTCAGTAGTGTGCCACCTGCTGGTTGAAACTGCACACAGGAAGAAAACACAATCAAAACGCAAATCTGAATTTTTCATAGTATCAAGTTGACACTATGAGAAATTCAGATTTGCATTTTGATTGTGTTAAAAGCATGTTTCCTGAATTTAGTGATTTAGTAATATAGGTCCACATGCACCCCAAACCTGAACTTAAATTGGAGGGCTTAACCTTACTGACCCCAACACTATATTACAAATCACTGAATACAAACTGATAGCTGCAAGAGTTCAAAACAGATATAGCAGAAGAAGAACTGCAGAATTCACTCCATGCCAGCCAGAGCGATTTCTGGAGTCTGCTTTTGGATTATTCCAAAAGTGATTTCTCTCCACTGATTCCATTGTCATTTCTGGGCACAATTTAAAGCACGAGTTCTTACATAGAAAGCCCTTATTTGTTTAGGGTGAGGTAGCTGAATGGCTGCCTTCTCCCATATGCTTCTGCTGACACACTGCACTCAACATCAGATACTTTGTCCCAACATCCTTGAAGGCTTCCTTGATTTCATGCCTTTCATGGTTTTTTTCGTTTTGACACCCAAGTTGTGGAACTCCCTTGTTTTGCCCAGTTTTCAGCTGGTTTTGAATTTTTCTCTCTCCGCTGTGGAATAAGCTAGTTTTATTCTCCTCTAGATTTCATTGCATTTCAATTGTAGAAACAGAATGGCTGGTGTCCTGTACAAGGTACCCTGACTAGTTTGGAGAAAACAAAGGCAAGGGAACAGAGTTGAGCAGCATGAAACAGATACTGGCTAAAGAAAAAGAGAATCTGGATCCCACAGTGAACCACAGGCTTGGAGCATCTTGAAAAGAGGAGCATGGAACAGTATTCTGGACACACCCCAAAAGCTGGGCTTGGGGATGCAAGAGAGGTTTAGCTGTAGGGAAGGAGCTTATCAGCAAGCACTAACCTAAGTTTTTAAGGTGGTCTCCTTAATGTCTGCGATGGACATAGGTGACATTAAACAACAAAGGCTACAGGTTGTGAGATTTCATAAGTTGTCATGAGTTATTACAAGTTTCCCATACCAGAGTGGGGACATAGACACACATATGTCTCAACCAATCAGATAATGTTTCAGTGGGTGTGGAGCATATGCCCATTAGAGCTGCAGATATGCATAAAGTTCACATTTTTTGTATTTTTGGCAGCAAGCCTTTGTAAGAAAGGTATGAGGGTGAAGCTAGTGGAGAGGTCTGTAACATTGTTGCGTGTGACTGTTTTGGGTATGAGTGCTTGGTTGGTATCAGGGACGAGGGATAAATCTGATTTAGTTTGCATTTAGGGTAAACATTCCCAAACAATGTGTGAATCCTTTGAAATTTTCACTTTTCTGAATTTTGCCATGCACTTCTAGTAATGCTAAAAAAATGCATATTCTATGGTAAAGTTTACATTAAAATGCATGTATTAGTGAAAATAACAAACAAAATGCATTGTTGTAAGGGAAATCTTTTTGCAAAAATGTTAGCCAACATTGAATAAAAAATGTATATGTTATACATATATATTTAAGGAGAAATTGCACTATAATGTGAATTAATTTTCATGATTAATTTAAAAACAAACAAACAGCAAAAAGACCTGGAAATGTGGGGGGTTGACATTAAGATTAAGATTAAGATGCTGTTGTTGTTGTTGCTGGTGTTAAAACAACTGGGAGACAGGAAACCCTAGTGGTTCTGCCAGCCAGTTCTGATCTTTCTTCTGCCCCCCCCCCCCGGAGAGTTTGTTCTGTACTGAAGTCCACCAATTTTCCTGTGCTCCAGAATAAGCTCTCCTCCCCAGTCATGCTATATACTGCATATGAAGTTTGTCTCCTCCACACATCCACCCAGTCCAAAACACTGACATCAGTGGAGCTTGTTTAGATACACAGGTTTCAAATATAGAGTCGAATAAATGCCACCTTTGAGGGTACATTTCAGTTTCGTTACCCACAATAAATGAATGGCTGCAAGAGACGGACCATTCCACCACATAGAGCAAAGGCCCCTCTTGCTGTCTGCATCCAAATAACCAGTTGAGTTCAGTGGAAGGAAAAGCTTGCTTGGGTTTCCAAAGCAGTACCTAAATGGGCTAGTCTTATCATTGTGCTAATGGACTGCCTTTCCCTCCTCCTCCCCCTGGCCAAAGTCCAAGGTGAGCAACCGAAGCAGGGGTGAGGTAACGCTCACCAAAATGTTAACCTGGCAAGCTGACGACACAGCACATTTTCAAAGAGTGAGCCCCGTGCATCACATTGGAGCTCCACGTTCCATCAGAGAATATTGTGCAAGTCTCCATTTCCCCCGGCAACACAGCATTTTGTCTGAGCTCTCAAACTTCTCGTCTTACGGAACTGGCTCTTATGTCACTTTCCCTGCTAATGCTTGTTTTAGCTTAAAGTATGTGTGGCTGGGGAAAGAATAAGGCAGGGAGATGGAACCTCCAGATATTGTTGGACTACAACTCCCATCATCCCTGACTGTGAGTCTATGGGAGGGTGAAAGAGGAGTAGCACTCTTTACTTCCATGGAGATGGGAAATGTAGCAAGAGAAGAGATGCTGTTGAAAGCTGGGAGGAATGATGCTATGAAGGAGATATGTAACTCCCCTCCAATCTGTGCATGTTAATTATGGTAATTCTTGATAACTGGGATCTTTTTCACCTTGCTTGCTACCATTTTTATTTCATTTTAATCTCTTAAATCAGGTTAGTTTATTTGTATGGCTTTGTGCAATGTTGTATGAATTGGTTTTGTGAAAAATGTATTTACTTATTGACGCTTTGATTATTTGCATAGGCTCTTACATTCTTTTGATGTTTATCTGATGTGTTGTGAGTCATGCTGGGCACAATCTTGTGGGAAAATGTCAAATGAATGAACGAATGAATGAACCATACTAACTGGGAGCTAGAGTTCAAAAAACAGCTAGAGAAGCACAGTTCCTCCATCCCTGGAATAACAGAAAGGGGCAAACAATTGTTTAGAGTGCTATCAATACCTATTCTCTTCCATGTGCACTGAAGTTCCTTTACTTCTTACTGGCACCAGAATCTGTCATCTGCTTTGCTTTTAATTCCTCCTGAAATCCTGTTGCTGTTTTTAATTGACACAGTAGTGCAAGACTGCTTCCAACTTTGCAGATGGGATTCAGAGAATCATAGAGTTGGGAGAGGCCCTAAGGGTCATCTAGTCTAACTCTCTGCAGTGCAGGAATCCTGCCCACAGATGTCCCTGGATGGCCTTCTGGTTAACAGCCAGATGCATGGATCCATTGCATCACAGATGGATTCAGCAGCATGCTGGCAAACTCAGGGTGCACAGTTATTATTATTATTATTGATTAAATTTGTACACCACCCTTCCACGCAGTTCAGTTAAAGTGGATCTGACATTCTTGCGCGGCAAGCCTGCTTCCAAAGAAACAAAACTAAGAGAGGGCTTTTTCTTCAGTAAATAATGAGGAAATGCACTGGAAAGTTTGGGATAACCTATGACCTCCCCACAAGCAAATCAGAATGAAAGCTCAATAAGCAGCAGATGGTGTATAATCTCCCCACATTTTTTCTGCAAACAATTCAGAACTGAATGCTCATTAAAAAGGTCTTCTGGAAGTGACTTAAGTTTTCAGCCATTTTCTCCCTGCTTTTCTGTTCACACAGATCTTAAGGATGCAATAACAAGAAGCAACATCAAAATATGACCTGGCAGCCGGAATAGAACCAGGGAATGTTTATAGATTCCAGTGAACATCTTTTCAAAGGAGGAAAATGATGTCCTTGTATGTCTGCTAGAGGGCTTCTTGCTCCATACACCTTATGCAAAGTTTGTGGTGTCTGTTTCCACCTAATCACAGTTTTCTTGTCTATCCCCAAGTAAGGATGTACTTCACTACACAGCAAATGACATCCGCATCCCGTTAGCTCCCTTCTGTGCTTAGAATAAAGTTTTACTTTCTCTCCAGATTTTCCTGATAGAGAACAATGCCCATTACAAGTCATCTTTGGCCATAACCCTAGCAAAAGCAAGCCTCATAGCAGCTACAGCAGCTAATTGCCCTTTTATTGCCTGTATCTGTTTCTTCCAACTGGTCTAGTTTATTGCTTTCCTGCACTCGATGACATAAATAAATGAGGAAGGCATGTGTGACTCTGCCCAGCAGGAATACTGGAAGCAACACGAAAAGAATCAGGGGTGTTTTATAGGCCTCTTTTCCACCCAGCATGCAATTATCACTCTCGGTGATGTCACTGGGTAATATTGAAATGTAATATATTTTTTGCTACTTGACTCATTGCTTGGGCAGCCTACCAGTCAACACCAAGAGCCACAAAGCATATAGAAGGGCAGCTTCTCCTCAGCCCTGAAAGTAAGGCAACTGTAGCTGGAGTTAAAACGGTGCTCAAATTACCAAGGGTGACGGGAGGGATAGGTCTTTGGCTCCTTACCTTTTGTGACAGTTCCTTTAGATTCTGTTTTTAGAAGGCTGCATGGTAGGCAGGATTCAAACAGAATTGCAGAGGGTAATGGCTAGAGTTTTGGGGTCCCTTTAAGGGCCTCCCACTACTTTCCTCTCATCATCTGAATGCTTAGTTTAAAACAAAACAAAAAAACCGGTTAGATTTACAATTGTGCTATTAAATTCACTGAGAATACTCTAGACCAGGGGTCTGCAACCTTTAAGACAAAAAGAGCCACTTGGACCCGTTTCCGAAGGAAAAAAAACTGGGAGCCGCAAAATTCGTCATTATAAAAATAACTTTTTTGTCACTTTTTTATTATTTCTTTGTTTGACCCCTCAGAATTACTCCTCCTCATATAAATAAACGTTAAATTAACAAGTTACCTTTTTGTGTGTGTGTGTTCTTCACTCCCCTTCAAAACAGTGACCAGCATACATGCCCCTTACAATGTAGCGGGCGGGCGGGCGGGCGGGAAGGTGACGTCGGGACGGTGCGTGACTAATGCACGCACCGCCCCCATGCGACGTCACAGCCAGTACAGCGCCCACCACAGTGGGGAGTGTCGGGGCACACAATGCGCCTCCTCCCCTCGCTAGTATCCGCCCCGGAGCCGCGGCAAAGGTGTAAAAGAGCCACATGCGGCTCCGGAACCGCGGGTTGCTGACCCCTGCTCTAGACAAAGTGAACTGTTGTTGAAAGAGCAAGTTTCATTTTTTTACACATTTGCTGAGTTTCAAAAACTGTGTGATAAAGAGTTTCGGATCCACTTTCGATTGACATAATGCATTTTCTATTTAAAAAATATTGTAGCTTCGTGGGACACAATGCATTCCCATTTGTTCAGAGTGGTATCACTTCTCGGTTTTGGACTTTTAACCTGTTTGATTGGTGTATTAAAGATCTCCTTCCCATTTTCCAGCACCTGATTAAAATTGGGAGTAGGCCCAGGGCAGAAATCATGTAGGGAGACCTCTAGAATATGTTGCCCTTTTCATACAGAGATTAACTATCTGGGCACAGAGACATTGTTTTGCAGTAGCCCTGGGATAGTCACATGTGTGTTGCCATGTGCATCCTGTGTTCTGTTCAGAATATTTTTTTTTGGGGGGGGGGTTAGAAAAAAGGAAAAACTAACCATACTTGGTTTGCATGCTATGTGGGGTAGGGTGGGTCTCCTGTCAAGAACAGTCCTGCTTCTCCTTTGGAATGCTGGTTTACATGAAGCTACTCTGCTTTGGTCTCAAAGACTATCCCCTATAAAAGGAAGCTGGAGAGGCTGCTGGCATGTTGCTCAACCACTCTGGTTAGAGCTCATTGGTCAGTGCTTTCTTTGGCTGCCTTTGTCTTGCTCTGCCTTGTGTCTCCCTGGATCTCACCTGCTTTGATTGCTCTCAGTTTGTTTGCCCTGACTTGTACATGGCTGGCCACAGGCTTGAAACCAGCATGCACAGATTTTCACGTGGTTTTCTTATAGCTATTACATTCCCAACCGTTGAATGAATTTTGACTCCCTTTGACTCCCCTGTGCTATTATAGAGGTGCTTGTGCTGCAGTTTATAAAGCCACCTTTGCAACCTGCAGGAAGATTTTGTATTCTACACCAGCACTGAGTTGCAACAGCAGGGCACTGAGTTTGATAATACCAGCATCCTGCGTCACTACACTGTGTTCGGAGGCATGCAGCCTGATCCTAAACATGTTTGGGTTTAGGCACAAGTGTTCCAAGCATATCCTTTAAAATCAGTTGCACCTTCCCCACCAACCACCAGATAATATGGGTGACACCCTAAGACAAGACGTAAGTCTCCAAAAGTGTAACTTAAGCTGCATCAAACCAAGGGCATTCTATATCTTATTATTCCTACAAAAAAAAAAAATCCTTCTGCTTGCAATGTCCCATTTTCATAGAGCTTGGTGGGTCAGTTCATGTATTTTACAGTGCTGCCAGACAATTAAAGGGCTGTTGGATCCATTTTCCAAAACGTTGGCTCAAAATATAACAGTTTCCATATTGCCTGGCACCTCAAAGTCAAAGAGAACACTATTTTTAGAGGGACGTTCCATTCAACCATCTATATAAGGCTGTGCTGGAGAGGTTGCTGCTTTTGTATAATACATCAAAGTGGCAGTTATTCCAAGAAGAAGAAAAGGACTGATTCTGTTCTCAGGAAAATTAATGTAGATTAGAAGAAATGCTACTGATACCAGTGTGAAATAAGCACAAATGAGATCATTGCACTCTCAGTGCTTTAATATCTACATGCTACATGTTCTTTCTCTCAAATGCGCACATCCCATCCTCCCCATCATTTTCCCATCCTCTGCCAAGGTATGACTTCTCTGAAACAGCAACTATTTCATTTTAATAAATGTGAGAAAGAGATTGGGACAGAACAAAATAATTACTTCTAATACAAGCATACCAGCCACTTGTACCCGGTGATGTAGTGGTAAATGTTGAAGTTCAGGAGCTTTTCATGAAGCTCCCATGGCCATTATCTCCAAATAGAGTCCATAGCCAGACCCTTGAGGATAGCTCAGAAATGCAGGCAGCTGTGCTGATCCAACAGCCTCCAGGTTTTTGCACTGACTTGGTGCAAAGGAAGGAGAAGAGGGTTTCTCAGAAGAAGGGCTTATCATCAGTAGCAGCAATTGCACATCAATTGATCCTAAGACGTTTTTGTTTTGCTGATGTTGCTGTGAGTGGCAGCATCAGCAAATGTGTGGGCAACCTGACCACCATTTTGTATTATTATTACACAAAAATCATTAATTGCCTTCTAAACCACTGTCTCAAGGCAATTTACAAACAGTTAAAAACAGAAAAAACAGCAAATACATTTGAAGAAAAAGACTAAAACCCTAACAAGTTTTACTTTCATGTTAAATGACCCATTTATTCAACTGGAAAAGCCAGTCAGAAGAAAAATGTCTTCAACTTTTTCCAGAAAGTACAAGCAGTGGATGCCTATTGTATCTCAACAGGACTTCTGTTCCACAGAACCAGTGGCAGACCTTGTGGTCTCAAATTTCAGCGATGCCAAAATTTGGTGCCCACCACAGAGCCTAGGACATGCCAATCAGAAGGTTGGTGGTTCGAATCCCCGCAATGGGGTGAGCTCCCATTGCTCGGTCCCTTCTCTTGCCAACCTAGCAGTTTGAAAGCACATCAAAGTGCAAGTAGATAAATAGGTACCGCTCCAGCGGGAAGGTAAACGGCGTTTCTGTGCGCTGCTCTGGTTCACCAGAAGCGGCTTAGTCATGCTAGCCACATGACTTGGAAGCTGTCTGCGGACAAATGCCAGCTCCCTTGGCCAATAAAGCGAGATGAGCGCCGCAACCCCAGAGTCAGTCACGACTCGACCTAATGGTCAGGGGTCCCTTTACCTTTACTAGCTCTTTCCTTTCAGTGCACTTCATAGTTGTGACACCCCCTGCAGCGCACCCAAGGCTCCGTTCCCAGTGCAACTGAACCGTTTGCGCTCCCCGAAAAACGCCTCTGACAGAACAGGGGCAGCCCCACTAAAAGCCCCACTCCAAGTAATCTTCTAGAATGCTGTTCGCCTATGTTCAGTCCAGCACATTGCAGGGTAGATGTGGTAGCTACTGCAAAAAAAGACAGCGAAAACTATCTGGAGGAAATTCTGCAAAATGCCTTCTGAGCAATTTTGGCTCAGCTCTAGTACCTATGTAAAAACTTCACAAGAGGAAGGGGCATGCTAAGCACTAGCAGCTGCTACTGCTGCAAAACACAATGTTCACACAGCAGACTTTCAGAAGGCCACTGTGGCCTTCAACTGTCAGGGTTAGATGAGATATCAAGGCTAAATTAAGGACACCAAGTCCATGCCTCGCACAGAAGTTATATCAGGAGCTGCTTCAGGGTTGCTGAGAGTGGGAAAAGGAACAATTTGAGGCCCAGTGGCATTATTGGGGCTGCTGAAAGTTACCAGCCTGAAGGAGTCAGAAAAACATGAGTTTTAGGGTTCAAAGCCTTGATATTAAATACAACTGAATCTGTACTTAGCTAGATTAAACATTTCCCCTATTTATTTTATTCTCACTGAACCTGAATGTGATGTGTGACCTGAATGCAACATCATATTTGAATATCTACTGGTGTGTTACTAACAGCATATATGTAATATTTTTATCATTCCATCTCTATTAGTAGATATTATTCTGCTGGGCATGTTGGAACCGATAGTTGGAACAGATGTGAAGTATATTCTGCCATAATAAGAAAATAAGCTTAGGAATCATTCATAATATATGGATACATAATGAAACTGAGAGGCTTTTAAAACCTCAGAATTACTTTTGAATCCCAGGACCTAGTAGATCCATCCAACTCCTGAGCACACCTCCAGAGAAATCATCACCCCCTGGGACTGAATGTGCCTTTTCCAACCATCACAAGCAGGAGGTGCTATAGCCGGAGAGGTAGAGCATTCCAGAGTGTGAGAATGAAGGTTCATCTACTTCCTGGGCACAGCTCCAGAGAAACTATCACCGCCATAACTGCTCCTTGACCAGCCAGTTCAAATCTTCAGCAACTCTTTAACAAATACACATAAGAGGTGGCTGCCTGCAGGAAACACTGTCCTTTGGACTGGTTGGTTATGATGCATTAGTAGGGATTGTTTTCTATTTACAATGTCAGTTTTATTTTACTTGGCCTCTCCCAAGGATAAGCTTTAGGACAAGGATATAATGTCCATCTTTAAAAATCATCATCATCATCATCCCACATGAAGAGAACTATCAACTTTTAAAACAACTGCTATGTGCTTCTCTGAGAGTAGGATGAATGGATAGCCAGATCCAATGTTATTTTTTTCCTAATTAATATCAATAGCTTCAATAGGTAAATGAAAATATAGTCAGCCTGCATGATTCAGCTGAGTTTTGGTCTTGCGTTATGGAGAGTAAGGCTACAATCCTGTACAACACTTGCCAGGAAGACAGTCTCAGCGAATACAATAGGACTTAATTCTGAGTAGATACGCAAATGATTGCATGGTAGGGGTCATTTTATGGCCATTGGCTTTTACAGCTTCAGCTGTAAAATGGAAATAATAATGAGCTAACTTATAGATTGGAAATGGAAATAATAATGAGCTAACTTATAGACTGCTGAGTGATCCCAAACATCAAAGGCTAGAAAGCATTGTACAAATCATATATAGAAATAGCAAACGGCTACCAGTCACTTATAGGCCTGTCAGCTGCCCTTGCATGTGTTGTGTGAATGGGGAGAAAATTGTGTGGAACTGAAATTCTGACAGTAAAACTGTGATCTCACAGAAAATTCACACTCACCACTGATGCTGTTGAAAGTCCATTCATCCTAGTGGAAGATCATAACTAAACTTGCTATTGCTCAAGCATATATGGCCAGATATGCCTGAACTGGGAAGCTCATTTGTTTTGGAAAGTTGGAAAGGGATATCATAAATGGCTTTTTTAAAGTCATGTGATTTGAAGAGATAATGTCCCCCTCTCCAGGTTTTGTGCAAGTAGACTAAGGTTACCAGACGTCCCCGTTTCCTGGGGACAGTTTCCAGATTTACAAATCACTCCCCATACAAAATCCATTGAAGTTGAAAGGTGTCCCTGGATTCATTGAAAAAAATCTGGTAACCTTAATTAGTAGACAGAATGTGAACAGTTTGCAATTCAGTTTACTAGCTAGGGGTGGGAAAGAGAGAAGAGCCTGTAAGGTTAATGCAGCCTTCAGCACCACACTGCATACAAGTTCGCAAGCATACAAGGCAAGGCAGAGAAATGCTTGGAACTACATTCATTCAGTTCTGGAAAAAAACAACAACCTCAAAATAAGACAATGCTGCCCTCTCGTGGCAAAGTCACCAGATTCAAATTCAATAGACTTTCTGCTGCCTGGCATGAAGAAGCCTTGGAGTCTGGGAGGTTATTATGCCCTGAGCACTATGGAGATTCTTCAGAGTCTCCCCTGCAAACATTGTGATCACACTGCTTCTTGGTCCACTGGAATGTCACAGGAACACTGGAAGCTGCGCTATGCTGACTCAGGCCATTGGTCCCTCCAGCTCAGGGGATCTCTCCCAGCCTTAACTGAAGATGCTGGGGACTGAACGCAGGAACTTCTACCGTACGTGCAAAACAGATGCTCTACCACTGAGCTACAGACCTTCCCCATGCCCACGACTGGACACTAGGCTCAGTTACTATCAGAGGCTGCCACAAGCATAATAGACTTTGTTGTTCAGTACAGAGACCTATTCTACCCCCACCTCCCTAACTTGGCTTTGGAATCCAGACATTAACTTATAAAGGAAGTACCCCTTCTTAAAAGCAGCCATCTGGTTTCAACAATAATTTCAACAGACCCTTGATGATTGAGCAGACAGAGGTTAAATCAGCAGAACAAAAATTATCCTAAATTGTTGAAAGCAGCTGCAGATAGTTATACAAGAAACTGAATTTAATTAAGGATCAGAATTGGGAACAATTTATAAATATGCGGATCGTTATTTTCAGTTGATGGGGAGCCAAGCGACTCTGTTCTTATAGAAAACATGCTAATGTGGACTAACCTCAGGTGATTGCAGGAAGCCCCCCAGCAATGTTATAACAGCAATGTTATGCAAAAGGTTAGCTGCCCATTTTTAGACAACGGAATAGTCTTGCAATGAGTCATTCAGATATCTCTTCAGCTGCAGTTACACAAAGGAAAGGTGATACCACAAATTTTATGAATCTCTGTGAAATGTAATGATTTCCTACACATGAAATAATGTAGCTGGATTGGATTGCTCAATATACAGACCTAGTCTATCTCCACCTCCCTAACTTGGCTTTGGAATGTAGATTTAAGCTTTATGACAAGGATATAATGTCCATCTTGTGCACAGGGCTTAGAACAGAATACCAGCATAGGACTGCTGGTTTTTAAAAAATAAATAAATAGCTGGTGTAGAATTCAGTACGCTATTAGAATGGTCATTTACACATCACCAGAAAAAAGAGCATAAATTTGCACCATTTTTGCATATGTTCATTTATAAATATAGATGCAAATTTGGGGGAAATATTTTAATTAGAAATACATCTCACCATAGTGGAGAAGAAGACTACAACCAAGTGACCTGTGTTCTTCTCAGTCTGATGCCCAGGTGCTCAACTGTTCTTGGGCAACTTCAAGGCCCCTTTCTTATGGTTCATTATGCTTAAAATAAACTAGACTTGGATTGGACAGCCCTTCAAAGAGAGAATACCTTAAAACAGAGGCCAGTCCTATCATATCACTTTGAATAGATGTCCTCTGCAAAGTAGGATATGCGATCACACTAGTCATTGAGGGGGTGGGGAATAAAATAAAAGCAATGTAGACATTGGGTAGTTTAGTTTCTCTTATATTTTCCTCAAAGGCCAACCTTCTCAACCAGCAGTTCCATATTTTCTGTAGTCTTCTCCTTCCCTGACAAGTATTTGTGGAAGCTTTTACAACTTTAACTTTGGTGGTGTATGGATTTCACACTCTTGCATTGGATCCTGCACATCTCTTTGAAACAGTGCCCAGACAGAGCACCCCAGTCCCCTGATTCACCAAGTTGCAGGAACATGCCTTGCCCTCTCTGCTCTGCCAGTCTGGAACTGCTGCAGGAAAAAACTGTAATTTTGCTCCTTGCCTTTCTGTCCTGGCTGACATGAGCAGCCACACTCCAGATATGGCAGCGACTCCAGTGCTCCATTAAGTTCTGCTGGTGCCCACCAGGGGGTTGGGTTGTCCACTTTTGCTGTCTGAAGTGGTGCCAAAGTGCCCTCCCTAACTCTGTTCTCCTGCCAAGGGTCAACTCTTCAACAAATCTTGCTCTACCACGCACCAATTCCTGCCTTCATCTCCTCCTCCTCACTGTGCTGTTTGAAGAGGGTCACTTTCCCTTACATGGTGGCAGCAGCTGTGTCTCTTTACACAGCTGTGTCTCTTACATAGCTGAGGGATGTCTAGAATGAAGCCTGTGACAGCACTATGCCTGAAGGCTCCTCCTCCTGCTATCTCCCTTTCCTGTTGGAAACATGGGCAAACTCAGTATTGTTGCATGCCACTCCAATTTCTGAGTAGTGCAAGATCCCAGAAGTTCCAGCTGCTTACCCAGGGTACGGTTTCCTTGGAATCAGGGACAGTGAAGACTGTGTTTTTATGATATATGGTTTATTTACACATATATACAACCTTATGAGTTTGACCAAACTGCGGGAGGCAGTGGAAGACAGGAGTGTCTGGCATGCTCTGGTCCATGGAGTCACGAAGAGTCGGACACGACTAAACGACTAAACAACAATAATATACAACCTTAGCCTATGATGGAGGGGTTCACAGCATTAGCACCCCAAGAAGGTCTTGCCTCTTCCATAGCCACAGGCTTGGATCCCAGCAGAAATCAGGCATGGCTCTGGCTCTCAGCTGCCCAACTTGCTTCTAGGACACACACCTCAACTCTGGCTTCTAACTATCAGACAATGTGGGGGGCACCCATTTGCTCCCTGGCACAGAGCCACTTCCTTTGTTTCCTCAATGACTTATACTTAGGGGGCATTACCAAGAAGCTGACCTGGCTATCCCAGCAATTGAATCCTCCATTAGATTTTAACCTTTGCTGGATCCAAGAATTAGAAGGGACTCGGGCATATAGCCTACCCCGCTCCCCAACTCACAACAGGATTTTACACAGGGTTGCTTCTTCCCCATATTGTAAAGTCTCCAATCCTCTGCTTTGTGGGTAAATTCCATTCAAGATGAAAGACAGTAAGGCCCGATCACATATTTAGGTTTTCAGCCTGTGTGACCATTCCTGGCCTGAAGGGAGCATCTTTAAGGAAGGTTCATTGTCCATGCCCATCCAGTTTTTGGCCTATTGCCTGCCTGTGTTTCTAATTAAATGCTTGTTTTCATGGTGATATGAACATCTTTTCCCTTAGAACTGGAATGAAGCCACTGACATAGGTCATTGGAGAGCTCCCAAGGATTTTGTTTTTAAATCATGTTCTCTGGCAAAACTCTACAGGCCCTTTGATCAGCTTTTCTTAAAAGAGTATTCATGTGGCTTACTATCTCTGTGTTTTACAGAAACACAAGGGCAGCGTTTACATGTTGGACCCCAAATCAACCTAACACAATGGATATTGGAGCCTGTTTTGTAATGGGTAAAATAAGTTTTTCCTTAGAACGCAATAAGGAACTGCATGGAAGGGGCTTTTACAGGTTATTTTTCCAGAAGAGTTGTCCATCTCTATTCACTGACAGAAATGCAGTTCCTCTTGGTTTATTGTTTGGCAAATGGTAGCTTTTGTCAGACATTACAAAGTAACAAAGAATATTCACATATAAACATTTTTGCATAATAATAATAATAATAATAATAATAGAACAACAACAGTGAGAGCTGGACCATAAAGAAGGCTGATCGCCGAAGAATTGATGCTTTTGAATTATGGTGCTGGAGGAGACTCTTGAGAGTCCCATGGACTGCAAGAAGATCAAATGCATCCATTCTTAAGGAAATCAGCCCTGAGTGCTCACTGGAAGGACAGATCGTGAAGCTGAGGCTCCAATACTTTGGCCACCTCATGAGAAGAGAAGACTCCCTGGGAAAGACCCTGATGTTGGGAAAGATAGAGGGCACAAGGAGAAGGGGACGACAGAGGATGAGGTGGTTGGACAGTGTTTCCGAAGCCACCAACATGAGTTTGACCAAGCTGCAGGAGGCAGTGGAAGACAGGAGTGCCTGGCTTGCTCTGGTCCATGGGGTCATGAGGAGTCAGACACGACTAAACGACTAAACAACAACATAAAGAACAACAACAGTAGTAGTAGTAGTAGTAGTAGTAGTAGTAGTAATAGTATTATTTTATTAGTTATACCCCAGCCATCTATCTGGATTTCCCCAGCCAACATGTGAAGGTATGTGTCATAAGTTTTGAAACTTTCACTAAACAGGAATGAGATATGTGCTCACAGCCTCTTCCACCTCCATGTGTATGTAGTTTTGTGGAGTTGTGACTCTCCTGACTTCAGTTGGTTGCTGCCATTTATGGCCAATACATTTTTTTTTCTTTTGCAGAAACTATATTAGCATCTTTTTCATAATCCCTCCATTCTCTTAGCAACTCATTTTTCCTGATTTGAGACCCACTTTGGGAACAAATGGAAGATATTTATCCTGTTACTTCATAGAAAGTAGCTCTCGAATGGTATCAGAGAACCTGTGCAGAAAATAAAAGACCTGATTTCAGAATCTTAGTTCAAAGTTTGCATAATATAAACGTCTTAAAGTGCAGCATATGATATTCATTTCTTATTGTGAAAGTATAAGTTATCTTTAAATATGTCTCACAGCAAGGTATTTCCAGGGGATTAATAATTCACTTTAAGTAGTGTCCGCTGTTTTCCCCTCAGCCAACAATTTGCCTTGGTTACTCATTAAAAGCTTCAGGAAGTTGTTGGATTTCAGTCACTAGTGCTTGAATAACTGTGCCAGCACTGTTTGAGGTCAATTTTATATGGTTTCCTCAACAGCTTAATGGATTTGAGTAACAACAAGATGGCATTATGGCAGAGCTGACAGAGAAGCAACAAAATATGTTTTAATGAGGCCAACCTGTGCCCAATACATTTAATAACCACATGGAAATTGTGTCTTGGGGTGTTGATTAGATGAGGAAAGGGTGGCATTAGGAATCACAAAAATCTATCATTCATTATAGGTAGAGCTCTGGTAACTTTGGTGATGAGAAGCAGGAGGAACGAGCCCTTTATTTACCTAAAACAGGCATAGGCAAACTCAGCCCTTCAGATATTTTGGAACTACAACTCCCATCATCCCTAGCTAACAGGACCAGTGGTCAGGGATGATGAGGATTGTAGTCCCAAAACATCTGGAGGGCCACGTTTGGCCATGCCTGACCTAAAAGGATCACTCTGTGCAAGCAGATTTTCTCCAGAACATTCCTAAGGATGCATTGCTAAGATGTCTCTTCCATGAACTCCAACAGGTACTTGACCTTGGTAGAGACACCCAACAGCAACTCCTACTCCATACTGGTGACTCCTACACCAAAAAAGCAAGTCAAGGGAGCAACTATGCTACAAAACAGAACTTCTGCAGCTAACTGAACCACTTCACCATATGCAAACGTTGTGTCTTGTCTGAACTGCCTTTGTCAGTAGCTAGGACAAGTGTGGAGACTGCTGATGTGCTCAGGCCCAGCTTCCCATAGGCATCTGGTTGGGCCCTGTGAAAAAAAAAGATGCTACCAGCATGTCTGAGGTGGTCAGTTGTGGGAAAAGCAGGAGAGGGAGGGATTAATGGGAGGGATGATGAGGCTGGCCTATTGGGGGAAAACTAGGCAGGGGATTGGTCAAATTGTTTGCCAGGGAATGAGTGGGCCAAAAGGCTTGGCTGACCTGTGTAAGAGCCAGGCAATTGATCCATGCAGCGCTTCTCTTTATTGACTTGCTGTTTCTGAGGATGGGGGAACTGTGGTGAAAACCACAAGTGCAGACAAACCTTCAGCATTAACATGAACCACAAATCTACTTTTCTAGAATGTCAGTAGGTGCATGCTTGTTGAACACAGTACAGTGGTGCCCCGCAAGACGAATGCCTCGCAAGACGGAAAACCCGCTAGACGAAAGGGTTTTCCGTTTTTGAGTTGCTTCGCAGGACGAATTTCCCTATGGGCTTGCTTCGCAAGACGAAAATGTCTTGCGAGTCTTGAGATTCTTTTTTCACTTTCCCCCCTTTTTCTAAGCCGCTAAGCCTTTAATAGCCTTTTAGCAGCTAATCCGCTAAGCCGATAAGCCTTTAATAGCCGCTAAACCGCTAATAGCGCTAATCCGTTAAGCCGCTAATAGGGTTGCTTCGCAAGACGAAAAAACCGCTAGACGAAGACACTCGTGGAACGGATTAATTTCGTCTTGCGAGGCACCACTGTATAAACAAACACAAGCAGTTTTTATGAAAGAATACCCAAAGGTCATCAGTGAAATATCTCCCTGGTAATTTTAAATGAAAGCTCCTTTCATGCCACAGGGGCCTTTTCTGTTAACAAAAAAATTGCTAGATTTATCGCTGGTTATTTCTCTGTGACAATGTGTCCAGGTCAGATAATGTTTCACTTGGCAGTTCAACAATAACAGGCCTTCCTAAATTGATATTGTTAACCGTTTTCTCTGAAATCAACAGATTCTATGTGTTCATTGTTCTTGGCAGCAGGGGGCACTGAACTCACTGAAGAGGGGGAAAATATGATTCGCTGGAGGAAATTATACTGCTATGCTGGAATGATAGCAAAAGTGTAGTTAAGGCTTGACTTGAATTTCACATTTGACAGGCAAAATATTATTTTACAGGTTTTCATTATACTAGAGACAAAAATACACTCCCCAAGTTTTCCATATAAGTTGAATAGCTACTTTAATTATCACTATTCAAATACCACTTTAAAAGCTAAAGCATATATGCCTGGAAATGAGAAAGTACTTTTTGTATTAATGCCTGGGTTTCTTGTTGAAATAGAGAAAAATATTTTCAGTTATTTGAGTTAAGGAGGTATTGGAGATATTGACGACAACAGTCATCACCAGCATCATTCTTCTATTTCTGATGTACCAGTAGTAAGCGCTGATGCTTGTGTAGTCTAATATTCAAGAGGGAGATATCAGCAGGCTTGGAGGAATGCTCCACTTTGCAGAAGTATAACAAAATATTCATGAGGGAAAGCCTTAATGGGGGGGAACCCACCCAAAACAGTCCAATAAGGCCTGAATATCGTAAGTGGCCATGGAATGATGACTGACTGGAACAGGGAGTGCTGGGGATTATTTGAAATGATCTCTCTCTCTCTCTCTCTCTCTCTCTCTCTCTCTCTCTCAATTCACAAGATGCCAACACCCCTCTCCCAATGCTTTTGGGAACCAGGAAAAAAAGAATGAACAAAGACAGTAAAGAAGAAAGGAAGGAGAATGGAAAGGATGAGGAAATGAGGGAGAAAGAAAAAGAGAGGAGACAAGGGGGAGTGACAGACTATCCAAAAGCTACTTGGGGATGAGATCATCTGCATTCCCCATAGATGGGTCCTGAGACTCCCATCTCCAAGCATAACTGAACTGTGTCCCCTACCCTAGTTATAATTGTGGTAACTAGGATTTGCGCCCTGTATCAAAATAATACCCCCCTGAAAAATATGTATAAGGTACTGTTTATAATTCCTATTTTGATATACAGCGGTACCTCTAGTTACGAACTTAATTCGTTCCAGAGGTCCCTTCTTAACCTGAAATTGTTCTTAACTAGAGGTGTGCTTTTGCTAATGGGGCCTCTTGCTGCTGCTGCACCGCTGGCACACGATTTCCGTTCTCATCCTGGGGCAAAGTTCTCAACTCGAGGTAACTCTTCCAGGTTAGCGGAGTTTGTAACCTGAAGCGTTTGTAACCTGAGGCGTTTGTAACTCGAGGTACCACTGTACTAGGGTTAATGGCAGCTCTTTGCAAAATTGTGGCTCAAAAACTACATAGTTGTTGCTTGTATTAATTTATACCAGTCTTGAACTAGATCCAGGACACAAACTTAATTATGTATATATCTGACTGTTCTTCAGTTTGTTGGAAGCCTTTTGCCTCTTCACAGACCTGTTTCAGTTTGTGAAGCCTCACTGTCTGTTGGGGCTTGCTAAGGCCTTTTTCAGTCTGGAAGTCTCCCTGATCTTTTGCCTCATGAAGAGCCTGTATCGAACTAAACCTTGCACAAGTCTAGTCAAGTGGATATGAGTCTTCTACAAGGATCAGATCTCTAGGATAATTGATAAACTTGCAGAAAAAGGTTGATGCCTTCTGGTAACCTCAACCTTACCAACAGCACACATTGAATAGGATTCAAAAAACTGTCAGAGAAACAAAGGAGTCTGAAGAAAACTCTGAGCCAGAGAATATACCTCAAGAGAAAACATAGCTCTTCCTAGCAGAACCAGATGGAGTAACTATTGAAGTTGCCTGCAATGCCCACAATGTAAAGCCATCCCGGGGCATTATGGGACTTGTAATGGCAGGACACTTTTTCAAAGGGCAGGCATCATTGCTGATTCCCACTGGAGCAATCCTGGCAACTGCTCAAGCATGCCAGGAGCTGAAACTGGGCTCCATCCTTTTAAATACTGGAAAGATACCAGTTATATTTCCCTGCAACTTGATATATAGAGTGGAACAGGGCTATTAGTTCCTGACTCTTAGACTGCATTAGCATAAGGACTGCATCCAACATGTCATTGGCTTTTTGTGCTGAAGTACCACATTGTTGATTCATGTTCAATTCATTGGCCATAATAACTTCACAAGACTTCCCAGAAATGCTACTGCCTGGCCAGATAACCTTCATATGCTTGTGTATGCTTGGCTCCCATCCCCTCTGGTGTAACATTTTCAATTCACCCTCTTCTGAAGATGAGTTGTGCTCTCCAGTTTTGTGAGTTCTCCCAGAGATGGGATAAGAATGCAGTCCCCCTCTCCCCACCTTCAACTCAATACTGGAAGAATATTTAGACAATGATGGATCATTGTAGCTTGCTCAGATATGTGAATAAGTAGACAAGACCCCCCAATGCAACATCCAGTTGATATTTTTTGGCAGAGCTACTCTCCCCGTATGCCTCTATCTCCTTTCTCACAGTTGATATGAAATCATACCACTGGCTCCCAAGCCAACACTTCGAAGAAGAAACAGATGATCTGCTCAGTACTTGGAAGGTGTCTTGATTAGAAAGGAGAATCTTTAGCAAGAGGCCTTGTTCTCCTGAAGGAAATATGCCAATTTGATTCAGGCTGCAGGAATGAAAAGATTCTCTGGTTTGAATCAAATAGCTGCTTCAAAATAATGAATGTGCACAAAGAGCAATGTTTATTACATATATTTATGATATCCTTTAATATGCGGTTGGCGGCACTCACGTCTTTTCTTTCTCACGCCTGAGAAACCTGGCTGGATCTCACTAAAATTCATCTGCCTCGACATCCTGCTGGGGAAACCCGCAATCAGGAAATGACAGCCACAGCTCTCCCTGATATGTGCCCTCTGCCAGCAAGTGGAATTGAGAGGCACACTGGTATGAACATGGAGTTGCCATGAACGCGTTATGGAGCAAGTGGGCTTATACCCCAAGTGTTTGTCCAATCCACTTGTGAAATCACCTAAACTAATGGCCACTGTTGCCACATCTTACGACTGTGCTCTGCATAAATTCATGAAAAGTTGTGTAAAGAAGTACAGGCGTCTCCTCACTTACATGCAGGTTATGTTCCTGAGTACTGTGTGTATACGTGAAATTGAGTATGGTGGGGAATACCATCGAAAAAGGCCTGTAAATCCACTCTCCACTAAACTCTGCCAAAAATCCACAAAAAATTGCCAAGCTCCACCACAATCGCTCCCTCCAAAACTCCTTTCTCAAACTCCAACTTTCCATGGGCCTCAAAGGTTGGTGCAAAGGCTGCTGGGATTGCAAACTGTTTCCCCACTCTTTTCATGCCATTTTTGCAGTTTAAATCAATGCATTTATTTATTTCACTGCGCTGCATGTATATGCTGTTGCACACAAGTCAAATGTGGGAAGATGCCTGTACTTTCTTGAGAAAGGTTCTGTGCATGTTGGATTTGTTTCCATTCCTCCTATCATAGCTGTCGCATCTCATGGGGTTTTGCCAACTATGGAGAAGATGGCTAAGGAACACCTATCTTGCTTTGCCCCTCCCAAAAACCTCTCTTCAAATAGTCAGCTGAAAATATGTTCTGAGTCATACTATTCTTACAACAAATAATTCCAAAGCATGTGCCTTATGGCCAATGTAGCTACATCAACATAGTGTATCCTTGGCCCTATTTTTATCGAGGTAGCCTGCTTTGACTTTGATGGGGAGAATTCATTCAATTGATTCACATTTAAAGGTGAACCAACCTAATTCAGACTTTCCAAAACAATGCAAGAATCAAAGCGCAGTCATCCCTCAAAATTTGCACTTTGAATGCTGTAATACAGTTCTTGAGCCAAGTAATTTTTTTTTAAAAAAAACACACATATTTGGAGTATAGTGTCCATCAAAATGCATATATTAGTGAAAATAACATACAAAAATGCATTAGTTTAAGGAAAACTGCATTGCAAATATATGTCTATTGCACAAAATTGAATACAAATGTGAAATTTGTACTTGGAGAAATTCTCATCCAAATGCTGATGAATTTGTGTGTGTGTGTATTTGTTTGTTTGTTTGTTTGTTTGTTTGTTTGTGTGTAAACTGATGTGGACATATGGACAACTGAATCTAAGATTGGAAAAATGAGAAACTTAAAGAAGTTGAAATTGACAGATTTTGACTCACTACTGGTATGTTTATGGGTGGAGCCAGTTCTGGCACACTATCAGCATTGCACTTGCATGTAGAATTAATGTCCCTCTCTATTTCTTTCTTGCATCTGTAAATGAATGGTTGACATCAGCAGGCAGTTAAGGAGTAGAAAGTGCTAGGTACATCTGTCCTCCCCTAACTCTTTCACTACCTTACACACATATCAATTCCAGTCAACCCAAGGGGGAACCCCCCACATCTTTCTCCACATTTGGATTTATATAGCAGATAGATTTCTCCCTCTCTTCTCCCTAGCCAGAAAATGCTTTAAAATGCACTGCAGATAATAACATTATAATAATTCTTAACAACGTGAGGAAGAGAAACTTTGGCAACAGCCACACCACAGAATCTTTATAGCTTCCATTTAGCAAAACAGAATATCAGGTTTTTAAGGTGTGATGTGAAGGCCCTTTTAGGGCGAGATGCAAAGCTGGCATCGGAGGTCAGCGCGATCAGGCATTTGCCAAGACTTTCGCAGGACCCCTACAGAGGGCCCACTGATCCTAGTACTAATGCTGCTGCTTCTCTTTCCTGTCACTGTTTACTTGCCCTCTCTGAGAATTTAAGTGCATGGGTGATGAGATCAGCACTGAACCAAGGCACTGTCCTACCTCAAGCAAAGGACAAGATGGCGCCCCATTCTATTTAATGTAGCTGAATGTACTGACCATTCAGTCTTACTATCCTGGTGACAGAGGAGTGTCCTCTACCAAATCCAAGGCAGCAGAACAGATTAGAGGGTTGAGGAGGAGCTATGTGACAACTAAGGGGAATTAATGGCCCTCTCAACACCTGTCACCTGAGGTGGCTGCCTCACTCTGCCTAATGATAGGAATGTGTTTGGATGTGTTGGAGCCTATCATTCACTTGCCCTGCTCTTTTCCTCTGGGGACATCAACAGATTGGGCCCAGGGACAGAAGCAAGTGAATGAGCAATGGTGACACTGGATAGGAGAAAATGGACACACTAACAGAGGCAGCTCCCTGGATAATCTGGCCTAAGGAACTTTCAAGATTGTGCTCAAATCAATCACATAAATTTCAGAGTGCAATCCTGTAAAAATCAGTTCCATTGAGTTCAGTAGGGCTTACTCCCAGGAAAAGGGGAGTAAAAGTGCAGTATAAGTCCATTCATGAAGTTATCAATCAAATCCATGTAAATTTGCATATGAGAAAAATAGTTCAAAAGAAAGAATATTTTATTTTCGATGATGATATGAGTGTGGATGTGTCACAACATGGAAGTATTTATATTTAAAATAATTTGCCCAAAAGACTACCCACGGGCACTTTTTAGTCAATCAAGATAGATTTCATTGCTTCATCTAGCCAGTTCATCATCAACAGGGGAAATCTGTACATGTTTACTCAGAAGTAAGTCCAATGGGACTTACTGCCAGGCAAGTAAGTAGGTGTAGGATTGCATGAAGCAGAATCTATCTAGGGCAGGGGTGGAGAACCTGTAACCCTCCAGATGTTGAAAGACTATAAGTCCCATCACCCCTGACTATTGGCCATGCTGGTCAGTGCGCATAGGAGTCGAAGTCCTACAGCATAGTTAAATTATGGAACTTGCTCCCATAGGAGGCCGTGATGACCACCAACTTGGATGGGTTTAAAAGATGATAGGAAGGATTCATGGAGGAGAAGGCTTTCAATGGCTATCAGCCATGATGACTGTCCTCTGCCTCCATGGTCAGAGGCAACAACGCTTCTGAATATAAATTGCTGGAAACTACAAGAAGGGAAGAGTGTTCTTGTACTCGGGTCCTACTTGCAGGTTTCCCACAGGGATCTGGCTGGCCACTGTGAGAACAGGATGCTGGACCAGATGGGCCATTGGCCTGATCCAGCAGGTTCTTCTTATGTTCTTAACATCTGGAGGGTCACAGATTCTCCATCCCTCATCCTTGAAATACCACAGCAGGTGAATTTAGGTGAGGTAAATTAGCTCAGAAAGTCTGTCTTTCCCCGGTGGGCACCAGTTCTCAACAAACTACAGATTAGTACTTTGTGCAGAAGGAATTGTTTTAACTTGCTTTGTTCATGAAACTCCATGTCAGGTCAGAAGGACACGCTGTCCTCCTATGAGCTGCATTTCCCATCCTTTACCTTAAAGGGAACTGACTAAATCCTCTCTTGCTCCCTCCCTCCCTCCCTCTCCTTCTTTTGCTATCACTCAGAAGATAATATTTTAAACTATCAGCACAGGGAAATCTGCCTTAATTCCCATTCTTTAGTTGCTTTGCCACAAAAAGCTAATAATCTAAAATGGGCTCATATTTCTTCAACTTGGGGCAACATCCCACAGGCATTCCTAGGTTCTCTCTCTGTCTCTCTCTGCTCAGTGCTCCCCACCAAAGATACATGTATGAAAGGGGATACTGCTGCCTTTTTTAAAAAATGAATTTCTCTTTTTTAGAATTCCTTGCTTTTTCACAGGCTTATTATGCAGACGGGAAACAGAAACAAAGTCCTGCTTTCTTTTCTTTGCATGCACTTCTCCCTGTGTGGGTGTGAAGGATCCTTCCCTTACCCCAATTAAGAGAAAATGCCCTAGAAGCACATGCAAACTTGCCACGTGGCAATTCACTTCTTTGCTTTTGAGGAAGTAAAGTCTGAATGTAGTGGTGACTCTCACATTTTATGTTCACTGGGAAAGTGCATGTATGGGCCAGGACCAGCCCTCTTGTTAGGCAAGGGAAGCACCTTTCCTCAAGAGAAGCAATGGATTTGTGCTCCTTGGCCCATCTGCCGCTGCCTCCGCTCACCTGCAGTGATGCCAGCTGCCACCACTTCCTCCCTCTTGCTGCTGCCACCACAGCAGGTTACCCTCCAACCTGTCCACCCTTCTATTGTGGAGTGGCCAGCAGTAGCTGCTGCCTACGATGGCAGCAGTGCTCCTAAAATGCTGTCTCAGTGGCTACCTATACTGTACACCAATCTGAGAAAGGGTCCTTCCTTGAATGAGGCATTGTAGGCAGTATTTTGCCATGGCAAATGCTGTTCAGTGATCCCCATGAGTCCACACAATCACAAACCGTGCCTCAGCCAGCGTTTCTGATTGTACAAACAGAGCCCGCAGGCTCACGCTTTCTTTGAATGTAGACTCCGTGCATAAGAGGCAAAGCAGACAGGGCGGTCAATGGAGGAGCCTGCCACCACAACCCTTCTTGCTCACCCTCAAAACATTTAGTATATTGGTCACATCAACCAGGCTCCTGTGTCATTTCAGAGATTGCTGTGGACAGTTGGGAATTGGGTGATCTTTCCTTTGTTGATGTGTGGGTAGACTCTGAAGTCCAAATGAAGCCTTTGCTAAACAAGTCTTCATTCATTACATTTATGTCTCAACTTTTCCCCAAAAAGCTCAAGGTAGCTTCTCCCCACTTTTGTCCTGCTATTAGCCTCACAATATTCTTGTGAGGTAGGCTAGGCTGAGAGATAGTGACTAGCCCAAGGTTGCCTAATGAACTGCAGGGCTGAGTGGAGATTTGAACTCTAGTCTCCCAGGTCCTAATCCAACACTCTAACCACTGCACAACACTGTCTTTGTAGATTTAAAAAAATCAAATCGCATGAGTTGCAAGTGGGAATATAACCCTTTCCTCCCCTGCTGCAGGCCTTAGGGGAAAATCCTTTTCTGAAGCTGGTAGTTTTCATTGGCACCAATAGGGGATTCCTTTGTAACCAAAAGGTGGGGTTGTCCACAGTGGGGGAGAAAAATGTGAAATTTCCCCTGCACACCTGCAGCAATTCTGATCATTATAATGCCCCCGCAACCTGATGCTGCTTGCATTTTTAAGAAACCACAGGTTAAATGTAACGATGCATGTAATATCACGTGTCTTTCTTCCCTTGGGGACGCAGGTGCTACTTTGGCCAGTTTCACTGTTGATTTTATTATTGCTCCAAGCATGAGCCAAGAGTTGCCCCAGTTCCAATAAACTTCTCACCTTCCTTCACTGAGTGTCTGTGCAATTATTACAGCTTGGAAGCTAGCATTTCCCCACCCACCATCAACGCCAACGTGATAACTTCCTTGTAGTCCCCTTGCCCTCCACAACTGCCCCCCCATCTCAACCATGTACCTCAAATTTCAGTCTTCATGCCACTTGAAAGGGGGAGAGATACATATTTAGCCCCAAATCTGCTTAGCTGTAAAGCCAACCATATGTCAGTCAAAGTAGCAATATGCAACAGCACCCCTATTTTTCACATTCTAGCATGGTGGGCACAGAGGAGTGGGGGGGGAGCCCTAGAAACCATTCTGCATGTGCAACTGGCTTTCTTCAAGTTTGGATCCTTGGGGGTAGCCACCTACAGTTCAGGCAAGGAGCCCTGTGGAGGAAAAGACTTGCCTTTTATGACAAAACAAAACAGTAACCCTATACTCCTCTCCCGCTCAGTTTCATTTCAGAGGCCACACAGCTCTCAAGGCACCTGAAAATGATTTAGCAAATTCCTTAGATATTACAACAAAGTTCTAAGTTACATTAAGGATTCAAGCTGTGACTGCTTTGCAGAATGAAGGGGCCTCAGTTTGTCGGCTGCGTAGAGGACTGTAGCAATTGTCATCACTGGCACAGAAAAGGATACTAAGAACATGCCCTCAGATGACTAGGCAAAGTTGATCCATTTGTGCGAATGGATTTATTTCTCCAACTATACCTTGGCTTCTGCAGATGCCCCAATCTCACCCTGAGCTGAACAATGTAACTAATCACTGACAATGTCATAGGCAACAAAGAGAAGAGCATCTAAGAGTTTGTGAACCATTTAGAAACTGGTTTAGGATTAATTAGCTTGAAGAACAGGACCCTGATCACTATGTACTTACTTAGGCTGGAAATACAGATGGCTTATGTTGCTTATGAGTTACAGATGCTGCTTTTTATACTTATTTTGGAACAATATTTGATACGCACAAGGAAGTATGTATCCTACTGAGTCATTGCACTCTAGATAGGCTTGGGTGATAGGTGGAAGGATTGCTGTGAGTTGTAATTTAATTTTTCATAGAATACTAAGACAGCTATTTCTGGTCACACATTCCTTCTTTGTCATAGCTGGATGTTCCATAAATAACCCTTCATATTGTTTCTCTCTCCATTTTCTTCTATTTCATTTATTCATTTATTTTCTCAGAATACAGCTCTGCTGTTCCTGTGTGTTTCATTGGGGTGTGCTTGCTATAGAATTGCAGTGGAATTCCAGTTGAACAGGAGCTCCTGTAGACTACTAGGAGCCTGTGTCTCTATTGTTTCAGACCCTATTTGGAAAAAATATGGCCTAGGTTACAGTCTTATGCCCATTTAAACTGAGAGAAAGTCCCATTGATCTCAGTGTGACATACTTTCAAGTTAACACGTGTAGGATATCCCTGTTCTTTTGTTGCATGGAGAGAATCCAAAAGCAAAGAGCTCTTGGCCCCTTCCAGCTTCATGATTTTCTGCAGATGTTTAAAGCTCCATATCTGTTTGTTTGTTTTTTGTTCTATCATCGCATTGCAAAAGAAGATAGTCCCAGTTTAGGGTGGAAACAGCATCGATGTTGTCTCTGCTTGAGTCTCCCAAGTGTCCCTGAGGATGTGTTTTTGTTTCTTAGCCCCTGAAATCATAAGAATTCCCCCTCCCCAGATTGGCAGCTGTATCTGTTGAGAGGTCAGTTTATACAAGATTATCCCAGTATGGATCCATCCTTAGTGCACATGTGGAAACTCAGCCGTATTTAGTGGCCTATAGGAGGCATTCTCTGTAGTGGGGGAAGGACTCTGCATTGTGGATTTCAGGTGTGAGATGATTGTTTTCCTCTGTGTCTATGTACTGCCTGAGAAGATAATACCGTTTATTAAACTTCCTGCCTGTCTTCAGTTGATTTTGGAATCTTAGTCCTCCACCCTGTCTGCTCGAGGACCCAACCACAGCACAAGACACTTAAGCTGATGCTTAAGTGATTTCATGCATATATCTTGTTTCTTAACTATATTCCCTAGGAGGGACTGTTGCAATGGAGAACAGGTTTTTGCTGACTTTTATGTCTTATTGAGGGTTTTTCCAACACAGCAGCAACAAAATTCCTTATCCCTCCCACCTAAGCTAAGGCACATAATAGTGAGCTATTTAACCAACATGGCAAAGCCACGCACACAAAAGAACAAAAGGAAGGGGGGGGGAGAGGAGAGGAGAGGCAAACCACTGTCTTCAAAGCAAAGGAGATTTCATCAGTTTGCTTGTAGAGGTGAGAAAAGCTGCGCTTCTTGAAATCACCTCAGCGCACATCCATAAGAAACACAGGACCTTCCTTTGCATCTGGTAATTCCTTTATTCTCACTATGTGGGGTGTGTGTGTGTTAGAGCTGCATAACAGCAAAGACCAGTTATATTTTTTCTTACACTTATATTCCACATTTCCACCAAGGAGCTCAAGGTGGTATTTGATGTTCTCCAACTCTCCATATTATCCTCACAAAACCTATGAGGTAGATTAGCCTAAAAGCTGACGACTGGCCCATGGCAACCTAGGGAGCTCCATGGCTGAGTGGGGATTTGAACCCTGGTCTCCCAGGCCCTAGTCTCACAACTAGTGTACCACACTGTTGGTGCCACTAGTGCATCCCACCCAAGTTCAGGAGGGCAGGATTCACTTATCGGCCCTTACCTACCAGCTGAAGGCTAGAACCCCAAACAATTTAATCCAGCCCTTCTAGCAATTGGCATTATTGTAGAGTGGCTGACTGAGGGGGACAGAGCCTTGGGGTTTTCCTAGTGGTGTCTGGATCTATTGACCATCTCCTCCCTTTCCTTAATTTTATTTAAACTGCCTACTGGGCAACTGAGGCAGTGCAAAGTGCAGAACTGGTGAAAACTCAGCTACCCGCCATCTTAATTATTCCAGAGACATCTATACATGTAAATGAACCACACTGGTATTTCTGCTTAAAATAAAAGGTGCGTAAAACCACACTGGTATTTCTGCTTAAAATAAAAGCTGCTTAAAATAAAAGGGGCAGTTGAGGCTTGCACCCCTGAGAGGTCACTTGGGTGCTGCTAATGCAACAAAAACAACACAGGAGGCAGCAGTTGGTCTCTGCAGCCACAGCAGGCGCTGTGATTCTCCAGCACATTGACTTCACCTCCGGCAGCACACTCCATTGTCTATCAAGACAGACAGGTGCCAGTAATAGCCACAAATTAACATATGTAAATTCATATTTGCATATTTATGTGCTGGTTCAGTGCCCCAAGTCCTTGTGAGTACCTAGCAAGGCCCCTGCTTCTAACCCCATCTAACATGTAGCTTGCTAAGTGATGGTTATCTGGATGCGTAAGTTTAATCACTGATTGATTTCTTGCAATGAAATTAGTTTATTTGTGTTTTTTTGGTATTACATTTTAGTGCAGTTATCTGGGGAGCTGAAGCAAGAAAATAGCATTCAGCATTATTCATATGAAGGGAAATGCCAGAAACAACAACTGTAAGAGATTAGCCTTCCCAGGCCCATTGGAGGATCGATTAAGCACCTCTTCAGCCATTTTACACTTTCTTTGTTTTCATCTTGGAAAATGCACGTTCTAGCATGGAAAACTGTGTGTTGAAGGTATGTTTATTTTCTGAAGAAGAAGGGGGAAAAAATCCTGCTGGAAATACTTAACTCCTTTATCTGTTCAAAGTTGGAGCTAATAGTACCGTTTTCTCAGGAGAGGAGGGGGGCTTCAAAATGTGGGTTAAAAAAAAATATTAATCGAGTTGTCCAAGTGTTCAGTTTGATTAATTTCCCACCAGTGGGAGTCCAGAATGTGTAATTCACACGGCATCTGTAGTGTCAGAATTTCTTACAAAGCGTCCAAATTATAGACCAAAGGGAGACGCTTCTACCAAAAATGATAAAACAAGGGTCATTAAAATACTTTGTGATTAAGATTGACAAAAGAGACCCTGAAGCGGGGAACGGATAGGGATGAAAATTGTTCTTGTCTCTAGTTTCAAAATGAAAAACAAGCAGTGCCTGTAGGTGATGAAAGAGGGTCCAAGCAGCATTTTATGTCATAGGACTTAATTCTGCAGTCCTTCTAAAACAACATTCATGTTACTAGAGTTACATGCCCTCTGCATTCAGCAGCTCCATTATTCTTATATCTTGTCCTTTTCCTAAATTGGTAAGAATTACAGAATGTCCTCCCTCTACAGATCTGTTATGGTTGCTAGTGCTGTTTCCATTGCTGTTGGTAGGAAAGTAGTTCACTAGTTGTGCTGTGCTAAATATATATATGTCAGTCCTTTCATATTCACACAGGCAGTTTTTTCTTATACAGTGGTACCTCGGGTTAAGTACTTAATTCGTTCAAGAGGTCCGTTCTTAACCTGAAACTGTTCTTAACCTGAAGCACCACTTTAGCTAATGGGGCCTCCTGCTGCTACTGTGCCGCCGGAGCACAATTTCTGTTCTCATCCTGAAGCAAAGTTCTTAACCTGAAGCACTATTTCTGGGTTAGCGGAGTCTGTAACCTGAAGCGTATGTAACCTGAAGCGTATGTAACCCAAGGTACCACTGTATGTGCTTTCTCACTCTTACCAAAAAGCAAAGGTAGCTGTTTTTACCCTTAAGAAAAAGTTCCAAAAGTCACATTACTAAAATGTGGGCTCTCTCCAGTTCTTACTTTTCCAATCTTAAATTCAGTTATCCAGGTTTCTGCAGCAATTTGAGATTATTATTTTTTTAAAAAAACCAAGAACACGAAAATGTTTCAGTGTTTTAGTGCAGATTTATCCTAATGAACATATTTTTGTCTGCAGTTTTGACTGATGTACACATTTTTACTGGAAGGGTCACCAAAGGCTAGAAACCAGGTGGGTCTGAGTCATACTTTATAGTTGACTGTCTCTTGTTTGAAGGAGCTGTCCAAATGTCATCTGTTTGAAGGTCCTTGAACTGGAAGGGCTGTCCAGTGGAAGTCTGGTTTAAAGAATGTTAACAAGAGCATCAGGGGCTCTGAAGATGCCCATCAAACATTAGCACCTGGGCAGTAGTATGAGCAGGCACACAAGTCACCTGGTCGCAGACTTCCCCATTATGGTGAGATGGTAAATGTTTTCTATTTTTGTTTAAAGTACAGTAAGCACGCAACTTAACTCACATTTAATTTGTGGGCATTCAGCTTTACATGCTTGGCATTTTAAAAAACAATTAAAAGGGGAGAGACATCCAGAAAAAAAGACTTTGGCAGCACCACCTGCCATTGCACCCTATGTGTTTTGACCAGGCATCCCTAAACTTGGCCCTCCAGAGGTTTTTGGGACTACAATTCCCATCATCCCTGACCACTGGTCCTGTTAGCCAGGGATGATGGGAGTTGTAGTCCCAAAACATCTGGAGGGCCAAGTTTGGGGGTGCCTGGTTTTGACTATACACAATTTGGGCTTTAGGCATGATCCCTGGAATGTAACCCCCACATCAGTTGAGGGCTTACTGTATAGTGATCAGAAAAACCCTTACTATTTGTGGACGTTCATACACTCATAATTTCAGCCCTGTGGTCTGGGGACAACAGATAGATAACAAAAGTTGATCCAGTGAGCCCTTATGGGTGGCAAAGAGATTTATATTGCAAGGCTGGACAGACAAACACCATCCAGTACTCATCAGTCTGAAGATCTTTCTTACATTTGAATGCATGGTTCCCCACCGCACTCTAAATCAAAGTTTTAAAAGTGGTCCACAGTTGAAATAAATTTACTTTCTTCGATATTTTATTGTGGGCCACTAATAATACTCTTACCATTTATTTATTTGTTTGTTTGTTTGTTATAATGAGTAGATCAAACATTACAACCTTCTAGAATCACATACATGTTAACCGCCCCATAAAAAATGGGGCATTCCATTTCTCCATCCCCAGAGCACAAGAGCCATTTTGGGCGCATTTGGGGGTCATGATTTAATGTGGCACTCCAAAACACATATTTTGGTGTGCCATGCCTGAAAAAGCGCTTTGTCTGGGTCCGCAATCTCATGCAGGTCACATGACTCGCATGGGAGTGCAGACCCGAAAGATGGTGTTCTATGATTTGAGCTGCCTTACATTGGAGGGTATGGAATCAGTCCAGTGAGAAAGACTGTCTATAGAATGCTTCCTTCCAGTTCTGCAGCCTCATGCGGCTTAGACTGTTGGTAACCACAGAATCTGTGGCTACTGTGACTCTGCAAGGATCTATTTCCATTACATGCAGACAGGAAAAGATTATCCATTTGGACCCAAGTTTAATGTGCTACAGAGGTTATATTCCTCTTCTATAAAGCCTTCGTCTGCTGTTGCTTTAAAGTGCCTGAGACATTTTAAACACTTTTAGTATATTCTTATAAAGTTGGTTAATGGCTCCGTGAGACAAGTGTGAAGTAATACAGGATGAAGTAATGCTAAATGTGGTCTAACGAGTAACAGAAGAAATCAGATGTGGTGCTCTTAATCCAAACGTCTTCTTTTTAAGTGCTGTTGCCAAAATGAAATTGTGATAGAGAAGTCCCGACGACAAATTCTAACAAACACATGGTAGGGAATATTCAAAAAAGTAAAAGACTATCATCATTCTAAACTTTGTTGTCTCTGAATGTTCACCATAGCTCATTATTTTAGTAACAACTTTTTTGGGGGGTGCTGTTTTACGATGTTCCTATGAAAAGTGCCACGTACAGTGAACTGAGTGCTATTTTTCTAGAAAAAGAGGTGCCAGATCTCACCATGAGCACCTACCTTGCTCTCTTAGAATGGCAATGGTGCCATAACCCATGTGATAGGTGCTGGAAATGAGTTCTGGCGAGTTCTGGCTGAAACAGAGCCCTGAGTGAATGTATAATATAAATTAAGGATGAGATGAAATATTGCTCATGATACCTGAAGCAAATGAAAGAGGGCTTCTGAGGCCCATTTCTCTGCTCAAATTATCAGCCTCTTAGAGCTGTTTTTCATTAAAATAAATAAATCCAGAGACTGTTCCACATGTCTAATGGGTAACACGCAATTTGGCCCTTGGTATCAGAATGAAGATGCTATGCAGAAATCTGAAGCTGTCTTCTTAAATTCCTATCAATGCATCGTATGCAAAAGAATCAGAGATTTAAAACAAAACCTAGCCAGCCCTTGCTGTCTTGAACATCGTTGCCAACGGTCAGACAATTTGACCCTAGACCAATTGCCAAGGGCTATCTTTGAGACCATTTCGCTTCTCCATTTAGAATGAATAAATCTTGTTGCCATTTTTTATCACCACGTTGCTAGCGACATTGCGAGTTCACATCCAAATGAAGCACAAAAACCAACACAATGATTTCCTAAATAGGGCAAGAGCATTGCCATAGCATCAGACCAGCTGTGCCTGTGAATACACAGAACTTTTGTTTTCTCTGGGCTTTGCCAACCCCACATGGATACCCCAACATACCATAATTGGGTTACTGGCAATGTGGTGTGCGTGGGTGGGTGGGTGGGTGCATGATGCACTCTTGGAAAAACTAAACTATTTTTTAAATGGTATGACCTGAGCTGAGAATGAGCGACTGCAGAGTTCATTAGCATTAGTATTACAGAAAGGTTGTTCAGATACTGCAAATGAGACATTGGCAACAGTGTTCTTAATTGTTGCTGTTGCTGTTTTTAACTTACTGCATTTCCCCCAGAAAGGGTAAATTTGGTTTAAATAGGGGAAAATATGGGCTGTTACTTTGAGGCCAGAGTGAGCTGGTTTATTTCATGAAAAAGATGCATGCACAAGGAGCATCAGTTCCACAATACAGTGGTACCTCGGGTTAAGTACTTAATTTGTTCCGGAGGTCCGTTCTTAACCTGAAACTGTTCTTAACCTGAAGCACCACTTTAGCTAATGGGGCCTCCTGCTGCTGCCGCGCCGCCGGAGCACGATTTCTGTTCTCATCCTGAAGCAAAGTTCTTAACCTGAAGCACTATTTCTGGGTTAGCGGAGTCTGTAACCTGAAGCGTATGTAACCTGAAGCGTATGTAATCCGAGGTACCACTGTAAACTTAAACTCCCACTTGGAAGCACCTTGAGATGAATGTTTTTATTCTTTGAAGATAGAAATCTTAGGGGTTTGGAGTCAAATCTCCCGACTTCAGTCTGTGTATTGTATGGCTTGAAACTCTCTTCAGTAGATGATGCTATGAATGACTGTCAGCTGTGGGCCCATTCTGATATTACCTGGGTGGTACTGGAGCTGTTGCACTGGACTAGGATGCATGGAATGAGTCTGTGGCACACTTTCTTCCCTTGCCAACTTCACCCCAGATTCAGGAGTCACAAAGTTTGGTTGGAGAAGAAAGAAGACCCATTAAAATAAATGCACTTAAGTGACTTAAATCCATTGATTCCGATGGCTCTACTATGTGTATGACTAATGTTGGATATCACCTAGTACCTGGAATTACATCCTAAGCCATTGCAATTCAGGGCTGAAACCTTAGTGTTTTACAGGAATCAAAACAGGCGTATTTTTACCATGGAAGCTGTCCAGGAGGCAATTTAGAGTTGTTCACTGCTAGGAGCTAGCAGAGTTTTCTCCAAATAATTGCTTTCAGTATATATAAAAAAGTAGTAACAACCGGTCATAAAAGATGCAGGGCCAAGTCCTGTGTTCTTCGACCCAGTTCTTCCTCAGCATACATCTGTCTTAAAAACCAACAGGAACTATGCAATTGGTTTTAACAAGTACAACATAATACCCTAAGGGGACAATGTTTTCCATGGGATGAACTCATTCTGCTCTCTTGGAAATAATGAGATACTGACCATATTATAGAACTGACACTAGGCAGGCCAACAGCTGGAGTAACAGAAGGGAGTGCACATCAATTTGTCTTGCTCACAAGAATAAGTCTGCGGTATCTACCTATTAATGTTAGCATGGACCTATGAACATTTATGGCTGAAAAAGTCACCACATGAGGATTTTTCCTCCCACTTTCCTGTGGTGATACTTCTTTTGAACTTGCCACCAGGATTCCTATTTAAATATCATCTGACAGCAGCTTCTCGCCGTTCAACCCAGCATCTGGAAACTGGGAAGCGTACGCCTCCCGTTTCACCTTCCTCCTAGAAGCCAAAGGGGTCACCGATGAAGAAGACGCCAAGAAGAGGGTGAGATTCTTCAGCATCTGCGGAGAGGAGACGTTTGAAATTGCCCGGGCTCTCCTTGCACCTGAAGACGTCGCTACTGTTCCATACAAAACAATAATGGAACAGCTGAAGGGGCACTTTTCGCTGCAGCCCTCAGTGGTGGCTCGTCGAAATGCCTTCTACGCAAAGCGGCAAGCCCCTGGGGAAACCATAACTGGGTTTGTGACCTCTCTCCGCCAAGCCGCAACTTCTCAGAGCTGGAGAACATGCTTCGGGACCGCCTCATCGGTGGCCTGAAGGATGAGAAGCTGCAACGACGCCCCTATGCTAAGAAGGACCTAACGTTCCAGGTCGCTCTGGAGGAGGCCCTGGCAACGGAAGCTGCCAAGAGGTTGACGCAAGAGGCACAGCCGAGCCTGCCATCCCAACCGAGGGTCCACCACGAAGACCTCACCGACGACTCAGGATCTGACAGGGAGGAGGTGCACCGAGTACAGCAGCGCACTCAAGCAGCCCACATACCACAGCTGCCTCGACGAGAAGGAGGGAACTGCGCAAGCTGCGGGGAAAGTTACGAGAGGAGGACCTGCCGTTTCCGCAATGCAGAGTGCAGGCAGTGCAGAAAATCGGGACACATCGCCCGGGTGTGTCGAGCTCGGCCCACCCGACGCCAGGCATCAGATGACCAATCCAAGAGCCCCAGGTCCCGGGGCCCAACGCACCAAGGCAACTCGACGGAGCTCACGGGCTTCCAGGTATACCAATTGCCCCACCCCAACGTAGAGAAAATTTATGTAGAGGTACAGATAGAAGGGGCCCCATGCCGCATGGAGCTTGACACGGGTTCAACTCTATCCATAATCTCGGCAAGGACCTTAAGGAAACTGTGTCCTACTGGGGGTCCCAAACTCAGGCCGGCCCCATTCAGGCACAAGAAGTTGCACACCATTCCAAGAAAGATAGGGTCATCTCCCGGGTCCTGGACTGGGTGTGGAGGGGATGGCCCAGCAGCAGCCCTGGGCCAGAATTCGCTGGCTACACAACCCGCAAACATGAACTGTCAGCCCACAAGGGGTGCCTGTTATGGGGAAGCAGGGTCGTTGTTCCCCAGCCCCTCCGCAAAAGGGTCCTCACAGCCCTACACGGGACACACCCAGGGGTAGTAAGAATGAAGGCCCTGGCCAGGAGTTATGTGTCATGGCCGGGGATCGACAGAGAGATAGAGGCCTGGGTCAAACACTGCCAGGCCTGCCAAGAATCCCGCCCAGATTCCCCAAGGGCTCCAGTCCAGTCCTGGGAGTCCGCCCGAGCACCATGGTCACGCCTGCATGCGGACTTCGCTGGCCCCTTTCAGGGGAAAACATTCTTCATAGTGGTGGACTCCTATACCAAATGGCTGGAAGTCGCACTGGTACCGTCCACTTCTACATCCGCAGCCATCCGGGTACTACGCAGGCTGTTTGCAACCCACGGGCTCCCTGACACTCTCGTCTCAGACAACAGGACTGCATTTACGTCAGGAGAATTCCAAACCTTCACAGCGCAGAACGCCATCCGCCACATCCGTTCGGCACCATTCCACTCTGCCACCAATGGCCAAGCAGAACGCATGGTGCGGACCACCAAGGACACCCTTCGCCGCATGACGCAAGGGGATTGGGAGTACCACCTTGCCACATTCCTCCTAGCACAGCACAGCACCCCCAGCTCAACGACTGGCCAGAGCCCCGCTGAACTACTAATGGGTCGGCGCCTTGCAATCAGATTGGACCGCCTTCACCCCGATAGAGCTCAGGATGAGGTAGTGGTGGGGGAAGGCAAGAAACCCTGGACCTTCGAGGCCCTGGACCCAGTGTACACAAAGAATTTTGGGGCAGGCCCAGCATGGGTACCCGCCACAGTCACCAGGGTCACTGGCCCTGTGTCGTACGAGGTGCTAACAGATGGGGGGCAATGCTGGCGCCCCCACTGCGACCAGATACGGTGACGATTCCTGGGAGAAAACCAGGAGGAGGAAAGGTCAGAGGAGTCCCAAGGGAACAGAGGGGCAGTGAGGCCCATAGAGCAGGAGGGGCCAGCAGGAGAGGCAGAATCAGTAAATACAGAGAGGACCCGCGAGGCCGAAAGGACACCGGAACCAGAACCACGACTGAGTGAGTCGGTTGCGCCAGACCAAACAGGCCCATCACAGCCAGCATCCTTGGAACACGAGCCAGAACCTGAACCCCGGACCAGGGAACACCACAAGCCGCAACGCACACGTAGGCCGCTGGCGTACCTCGAGGACTATGAATGCGACCTCCCGGGCAGGACTGGAACTTAGAGGGGAGGGGTGTTATGTACTGAGTTGAATAGGATCCAAACTGCAGCAGTCTGATTGGTCCTAGAACAATAGGATCCAAATTGCAGCAGTCTGATTGGTCCTAGAACAATGCAGCAGTATGATTGGTTGGCAGGAACCACCCAATCATGCTCCAGATATAAGTGAATCCACAACCTGATTGGCTTACAGTAGAATTCCAGAATTAGCCAATCATGTGCAGCCCATTGTGTAAATAATGTATATAAAGCAGATACTTTGAGGGGACTTTCATTCATTCCTCCTCACCACTATGAGCTGAATAAAGAGCATGAAATCACTTTGCGACTCTGAGTATATTTCAGCAACGTAGTTATCATATGGCCTAAATGTATGCTTTTGCCAGCCTAAGCTATGAATGTGGGGATGATAGGAGTTTAAAAGTGCAGGTCACGATACTGATCCTTGGGGGAATCCACTTTCTACATCTCTTCATTCCGAGAACTGTCCATTTATTCGTACTCTCTGCTTCGTGCTATTTAAAACTGATTCCTGATTCACAAGAGGGCATCTCTTATTGCACAACTGCTCAGTGGCCATAGAGGTCAGCTAAGAATTGGCATGGATTAAAGGCACATAAGAAGACTGGAAGAAGGGCATCGTAAAAAGACTGCTGCTGAGAATGATACTCTAAACACCTGAAAATTTGGGATTCTTGCCAGGTGTGTTTAATCTACGTGCTGTATTACCTAAAGATTCTCTGGCATTTTTATAATCTCATATGGTACAGCACAGCTTGTTGGGAGTCTGCTCATCATACAGAGGCCTTGTGTCTTGGTTTCTAATCTTCACACTACAAATCAGAAACAATATGAAGAGCAAGTATTTTAAGAAGTTTAACAGGAAATCCCAGAATGGCCACTTACCCTGATCCAGAGTGAGCAGCAGTTGTAGCTCCTCATGGCTACCTGCCATACTCCAGGAAGTGAAATCCTTTTTTCTTGGCTGGTCATTAGATCATTCCCCAGCTAGCCACAGTGGATGGAAGGATAGCCTACCAAAACCCATAAATTCAAACTACCCAATCAGGGGCAAGCTGCTAGGTGGAGCCAGGGTGGCAGACCGTGGTGCAGAAGTCTTCACTCTGGTCCACTGCCTGCACATCAAAACCAGCTGCACTAGTTGAACACAACACAGCTGGGCGAAAAGTAACCCTCCCATTATGTTATGCATGCATGTTTATTGTGAACAAGAAAGGGATGTAATCCTCACAAAGTTAGAAAGCAAATGATGCTTTAGGAAACTAGTGAATCAGAGCCAGTGAGGGTGTAGTGGTTAGAGTGTCAGACTACCTGGGAGACCAGGGTTCCAATCCCTACTCAGCCATGAAGCTTACTGGGTGACCTTGGGTCAGTCACTGCCACTTAAGTCTAACCTACTTCACAGAGTTGTTGTGGGAATTAAATTGGAACAGAGACCTTGTGCTCTGTAGAGTAAAGGGTGGGGTATAAATGCAAATCCTCCTCCTCCTCATCATCATCACAAATGATGGAGAGTAATTTGACAATAACCAAAACATCTAACCAGTTCAAAAGAACCGTGAAGAATGGATTGACACACATCAGGAACATACCAGAAATAAAACAGCATTTGGCCCTTGTTCCTGTGTTGCCAGGGTAGTAGCACTGAGGTTTCCATGAACTGCTTCCCATGCTGCTCTGGCAATGTATGCAATAGACATAAGGATGGATGGTGTGTTTACTTCCCATGCCAGTGCCATCAGCCTCCAGTACAGCTTTGGAAGAGGAGATTATAGGTCAGGAAAAGGTCACAGCAGAAACAGTTCAACATCCCCCTGCTATCCCAATCAATAGATGTTCATGGCCACCTTAAAGTTGTTGTTGTTGTTGTTTAAAATCCTTATAGAGCTGATCACAATTTCCTGATGAAAATCCCCACCCCAGCTCTCATAAGCATGCTCACCCAGAGCATATGTAGTTTGGCCAATGTGAACCTCCCCAAATATAGAAAAGAAAGGAAAAGTGAAAAACCTAAGGCCACCCTTCAGATAAATGGATTCTGAAACTACAACCCCAAATACAAACACCAGAGATAGAGTGGAATGCATAGCAAAAAGCATGCCCAGTTATGTCCCATATATCTCTCTGATTTTGCTTTGCAAGCTCTTTATTTAAAGTGCTTTTTTTCCAGTATACTATATTTCTTTCCAGATGACTACTCCCAAGATGTTGGCAGTTATACTCTCAACATTAGTGTCTGTTGCTCCTCCAATCTCATACAGTTTAAACAAAACAGAGCAAAAGTATCCAAGGTTTTTGGAAATTATTAAGCTTAGCAGATATTTAACTAGGATGTTTCTTACAATAAACACAGTATCTCACCCAAGTGCATGTGAATCAATAGCAAGCACAAGCCATAGGCACAATCCTTTTCCCATGGGAGCCCCACTGAAATGGAAAGGTGATGTACACAAGTACATTTACTCTCCTTTTTAATTCAATGGGATTCCCAATGTATTGTGCCTAAGATTTCCTGAATGGCAAACTGATCTAAGAAAGTAACATGCAGAGTGGGGACTATTATGGTAGAGCAAAAATGGGAAGCCCATCACCCTCTGCATATTGTTGGACCATAATTCCCATCAACCCAGCAAGCATGACCAATGGTCATGGATGATGGGTATTGTAGTCCAACAACACCTGGAAGACAACAGGTACTTTTAAAATAATTTACCAGCAGGAATACTTTAGCAGGCATTCACAGAATAATAATGAGTGCAAGTGAGATGCAATTGTTGCTTTCTGGGAACAGATTCTTATGATTCTGAAGGAAGCCTTGGTCTCTCATTAAGGATGTACCAATCATTACAGATCAGTCAGACACCTCAATATTTTGACTTGCTTTCACTACATACATAAAATCCATCACACAGAGATACAATTTCAGATTTTCTGTGTGGGTGGGGAAGAGGTGCAATGTCCAAATGCGTTACAAATTAAAATACTGGGGGAAACCCATGTACTTTCAGGATATGAGTTGTGATTATTTTCTTTATATCTCATAGTAACAATAACCAGTTCAAGCAGTTATGCACTCATTTTAAAAACAACAACAAAGTATCAGTTTCTTTACTTAACGAAACCACCCCTGTCTCATCTGGATTAAATCTCACTTTATTAGACCACATCCAGCCATCACAGACTTCGGACACTAGTTCAGGGTATCTACTGCATCCCTGGAGTTGGATGGAAAGGAGCGGAAGAGTTCAGTATCGCAAGCATACTGAAGAATTGTACTCCAAATCTCTGAACAAACACCCCCAGCAGTTTCATGTAGATGTTAAACGGCACGGAAAACAAGATAAAACCCTGTGGGAACTCATAAGCTAATAGCCATGGGACTGAATTGTAGCCCTCCAACACCCCTAACAAAGCCAGTTGGGTAATGCTTTCCCTGTCTAGCCTCAGAACAAGTTGTCCACCAGGCTGGTCAAGACAATGCCATCCCTAAAGCCAGGCTCAAAGATAGTTTATTAAGGATCAAGAAAATCAGTATCATCCAGATATATCTGGAGCTGATTACTGCCATATGCTTAACAACCACTTTGCCCAAAAATTGTATGTTAGACACAGGTCAGTAATTCTCCAGGAGCTAAAGAAGGCTTCTTTGAGAGAATTCCTTAACAAGCTTCCTTGTATCTTGGTTTTCTCTGCGGAAGCATTCATAATCTCCTCTACCCATCCAGCTATTCTGTCTCTGATTACTTCAATAAACCAGAATGACCAAGAGTTAAGAAAACAGGTGGTCACCTTCACAACTCCAGGGATCTTTTCAACAAGCTAAAGATGAAAGATAACCATAGGAAGAAGATGGACAGAAGAGACCACATACCGCCTGATGGTGGGGAGTAATGGTTGTGGTCCACCGTGGCCACAGCAGGTTGAAACAACCTCCTGGCTTTGGTGTGGCTAGTGGAGGATATTGCTTCCTCCTCCACTGGCTGAACTGATTGCTGGGGCTCACCTGTAGTTGTAGCCCATCACGGGTGAGCGATGGGGCGTGTTTGGGTCCAGTCTCTGGATGTAAAAGCCAGCCACACCCAGGCCTTGGCCTCAGCCATTGTTGGATTCCCCCCACACACACACTCTTTATACACTCTTTATAGTGGGCAGGACTTTGCCAAATCAACCAGTAGTTGGGTTGGTTGACTGATGCACACCCAATGCCCAAAGCACTGTTTTGTGGGTGTGACAGCCACCATTTCCCCTCCGTAATTCTCTTGAGCAATGCTGATTCTGGAACATTGTGGAGAATGCAAAAGGTTGGCCATGTTGCCAGCAAACCTATTCCCCACCTTAGGAAGGAAAAAAGAAGTTGTGCTGTTGCAGCTATTACTGCTAATGGTAAGCCCCAACTCTGAGAAACCATCCCTCTATGGAAATTCATTGGGATGGCCCATTCTGTTTCTCTGCCTACAAGTATGTGAAGAATTTCAAGACACCATTTGTGCATGGGTCTAGTTTGTTTGGGCTGGTCATGAGATTTCTTCCTCTGTCAGTTTTATCCCAACTGTTTTATCACCACCAGAAAACACAGAAGCTTTTACAAGTGTGAGAGGTTGTTTAAGAGTAACTGTGTCAGCTGCCTGAGTCTGGAACGTTTCCCCATTCCTGAGATTAAGCAGGGTTTTGAGGGAAGCGCAAGTCATGGCAACAGGAAACTCCACCAAAGCCACCTGGGATCTAGTTGGATCTATCTAGCTAAGGTTGTTACTGTATTAGAAGATAACATAGTCTGAGGTGGGGAATTGTATCCAGCTGGTGGCATGGGCCCAGAACTGGCCTGCCCTCAATGACCCACTTTTGACAAGTCATATAATGTCAGGGGACAAAACATTAAAGGAAGAACTGAGCATACATGCTAGGTGTGCTCCCAATCTTTCCTTTGCAGTCCCAGCTTTAAGTCAGGACTTCAAAGGAAGCTTATTTTTTTGCAGTTGCAGCTTGAATTCAATTTGCAGCTGCAAAGATTCCTGCTAGAATTGGGGCTTGTGTACAGAACTGAATGCATGTCTTCCTTCCACCTCAAAAAGGAGCTCTAGAGTGGACCCAATCCCTGCAGGTCTTGCATTTAACACTGAATTTAAACATAAGATGAACCTCAGGCCAATGGCTTGTCTAGTCCAGCATCCTGTTCTCACACAAGTTGCCTCTGAGAAGCCAACAAGCACAAGAAACACTCTCCCCTCCCTTAGTTCCCAGAAACTGGTATTCAGAAGCTTTGTTGACTCTAGCTATGGAGGTAAAACATAGCCATTGTGGCTAGTAATAGCCGTCTCCTCCCCAAATTTGCCTAAGCCTCTTTTAAAGCCACAGTTTAACAATTCAACTATGCACCTAACCCACAAACTATTATCTGTTACTTGCATGTAGGGCATTGCCATGTTTAGTCCAGGTGGGCTGCTCCATCGCCCCTTCTTTGTCCTCCAACGTATACATGTTGCAGATGTTTGTTTGCAATGAATCCCAAAGGCACGAGCTGCTGCTCAGTACAGAGGTAAGTCACGTGATTTGGAAATTCCTGGGTTTCCCAATTGCATGGTATGCCTAATTTGCATTACATGAATCATGTGTGGCTAGGATGCTTATCTTTCCTCATATGCAACAGAAACATACGTTGCGTGATTGAAATTCTGATTCTATGCCTTTATTCTGCACTCCTCATGAGGACAACTGGCTCTTCAGAAGATGCATCACACATCTTACTGTACAGTTTTATAAACAGAGTGCATTAGCATGACGTAAATATATTATCACGGGTGGGAATCAAATGCAGAACATGACATGTAGTGTTTTACATTGAGGGTCTAAGGAAGCCACGGGGCGAGGGCAGATGCATGCTGCAATATCTTAGCTCAGCTGGATGTGTAACCGTAAACATTGTGTGCTTATTTGCTGCTCTCTGTAGTTTTACACGCCTGGGCTTCTAAAAGCTTGTCTCACCCCCTGGATCAGCAGAGCTGTAAAAAACAATAAAAATGAATGCAGGATTTCATTTGAGAAGGAGCAGAATTTTCTCCAGCACAGCTAAGACCGGTATCTGGAACATTTACTCCACCTTGGCTGTTGCTGCTACAGAGAAGTTCATATTACCATGTTGCCTTAAAACAGTTTGAGATTTTCCTCCTTGGAGAAAGAGCTGCCTTTCAGTAATCTGGGGTCTGTTTTATTAAAATCCTATCTGAACTCTGTGCAGCTATGGTCCTCAAATGAGTCATACAATAACAATTCCCAGTTTGTAGCCAGTTCTCCAGAGAGGCAGAAGAAAAACGAAGCTGTTTCCTTTTAAGGGAATCAGATCTGTTTGCTGTGATAAACTTCTCTCCAGTCCTATTTGAAGACATTCTCCATAGCCCAAGAGCTGATAGTTACAAAATCACCAACCTCCTTTTATTTGGAAGATAAACACGCATTAAGAGCAGAGAGCTTTGCTGAACATGCTACGCTACCATGTACATCTATGCAATGACCGATACAAGAGTGCTACATATTATATAGCATTATAGAAATTAGGACATAACGTGGAAAGTTTGTTTTAGCCACTTGAAAACTTTAAAAAGCGAATAACGTTCCAAGTTCACACAAGCACATGATGTTGTCTGCAGCACAAGAGTCCTGTTCATGCATTACTAGTGTGTAGGGCCTAATTATGTGGACCATGGAGTGAGGCTCCACTTCTAGCTTTCCCCCAATATCATGGCTTCGTCATTCAGCAGCAAGTGCTATCCCAGCTTTCCTGGCATCAGCATGTAGCATAGCAAGGCAAATGCCAGGAACCATAAGCTTGATAGTGTCCATCTCTGTTGATTCCAGCTTACTTGGTTTTTAAAGACTTAAAAAAATAGAATCCTGAAGAGAAGCTTCTGACAAGGCGGCAGCCATCATCTGCCTTACCTACACCTCAGCTGGTATCAGGCATAGAGTCCTCAGATGATGAATCAGACACCCCACAGCTCCAGGGCCCTCTGAATGTTGAGGATTCCCTTGAGGGGTAAGGTTGCCAGACCTTCAGGGGTGATCTGGAGTCTCCAGATGGCAAGTAGAGGGTTGAGAGTATTCTTCTCATGAGTATGGGGCCTACTTGTGAGCAAAGATAGTTCACTGCCGACAGCTGTAATTTTGCAGGCCAGAGTATATGAGGTGTCCAGACCCTTCAGGTGTCCCTATTTTCCAGGGACTGTCCCAGATTTACAGAAGCTGTCCCGGTTTCTGATTTGATCCCAGAATGTCCTGCTTTTTCTTAGGATGTCCCTATTTTTATCGGAGAATTCTTTGAGGGGATGGGAGTCTAGTTTTGCTACCCTGCTACCTTGCAGCCTACTTGAATCTCTGTGACATTGACCTTGAACTGTTGCCTGATTTTGTCTTTGAATCATATTTGGACCTAGACTGATGCTTTCTGCTTGACCCTTGGTTTCTTTGGGCTGTGATCGCCTTGGTGAGTACTTAGGTGAAGTACTCCTGCAACTGGGACTCTTGCTTCTGAGGGCATCTCCCAGAGTGTGGCATCATCATAGTTTCCCATAATGCCTCTGAGTCCCAATTGAGGGACCAAGGGAATTCTGGTGAAACTAATATGACGGTGGCTTCAGCTTCCTCACACCAGTGCTTCTCTTTGGCATGCAGGCCACTGTCCATCCCTGCTGTTGCTCACTACTGCTGCCAACCCTACTGTCCCTTGCAAACTTGCAGGGAACTCAATAGGATGGTGTAGCCCAGGGCATCCTCATACCTGGCACCACTGTTGGCACATAACTTCATTGTTTAAAACAGAATCTCTCTGGAGCTGTATAAATATTTGTGGCTCCCCCTCCCCCATGTGACATGACTGGTGGAAAATTGCTTGAGTTCACTTCTAGTTGTCACAAGGAGATGGACAACTACTATGGAACGTCCTTCTCTCCTTGGCCTGGTTCCATTAAAAATAATGAACCTGCTTTCACACCCAGGAAAGTCAGTGTTCCACTGCTGGAAACCAGGACACTGCAGAGTCACAAAATGAACAGTGATTGCTTCCTTCAGCACTAAATTTAATATTTATTATATTGGAATGTTGCTGTTTTTTTAGAGTTACAATCATTAAATATGTAAGATGATTTGAAACAGCCTAAGGTACTTAGTTTTTTCTTTTTCTTTTTAGCTATTTTTCTGCTTTGGCAAATAACTAAATTCTTGCACACCAACCTGCAGCATGCTAATTAATTAGTCAACGTTGCTTAATCTCCCTGCAAACAACTAAAAATGGATAAAAAGTTTGTCTGAAGGCAATTTTGCTGAGTGAAGAGTGCATCTCTCTCTCCATTGGTGTGTTATTGTGTGCCATCATCATTACTTGCATCTCAAGTTAACTCTGGTGAAGGTAGTCATGAATATTTCCTTTGTGCCAGATCATCAAGATTAAGGATGAACAAATCAAGCTGAAAGCTTGCTTCATTTTCAGAACTGCTAAAACACAGACCTCTACAAGGCATTTCACTGACAGAGATTAAGGAAATAGCAGCTATAAAAACAAAACAAAACAAAATCCCTTGTAGTATTTCCCTTTAGATCTGAGCTCCACAGGGCACACCAACCCCCAGGAGGAGGTCAAATACATCAGAACGGAATTGAACAGGAAATGGATTTGGCTACATCTTCTCCCTGTCATATACACAGGGCTACCCCACAATATACTTGGTGAAAAAGAAAAATAATCCAGAGAAAAAGGCCGACATTGACACAAGGTATTTGTCTTGGGAATAATGTCTGACACTGGCTAGTCAGAGTTAGTTTAAAAAAAAAAGTTTGCTTGTTTTTTTAATACAACAAAGTAGGAATAACTATGAAGAAAATTAAAAGGAAAAGAGGAGAACTGGCATCAAACTTCACTGAAGCAGGTAAATCAAACAGGTCTGTGGTCATTGGATATGAATATGGGAATCATTGGTTCAAATCCTGCTAATTCATGACAATTATTATGTGGCTTTTGACAAGTCACATAAGCCCCTTTGGGATGTACTGGAGGGACAACTGTGTTTTCAATGAATGCATGTAGGCCATGATGGAGGAATTGTTTGGCGGGATCTGTTCCCTACGCAGCATGCATCTCTTCACAACTCTGCAATAGGCCTACATGTAAATGCCCCTCTCCTTGTACACCAGGTTTCCTAATCCCACTAATATGCGTATGGGCAAATTTAGGGGTGGGGGAGAAATTAGAGTCAGTTTGCATTTAAAGGCAAACTTACCTAGTCTGCACTTTCTGAAGCAATATGTACAGCTATCTTTTGACACAAACATTCACCTGAATTTTGCAGTGGGATTTTTTTCAGCCATGTAATGTGTACACAATACATAAACTAATGTAAAGTGAGCATATCAATGCATATGATTCTGAAAGTCATGTAGAAAAATCTATTCAATTCAATAAAATATGTTTCGCACGCAAAAGTGTGTGTATTAGGAGAAATTTGCATTAAAATACTGACAAATTTTCATGAGGACTTAGTTTTTTTATACATCACTAGCTGATGTGGAAATATGAAGAACTGAAGTTAATATGGGGGAAAGGAGAAACTGAGATTGACAGATTCGCTCACCCCTAGGCATATTGCAAATGCAATTTAAAAACCAGTGATAAAGCCACTTTGCTGGTCTAAAAAATAATAATAATGTGCAGTGCAGCGCATGGGAGACAGATCTTGCCAGTCTATCCCTATATATTGTCAGTCTCCAACTCCAAATATCTGAAGGAGCTTAACTCACGCTACATGCAGACTTCAGTTTAAAGCTGCAACCCTGTGCATGTTACCTGTGAATAAGTCCCATTGCACCCAAAGGGACTTACAGTTTTTCTGAGTAGACATGTGTAGCTTTGCACTGTAATACCTACTTTCTAGGAAGACTGGAGGTGCTAGTCCTGAGGGGAGAGTTGGTGGCAAAGGATTTCTAACACACAATTCTCAATACTTTACCAAACTATTGACCCCAGAATCAACTTATTTGGTGGGCACCATGGCAGTTAAATTGACATAAATCTAGGTGTGAGGAGATCCTACACAAAGTTTTCTTTAGTGGGGTTCCTCCTCCACCCATGGGTCCACGTAGGCTTAATATGGTGGCACTGGTGGGCTAGGATAGTTTAAAATCCATGCGTTCAAATCCCTAAGCCACAATTTTGGGCATTATTTCTTTGCAGGGCAGTCCTAAGCACATTTACGCAGAGGTACGTCTTACTTAGTTCAATGGGACTTGCACCCTAGAACTTCAAATTGCAGCCTAAGTTTAGATTTCTTTATAGATGTGTTTGTTTTTCCTTCCCTTTTAACACAGCCACAGCATTATCAGATATATTAGACTGAGGACATTCATCTAGTATATTACAATCTTGCACCATCTTTATGCAGGGCCAGGGTGAGTACCTGGGATTCTTTGCCATGACCCATTGCTGAAGTTTGTCCTGGCCCTTCTATACATTTCCCCCGCTAGTCCAGGCTTCCTCAACCTCGGCCCTCCAGATGTTTTTGGCCTACAACTCCTATGATCCCTAGCTAGCAGGACCAGTGGTCAGGGATGATGGGAACTGTAGTCTCAAAACATCTGGAGGGCCGAGGTTAAGGAAGCCTGCTCTAGTCAAACACTCCAATCGGTACCAGGCAGCTGGATTAAGCTTTCATTTTAATGTCTCACAATGCCCGAACATGGGGTTGTACTGAGGCTACCATGGGAATTTAAAGTGGTAGCTAGACCCATATTTTAGAATCCAAATAGAACTTAGAGCATATGAACAATTCATAAAACATTTCAACACACACTGGAACATTTCTGAATAAGTCATAAATTTATGAGAGCAATGTCAATAGAACCAGGCAATGAACAATAGGCAACAAACATATTTAAAGCCATAAAGTAGTATCCTAAAGTTAAAATGTATTTATCAGTCAAAGTTACGTTTCATTTTATTAATGATTTTCGCAAAAACTGGTCTGATGACAGCAACCATTAGCCTTACTGTTGTGTTCAAAGTATCAAATTTCTAAGTAGGAATCTAACATATGGTGTCACTTTTTGTCTCCAGATTACCAGTCATGTATGCTTTCATAAATGGCCTCAACTGTTGTGGCATTATCTTCATTAATCTAATTCTGAGGAACAGTCCATTCCAACACTCTCAGCTGTAAAAACTACAAAAGTCAGCTCAGCTTTCTCCAGGAAACAGACTTTAAAGGACTGGATAGCCCTTAAACAGATGTCAGAAGTAATTACCATTGTAAATGAAAATAAAGTTAAGATGTGTGCCGTTTCCTGTTCCTTTTATTATTTTGACCTGAAACTTACCTTTCCCTTATAGAGCTGCATAGAATCATTAATAAAATATTTGTGTTCAACAAGGGAATTCTTTTCCAAAAGTTTATGTGCCGCCAATGTATAATAATCAATCTTCTATAGCTCCGTTCTTATGAACTTTCTGCTTCTTTATGTGTAGTTGTCTGAGACTCAGGGCTGCTAATTCTAGTGTTACTCTGCTTGATGGCATACAAGGAAATGGATGGAAAATGGCTGGTTTATGATTCTTGTAACCTAAGACCTGTCAGGTGTTCCAACCAGTTAGGTGACCTTCCCAAATGGGCACTCCACCAGTCTCTCACTAAAGCCAATGGCAAAATCCCCACGGGTCTGAACGGCACTGTTCCAAATTGTGCTGACTGTTGCTCCTGTCCTGAGGTAGCTATCCTGGAGTTTGCTATCAGGGCTGTAGATTCTAGCTACTGTACATGAATAAACAGGCTCCATGGTTGTCCTGTTTCCCATGATCACATGCACCAATCAGATAGGCACTAGCTCAGCAACAACCAGCGTGATCAAGGAGTCACTCTCCTAATGATGGAGTCACTGTGGAGTCACTCTCCTAATGATGGTATTGCTGCAGTTTACCAGGATGGGCCTAAGGCATGGCTGGCAGTGACAAGGTCATGGCTGCGTGGGTGTACTTATCTTATTGGAACCCCAAAACTATTGGTATGGTCCATTAGCATTTTATACAGTACACAAAACATGTGACCATTGCTCAAGAAGGACCACGTAAATGTTCTGCATTTATAAGAAATTGTGTCCTTTTTAGTATTGCAGCCCCCATACTTTGGAACTCCCTATTGACATCAGGCAGGTGCTTTCACTATCTCTTTTTGGTGCCGTCTAGAAACATCTTTGTCTATCCAAGCATGTTGAATGCTGGCATGTGTTTTAATCTGGTTTTTAGCTTGTCATTTGTTTCATTCATTCATTCATCATCCAACCCATCTGGCTGGGATGCCCCAGCCGCTTTTAAATAGTTGGGTTTTTTACTGATTTTTATTATTATTACTCTTTTTGTAAACTGGGTTTGAGGTTTCATTACAATCAAGCAGTAAATAAACAAACAAATGATATGTGAAATGAAGGGGATTTATTGTGATATTGTGATATTACTTCAAAACTATTGGTTAAAGTTTAAAAATCGCTACCGGTTTATTTCTTATTTTATTAATCCCCTTTTTTTATCTGGCTCTTCATAGGACCATGCACCCATCTATCCAATTTTATTCTTCCTTCAACAAACCCGTAAGGTAGGGAATGCTTTCTTTGCTATCTTCTACTATAATTTATAGGACATATTATACCCAAAGGCTCTATAGATATGTATATGCCTAGGACTGGGATTTGGCAATCGTGTTTGTGTAGTTTTCAAGTTCAACAAAGACTTCACCTAAAAGTCCCAAATTCAGCTGAATTCTGCCACAATTTCCATCTACAGAAGAGTCCTCTGTCTCTGATCATACGACCTAACCGAGCAACAATGGCGAAAGCCAAGTGTTTGATCTGATTTAAGCAGTCGGCTGATGTTTTATTTTTAGTGTCACCTAGTGGTACCAACTGTATGTTTTTGTTAATTGTGTTCAAGAGGGCTTTTTTCTAGGCCAGCTATGCAAATCAAAATCTGATGAAAACAGCAAGTGAGGGGCAAACAAGAGATGCATGCAATATGTCTTTGTTCTCAGTTACTATTTCAATGCCTTGTTTGTTCAAATAAAGGACAAGGATTAGTGTCTCCCCCAAACCTCAAACTAATTATTGCACTGTGCCCGGTTCTTTCTAAAGATTTCACCACGTCACTTCTCATTAGATTATTTTATAATGCACCCAAGTTGGTTTTAACAATGGCCACAATAGAGGAAGGTCTGTTACGCTTTCCCCACTGAAGAGTAATGTAGGTCTGAATTTCAAACCACTCTTTTAGCCAAAATTGTTCCCATGAGACACTGAAAACCGCAAGAGCCACTCAGCAGCCAATCCATCCAAAGTTCTTTTCCTATTGTTAATATTATTTACAGCAGCCTTCCCTGGCCGGATACTCTTCAGATAGTTTGGACTACAGCTCCCAGAATCTCCAGCTATTGGCCACAGTAGCTGGAGCTGATGGGAGTTGGGAGTCCAAAGCATCTGAAGGGCACCAGATTAGGTAATGCTGTTTGACCATTAAAAACTGAAACTGCAAGCAAACATTCATTCAATCACAAGTATTACTACTTCAGTACTCATACTTCAGTACTCAGTCTGCTTGAGTATTCCATCCTTAAATTCCATCTGTAATGCTAACAGGGAAGTTATTCCAGGAGTTATTAAATGTGGACTTGAGATATCCAACCCTCAGTTAAGGGTGTACACTTGGTTGGATTAAAACATTATGTTGATCCATGGTTCTATTTATTTATACCCCACTATTTTCCCTGAAAGGAGCTCACCCTTCCTACAAGTAGCTGGGGAGAGAATTTAAAGAGCCTTTGCTTTCACATCTAGCAGTTAACAGCATCATCTGATTAACACCAACTTTACCTTTGGACAAATAAAATAACTGGCTAATTTCAAGCAAGTTTTCGTCAAACAGTAGTTTCCAAAGCTGGCTTGCTGAAACTAAAGTTAGTGCTAACCACAGTTCTCAGTTCAGACTACACAGTTAACTAAAAGTGGAAACGCAACATTCCAAACTCTCTTGGCTACATGGGAAGGGATGAAGGGAAGGTGGAGCTCTCATGCCCAGGAGAAGGCTTGGTTTCTTTATGTTGCCCTAAACCATGTGACTTCCAAATGTGGTCTTTATATTGTAGTGTAGGGGTGGCTAAACATTATACAGTGGTGCCTCGCAAGACGAAATTAATCCATTCCGTGAGAGTCTTCGTCTAGCGGTTTTTTCGTCTTGCGAAGCAACCCTATTAGCGTCTTAACGGATTAGCGCTATTAGCGGTTTAGCGGCTATTAAAGGCTTATCGGCTTATCGGATTAGCTGCTAAAAGGCTATTAAAGGCTTAGCGGCTTAGATAAAGGGGGGGAAAGCAAAAAAAAAATCTCAAGACTCGCAAGACATTTTCGTCTTGCGAAGCAAGCCCATAGGGAAATTCGTCCTGCGAAGCAACTCAAAAACGGAAAACCCTTTCGTCTAGCGGGTTTTCCGTCTTGCGAGGCATTCGTCTTGCGGGGCACCACTGTACTGTGGGTTCCATGGCCAATGGTCAAGGATGAGAGGAACAGTAGTCTAACAACATTTGGAAGGCCATCGGTTCACTAGCCTTGTTGTAGTGAAACCAGAGCTAACTACAGAAGGAACTGACCTATATTGCAACTTACAGTATATTTTCACAAGTCTTCACATTCAAAACCTTAATCACAAGGCATATGATCCATCCCCAAAAGTTGAATGAATGAAGAAGCAGTCCATCAGGATGGACACAATAGAATAGAACTCTGCTGGGCACTTTGCCGACCAACATTCCCAAGCATGTGGTCTCATGAATCATGGAGATGAATCATGACCCAGGTGTTTTCAGAAGTTACTTTACCCTTGCTTCTGCATAAGATACAGACTTCAAATTACAGCTTGTTCATTGCATTTGTTCTTATGTAATAGCAAGCTAAAATGTACACTCGTATACTGATCTAGTGCCATCTTTTTAGTACTGTCCTAGAAGACAGCTAAATTATTATTATTTTCTTGCCTGGGACTTGATTTCCCTCCTAGTTTCATTAGCCATGAAATTATTCTTGCCTTCCAGATTATTTCCATATGCTTTTAAAACCCGGGCCAATTAAATTTGGCAGCTAGCCTTTGAAGCAAGTGATATAAAAGTGAATGTCATGCAGAAAAAAAGAACCCAACAAATGTAATGACGAACATGAATCATTTCAGTTACCCAAATTTGGACTGTAAATCTTCCATCCTGGTTCAGAATAATAGACTGGCCTAACCAGAAAGGTTTATTCCAATCTAGTCCATGCACAGTAAACTAGAATGAATGGATTTAATCCACATTTACCCCATTGATTTAGTGACCTCAGCTGGCCCAAATATTGTGGAGTCTGAATACTTTGGATTTACTCCATTATGGACTGGGATGTTTGAATGCAAAGATCTCTCAAGGTGGTAGTAGGACAATATTCATTTAGAAAGGCCAGTAATTGCTGCCATCTTGACACTATGCCTCAGTTTGGACAGCTCTCACAACAAGCCTGAGAGGAAAGGTAGGGTGTGAGAGGATGCCTGGTCAAAGGTCACTCAGTAAGCTTCATGGCTATTTCGACTCTAGTCCTGTTCCTAACTAGGTATATTTACTACACATATTGAATAGATTTGGCCCTATTAAGACTCTATCTTTGATTGCTATGTGCACCTTTTAAAAAGTTTATATATCCTTTATTTTATTTCTTCACACTCTCACATGTCTGTATGGATACAAATACGTTTCCATTGGCTGCCGCACAGTTAACTAGCATTGCATTAGCATGATTGCTTATTTGGTACAATGCCCAAAAAACAGATGAGTTTACACGAGAAGAAGAAAAACTGCTCATTGTTAAGGGTAACACAAAGATTAGATAATGGCTGTCAAAAAAACAACAACCCTCAATATGATATGCACAACTGTCATAGGAACACTATTGTTCATATAAAACTGCTCTTTCATTTATTTATCTTTTATTCTTACATGGCTTGGAATTTCTTCAAATAAACATTTTAACACCTTCAGAGTAGGTACAACCCAGAGGAATATTATTTAGACCTGTGAGTTAGAACTTTGCTACACTCTTGCCTCCTTTCCATACATACTACCGCCAGAGTGGAAGCCACTTTCCCATGATTTAACTTCATCACAGGAGGGCACCTGTGTATATTCTAGCCACAGAGCTGGGTTGGATCATGTGGGTCTTCCCCATGTGATCAGTTTAATGGTCTATCAGGTTCTGACCATTATCCATGATGGCTGGGAGGGGATCAACATTTGAAAGGCCACAGCTTCCCAAACCCTGGTCTAAATCAAATGCTTGGGTCCTTATCCCAGTGTGCATATATCCAGGAGGACAGAAGAGGGGAGAGAAAAACAGATTGAAGCACTTCAAGAAGTTTTCAGTGCCGGGCAGGCCTGGGACCCTATAATTCCATACAACAGCCTAGATGTTAGAACAGGATACTTAGAAGGTTTGCTGAGTCACTAGTTCTCTTGGGAAATCTCAATATCAGAAGATACTGGAAGTTTGGCAATCTTCCCTCTCCCTCATAGGCAAATAGTATGCTGGGAAAGATTAGAACCCAAGAGAGTCCCATGACTATCATGGATTTTTGTCTGTGAGAGGGTTGCTTCAAACAAGCCCCCTTTTCCCAAGCTTGCTATTTTTTAAACAAGAAATTAAAAGCATTTCATCTCATTTGTTTTATATTACAGCCAATTGCTCAGGCCAATAGTGTTTAGATCAGTCGACAAAGAGAGGATAGCAAAGTGAAGCACTGAACTGGAGTGGAGCTGGGAATCACTTGAGGAGATTCTAATATTCTATCACGGGCCTATCAAAATGCTATTCTCCCTTTTTTCTTGCTTTTATTTCTTTGTTTGCATGCAGCCAAAAATGACAAAGGGTTGGATCCAGAGTTGCGCTTTTGGTGGAGTTATCTTTTAGTGGAGGCTCTTTTTGTGTGTGTCGATTTCTTCTTCCCTCCGTACCCCTCTGGAAAAGTTTTCCAGAGAGCCGGGAGGTGCTCTAGAGCAGGTCTGGGACTCTGTAGAGCGAAGGGGAGATTGCAATTTATTTACAACAAACTTTTAAATCTAAGGAACTCAAGGTGGAATACATGGTTCTGACCCACCACATTTGATCCCCACAACAATCCTGTGAAGTAGGTTAGGATAAGATGAGAAGCAGTGACTGGCCCAAGGTCACCCAGTGAGCTTCATGGGCAAGTGGGGAGTTGAAGAGGTCCTAGTCCAAAGCCTTAACCACCATACTACACATTAGCTCACATTAGCAAGAAGCACCTCCCTACTCCCTTCTTCCAGTGAGTAGCCTCTGCTAGATCTCAGTGCCTTCAGATCAGCAGCCATTTTGGACTAGAGTGGATGAACCTATCAATTTTCTGTTTTCTCTTTTTTTTCATTTTCCCAATCTTAAATTTTAAAAAATCTTATTTAAATTCTTCAGCATTTTAGTGTGGATTTCTCCTAGTAAATACACTTGTATGTGGCTTTTAACAAATATGCAGTTTTGCAAGCAATTTTCCATAATGCTTTGCATTTCTGCATGTTATTTTCACTAATATGTGCATTTTTGTACATTTTCTTGGCTGGAGATTGCCAAATTGGGGAGATCGTAACTTTCGAGTGATGGTTGTATTTCAGTTCGCTTAGTGTTTCAGAAAGTGCAGATTTGCTAAATTCACCTGTGAATGTGAAATGCATCTTATTTCTCCATCAACACTAGTTTGAGCCCAATCCAAAATTGAATGCACCTTGAAGACTAAGACGTTTATTATGGTTTGAGCTTTAGTGTGCTATAGTTTATTTCACTCAACTGTTGATTCCACAGGTTTCAATGAAATGATACCACCAAGTACAATTGCTGAGTAGCCTCCCATTCATTTCAGAGTGTTTTCTCCAAATATACTTTTGAAACACTTTTTCATGCAATAGGTACATGATTCTATGGAATTCACTGCCACGATTTGTGGTCAGCTAAGACATTAGCTTAGATTACTATTTAAATATTTTATTTTTTGGGATTTGGTGTACATATGAAGAATCGTCCTTGAAAAGACTATGAGGTGTGCTCACTAAGAAACACGTCCATGTAAAGAAGCAGTATTGCCTCCAAAATCCAGAAAGCAAAGGGAAAGAACAGAGAGTGGCTACCTTGTGAGTTCCCACAAGGCTGCTATCAGAAAATAAATGCTGGTCTAAATGGATAATGGTTTGATCCAGAATGGCAATTGTTACATCCCTAGTGATAGGAATAATAGAACACAAAATTACCAGTTATGCTTGATTTGGATAAAATTGAATGTATGCAACTGCCTACCTCATGATGAAGTCCCAAGGATGCAATATCTTTGTTTCTTATCCCTCAGATCTGATTATCCCTTTGCATAGATTCTTGTTTCACTTTTAGACTGTGGTCCCCCACCACAATCTATTTTATTTAAATAGTTTCTATTGCTTTCTCTCACGAAAGTTTCACTAGGTGGCAGGATTCTGCTATCTCTTGCAAAGCAGCAGCTACATTCAAGACATGGGAAGCTTTTCTCTCTCAGAAAGAAATCTACTAGTATGTTGCCAGAATGTTTAATAATCAAATATCATGATACATGCATATGATATTTGTACATATGAACTGCCTAGAACCACTGTTTAAGAAAAAGCTAGTGTCTTTTTTCATATAGAGTGAGGCAATGTTCTTTACAAACAGAGGATAACTTTTAAAACATATTTGTAATTTTATACTTCCAAGATATTTTGCTTAACTATTTGAAAAAACAAACTGGCCTAACAGGGCTGAACAAAGTTGTCTTGAGCATCGCATTCATTTTAAACAGGCATCATATTCTTAGTTACCTGTTTAGAAGAACTAGAAGACAATGAAAGTTCCTCATTCTCTTTTCCTTTCTTATTGAAACATAATCTTATGCATGTTTACTCAGAAGTAAATTTGATTGAATTAAATAATGCTTGATCCTAAGTGAAGTCATGCAATATATTTGTCTCACTGAATTCACTCAACTTGCTCCAAAATTAGTTTAGATAGCATTGCCATTTCCTTCTAAGTAAATATGCATAGGATAGGGCTGCCTCAGCCTACCTATTTCTTCAAGTTAAGATGTTCTGATTTATACTAAGTAATCCAAAATTAAACCTAAAACTTACTCTCTCAAGCATTATGGACCTAGAAGTGTCGTATTCAATGGTAAACACAAGTTGCTCCCCAAACACAATAAAATGGCACCCTAATTAATTCTCAGATTCTTTTTTTTAAAGAGTTCTAAAACATGATTCCCACCCCCCCATACAAAACTCCTGAAAATGCAGAAGATTTCAGAGTAACTTCTCACATGATCCATAATGAAGATCACAAATCTCCTACAAATTATTAAATATACATCAGGACATAAGCAACATCTCATAAAAGCAATTCAGGCTAGTGTGAGGCTGATAAATATTAAGCAACAGTTTCATCAACATGCTTTCCAAGATTGCTCAAAATGGTAAGCACATTTTCTCTCTCGCAGCCATGCATTCGTTCCTTTGCCAAGAAGACTAGAAGGAAAGTGTCACAAATCTCTCATCAAAGGAGGGCTTGCTAGTTGAAGTCTCAGAGTCCTAACTGTACAGAGTTCTTTCAACACCATTCAGCAAGTTCAACAGGAGCTAAAAGCCATCAGCATCTCATAGGACTTGAGTATTTTTCTGCAAGGCAGGAGGAAACCTTTGTACTTTGATCGACATAAGAAACTTTCAGAAATGTTAGCTTTTTAAAATTAAACTCAACTACTTAAGAATACACTTGAGAATTCCATTAACCCAAACCTAAATCTGGAGCCGGAATATAACCTTCATCAGGATTTCTCAACTAGACATACTAACCCCTCTCCCAAGGAAACAAAACATCCTGCAGATACTTTCCTTTTCACAAAACATTGATAAAGACATTCTCACCATCCTACCTTGGCAATCTGCAAAGGCTGCTTTTCTTCCTTGCCACCTTGAAGTCTAAAGCCCCAGGGTGCTCCTCCAGTCATGGTGATGCAGATATAATCCCCAGTACCCATTTTTTTTCCTTGGGGAGGTTAGGCAGTATTCATTTGCAAAAGTAATTTGAGGTGGGGGGAAAGAGAGAGAAATCCTAGATGCTGTGGATGTTCACTGAACTTGAAGCTTGCTTTCCCGTTTGGTGTTAGAAAGGGAGAGAGAGAAAGAGGCGCAAGCTCGCTCCTGCTGACACTGCCTGCACACTGCACTCTGTAGCATAGTCATTGACTGAGAGCGAGGGAGTTTTCCCGGATCAAGGGAACAGCCCACTCTTTCGTCAGTTGGCTCTGCTCAGCCCACCTTCATGGCAAAGCAAAATGATGTCAAGGAAGCACAAACGAAAGGGACTATTTGACCATGAGGCAGAAAAGGCTATATTTAAACCCAAGAGCATTTGCCCATGACAACTAAATCAAAACAGCAGAGACGAGGACTTGTAAATCTCCCCCAGACAGAGAGTTTACTTTTGTAAATGTTACCAGACTTGTTAAGTTACAATTGCAGCACGTTTTGTATTCTCCTAATCCAAACAAAGTGTGTATATATATTGGGAAGAGATGGGTTCACCCCCACTGCCCTCTTCTCTTATATACACTATATTGAAATGTCCCACTGAGAATGGATTAGCAACATTGCTATTCACATTCATGGGGTTATTGCAATGATTAAGCAGTACCCTAGTCTTCCGAAGGCTTTAGCACATGTGGCCTTCTCTCTCCATTAAAGACTTTACAGGATTTCTAACCAGAAAACATCTAAGGTTGCCATAATGGCTTTTCTCCTACCGAAGAAGGGTACCAAATGCATTTTGCTCCGTGATGAATGCTCTCCAAACAGGCAGGTCATAAACACTGGGTTTGCTTGGCATGTGACATCAGGGTTTCAGAAGAGGTGGTGATGAACCAATTGGGAGGAGGATCTCACAGTGGAAGGGAGGGACGGGAAATCCCACACACAAAGGTGTCATGCTAATATGTAACCTCAGGGGATCTAAGGGCAAGATGAGCACAGACAGGGGAAGTGTCGCCTCAGTCAGTTTCATGCACTGAATAAGTTTCATGCATAAGCCATGGTGACCCACACAAATCCTCAGAGCCCAGACAGAAAAAATATCTCAAATGCATTATTTTAAAATTCTCATGTTTTGAAGGCAATTGTAAAATTTAAACACCTATCCTTTTGTGCAAGTGTATCAGACTCAGGGGATACCTAGGACTGTAACAGAAACTGGGCCTACAAAGGGATGTAGTGAAATGGCATTTACAGGAGCAGGATTTGACGGGTGACTATCTGACCATGTACAGTGGTACCTCTAGTTACGAACTTACCGTACTTGGTTCCAGAGGTCCGTTCTTAACCTGAAACTGTTCTTAACTAGAAGGGTGCTTTTGCTAAGCGCTCCAGCACATGGTTTCCGTTCTCATCCTGGGGCAAAGTTCTCAACTCGAGGTTACTCTTCCAGGTTACTGGAGTTTTTAACCTAAAATGTTTGTAACCTGAGGCATTTGTAACTCGAGGTACCACTGTATTGGCCTGTTATCAAAGTGGTCCTTTAGCAAAATGAGTTGCTGATGCAAGTAGGAAGAAAGGGAGATTGGAGTGCAAGGATTTTTTTTTTTTAATGCTTTGTGCGTCTGTGTCTAATCTTGCCACTTTCTAAAATGTATTAATTGCTGTGTGTGTTTTCTCTTTTCGTAAATCTACTAAATAATAAAATAATTTTAAATCAGGGTTAAGGGGTTTTCTCAGGACAGTGTAGAGCATGTGTGCTGTGTCTCATTTGTGGCACTCACCCTCCTCCTGATAGGAAATGCTCCGGTTGAGGGGGGGGATGCGACAAAACGATGATGGGTCAAAGAGGTTTAGTTGGGGAGAGTGAGAAAAATCCTGAGGAATGTTGGAAGGTATGACAATGTCTGAATAGGGCTTATGTTTGTGAGAGAAGGAGTGCTATGGCTGCTTCTGGGTTTCCTTGTGCACTGGGGCCCTATATGTCTGCTTAAGCATTGCTTTTCTCCTTACTCCTTACTACTCCTTACTACTGATGAATTGTTCCTTAATTGTCCTGTTATTAACCAACTCCTGCCAGGAGGAGTGTGTGTTAATTACTGATTTCTTTTCACTTTTTAAAAATATTTTTTGTGGGAAAGTACTATTTTACTATAAAAATAAGGCAAAGGGAGGAAATTTTACAGTCTTAATAATAATAATAATAATAATAATAATAATAATAATTTTATTCTTTGTACCCCGCCCATCTGACTGGGTTTCCCCAGCCACTCTGGGCAGTTGACACAATATATTAAAACATAGTAAAACATTAAACCTTAAAAAGCTTCCCTATACAGGGCTGCCTTCAGATGTCTCCTAAAGGTTATATAATCACTCATATGCTTGAGTGGGCACCACTACTGAGTATTAACACATAGTGTGTTAATACTTAGTAGCTAATGTAAAATAGAATCAATGTGAAATTGTGCTGTTTTACTATAAAGATAAGAAAAAGGGCAAAGTGAAATGAAACCAGTAGTTTAACACTGTGAGGAACAAGAAAATGGGAGCCTTAAGGGGAAATTCAGCAGTTACTTATTAGAAATGCTAGCTGTGCTGGAGGAGGCAATAAGAAAAAGAGAACGCTATGCCTTCCAGAAAGGAAACTTCTAATTAAATGCACAGAAGCACTTTAAAGCATCAACACAAATTCACCATTTTACATTGGACAGGCTTGTGCCTACAATTGCATATTTTTTGGTGGGGAGGGTGGCAGCTACAAACTATATCTTGGGACTGGGGGAATAAGAGGGCAACACAGACAATTCTAGACTAGACTAGTGATGACATTGCCTTTCATCCAGATTAAGTTAATTTATTTTAATTCCGATCAAAATCAATGGGTAAAATTAGTCATGACTAAAATTTCATTTATTTCAAAAGGGAACTATGCAATTAATTCATTCTGGATCCAAACCATTGTCTGGTTAGTATAAAAAGTGAGTTTTAAAAGATGGCAATTCCAGGCTACACAGCACTCTCCCATTTCTTTTCCAAATTACTAAATCCATGCCTAGTGACCCCAACACAGGGATTTCTGAGATTCAGCATGGAGATTGGTGTATCACACCCATGCACTTCATCAAAATGTGAGGCCATTTGTCACATAAGGACACAACTTGCAGAGAAATATTCATTCTAAGAATGTGAGTCCCACAAGAGGGGTTTAAAAAGTAGTTCTCATAGCCTTATTATCTCTACAAATTACTTCTTATTGAGCATCCATAATTCCAGTTACCATATATGACTATCTAAATTTTTTATTTATTGGTATATCTTGCTTTTAATGCTATCTTTATCTCTTTCCACATTCTTTGCAGGATTCTTTTGGGATTTATGCATTACTGTACATAAATCAGAAAATGCTTCATTGCAAAAGCATCAACAGCTGTCTTCCTGTAAAAGCTAAAACAAAGATCAAAATGTATGTTAAACAAATTACTGAGGAAATACAGTATTTCAGTGACTTGTGCGATAGAAAAGAGGCTCTTCTACCAGTTAAGAAACAGAGATTAAGATTCTCAAGAAACAAAATTCTGCTGCTTTTTATCTTTTATACCAGAATGGGAAACTTTTTTCAGTCTGAAGGCCTCATTCCCCCCCCCCCCATGAGCAGCTTTCCAGGAGATACATGCTAGTCGTGGGAAGGGCCAGAAGCAAAAAGTGAGGAGACTAATTGATGTAGATCTTACCTTTGTATACAGTGTTATATTCCAGCAGCCAGCCATGCACAAGTCTAGAGATTTTTATGCACCCAAACAAGAGGCATTACCTTTTCACAGTTCAAGGACACATTCCAGCCAGGTGGAAGCACCTGAGGACATGCAGCAAGGCCACTGGGAGAACCCACAGGGCCAAACAAAGGAGGTTGGAGGTCCATATTTGAACCCCAAGTCTGAAGATCCCTGCCCTTGGCTAGATAATCCTCTGGGTCTCTTCCAACTCTATGATTCTATGTGTCGTAATCATCCATCCAGAGACCTGTGAGGGACTGTTTCAATGACTGTTTCAACTTTCTAGAGTTTAAAGTCATAAACTGACTCTTCAAAGATAAACTGAATTGCTTTTAAAAACACACACATCACAAAATCTCTTTAAAATTTATAATGTGTGATGCTTTTTGTTTTGATTATGATTCAGGCCCTTTATCCACACACTTGAGTTTGTTTTCCGAATCTTGTCGTGTGCTCTGAGAAACTGAAGTTTGAGGCAAGTATCTGCAATTAATTTTGGCTGCAATCTTGGCCTGCAATTTAGGCTTATGAGATCTGAGCAGGGATCTGTGCTGAATGAGACACCAGAAAGCTGGTTAACTCATTGCATGAGTGGATTTCTGGTCGATATATTAAATAAGAATTGGCCTCTTTTGTGACTCTCTCAAGGCACACACTCCTTGGCTAACTAGTCAGAGCAGGAGGGGTGGGAGCTATAGCAAAACGGTGCTGTCCCTCACAGGGGAGAACAGAAAGGCTGCTTGGAAAATGCAAAGACCCCAGAGGCTGCCACTCCTTGTCCTGGAGTCCCATTATAGTCTGGTGACAGTTTCTGATTGTGCAAAAGCAGAGGTCAATGCACACACAAACACAGTGTGTGTGTGTGTGTGTGGCTGCCATGTGAAGGAGGATGCATCACCACTGTGAGCAAGCAAACAGGAGATAGAGAAGCAGGTAAAGCCCCCCCAAGCCAAATCTGCTGTTCCTTCCAGAGTGCTGCTTGGTAGCTTTGGCCCTGGGCTGAGAGAAGTTGGGGGGTTGGGGGTTGGGGGGGGGAGTCATAAGTGGCAGAAGGTCTTGTGTCTGCTTCTTGCCAGCTTTTTCTCTGCTTAGTGTCACATATTTGTCTCTCACATGCACTTTATGGGCATTTGGTGGCACACTGTAAAAAGGTGGTTCGGCCACTGTTCATTCCCCACCACCATGGAAGTGCATCTGACACCTTCATTGTATAGTTTTTTGTCATGAGTTGTGGATTTCCCTCCCCATCTAGCTTTTAAATTATACCGCTTTTAGCAAATGTTGAAGACTCACTTCTTTACCCTGGCCTTTGAAACCTGAGATGTGTGTTTCGGGGACTTCCCCTATTTTTGTGATTGTAATCTGTTTTAACTGTTTTTAATTCTTAATTTGAAATGGTTATAAGCCACCCTGGGACCAGCTGGTGGAAGGCAAGTAATAAATGCAAATAATAATAGGTTGAAGATATGCCTCTTTCCATTCTTAAGGAAATGAGCCCTGAATGCTCACTGGAAGGACAGATCCTAAAGCTGAGGCTCCAATACTTTGGCCACCTCATGAGAAGAGAAGACTCCCTGGAAAAGACCCCGATGTTGGGAAAGATGGAGGGCACAAGGAGAAGGGGATGACAGAGGACGAGATGGTTAGACAGTGTTCTTGAAGCTACCAGCATGAGTTTGACTAAACTGCGGGAGGCAGTGGAAGACAGGAGTGCCTGGCGTGCTCTGGTCCATGGGGTCATGAAGAATCGGACACAACTCAATGACTAAACAACAACAATGCCTCTTTACCCTGACCTGGGATAGCTCAGTTGGTGGAGCAGGACGCTCTTAATCTCAGGGGCCTGGGTTTGAGTCCCATGTTGGGCAAAAGATTCCTGCATTACAGGGGGTTGGACTAGATGACCCTCGTGGTCTCGTCCAACTCTACAGTTCTATGATTCTCTCTCTCTCTCTCTCTCTCTCTCTCTCTCTCTCTGTGTGTGTGTGTGTGTCTGTTTTAAACTGGTTCTTCTGAAATTTAGCTCAGTTGCAGCATTAAGGGGCAGTCTTGCCCACATACCTGCATTTCAAATCACATGTGACTTTACCTCCTAAATCTGTGGATATTGTGGAGTATAAAACATAACCACAAAAATGCTCTTAAAATGAACTGCTTATATCAAAGAACAGGCCTCGGAACCTCGGTACGCATCTTTCCTTCCCTCACTAAAATCTCTCCCCCTTCCCCCCACAACATGAAACAACTCCCCTAATTCAGCTTCACATGTGGAACACCTGTGGAACACACCTTTAATCCTTAGAGCAATTACTTAAATAGCTTGCATTCCTCTTCTGTGTTGTCAATTGGGAATAACTGTAGGATAAAACCTTAACAGATGTGGTATTATCAGCAGACCGTGTCACTTTTCTTTTATGTTATCTCCCGTAAACTAGCATATCGGCTTGACAGTTGTGCTTAGCTACAAAAGAAGAAAAGAGTAAAATATGTAATCCGGAATAGCCAGAAGAGAATTTAAAACATTCTGTCTGTACAGATAGAAAGCTTTCCAAAGCAGACTATGAACCTGTTGGAAATTGGTGCCTATTACATCACTGTTTACATGGCATAATTTTGTAATGGTTTTGCAAAGCAAGCGTTCAGCTTAACCTTCAAGGATCTTCAACATTTTTGTTAAATAACTTAATTACTGTGATTATAAATTTATATCATCAAATATATACCACGCTGGGAAAATTGTTTCCAGCTGCCCACTCCTTGCGTTTGGAAACCTTATAATGGGTGTGGGAACCTTTGGCCTTCCAGATGTTGATGAACTACAACTCCCATCAGGCTTGGCAGGCTTACTAGGGCAGATGGGAGCCGTAGTTCAACAACATCTGGAAGGTGAAAGGTTCCCCATAAGAAGATTCAGTAGGAGAGGGACTATGAGTTACCGCATGACTTCAGCAGCTGCCTGAATGGCAAAGTGAAAGGGGTAGTGATACTTTGTGGAAGCTGAGGCCTAGATACAGTATTTGATCAGACTAACTTGATTCTTGGCTAATTTGTAGCAAGCAAAGCAGCAGTAACAGAAACATCAAGGACAAAATCTTTAAACTCAATTGTTTTGCTACTGCCTGGAGGCGTAATGTTGCTATATTTATAGTACTGAAAAGTTGTGGGGTGGGGATTGTTCGCTGTTACATTTGTTATATACTGTATTGCTGTTGTTATGAAATTACTCCTGTAATTGTTGATTTTGTGTGTTCTAATTGTTTGCTGCTTTGACAATATGTTGTCTGTGGACAAGCAGTGTGCAAATAATGGGGTGGTGAGGATGGTGATAATATATACTGCTACGATTAGAGAGAGAAATCCAAACATGATATCAGACAGAATGAAGGGGATATAGGCAGATCTCCACCTGAGCTGAAGTTCCCCATTCTGGCTCAGCCAGAGAGACATCAGTGTAAATCCTCCATCTCAAAAATGGCTCAACTAAGGCTGAGGTAAGTCTGGACAAAGTGTTTGCTTTTTTAAAAACAGTTTATAGGGTCTATTTACAATCAAGTAGTATGCAAAGTTTGTTAAATAAAATAACTATGGATTGTCTACTTTCCCTTTAGCTCTCTTTCTCGCCTATCAAAGAACCTGTATGTTTTACTTCAGGATGCAGACACACCTGGTTAACAGTATTTCCAGAGATGAGGAATCAGCAACTGCATATTTATTTATTTAGCCAGAACAGGAAAGGGGATGCATGACAAGATAGCCCAGAATTCATGTGCCTGCTGCCCTCCAGATGTTTTGAACTACAACTCCCATCAGCCCCATGATGGGAGGCTAACAAGCAGGATTTGAGGGGAAAGTACTCTCCCTCCTGTGGTTCCCAGCAACTGGTATTCAGTAGCATTGCTTCCTCCAACTATGGCTGGCAGAGCATAGCCATCATGGCAAGCAGCCATCCATAGCTCTCTCCTCCATGAATTTGTCCAACCCTCTTTTGAAGCCATCCACTTGGTGGACATCACTGCCTCCTGTGGGAACAAGTTCCATAGTTTAAGCTATGTAAAAAAAGTACTTCCTCTTTCTGTGTTCTGAATCCTCCAAGAATTCAGCTTCATTGGATGCCCACAAGTACTAGCATTAGAGAGTGGATACTTTCTTCATGCATAATTTTATAAACTTGTGTCGTGCCACCTCTTCTCTGAACTAAAACGTCCTGAACGCTGCAAACTTTCTCTATAGGTAGAGTGACAAATGCATGCAAAACAAGCACTGTTAAAAGTCACAACAGCAGACATTGGTGACAACAGTAATCCTTGAGAAGCCATGAGCTTCTCTTATTTTTGGCTGGGGCAACCCAGCCACATGGGTGGGGAATAATAATAATAATAATAGTTGCATGTGGGTAGCCGTGTTGGTCTGCCGTAGTTGAAACCAAAAAAAAATAAAAAAAAATTCCTTCCAGTGGCACCTTAGAGACCAACTAAGTTTGGAATTGGTATGAGCTTTCGTGTGCATGCATGCTATCTGAAGAAGTGTGCATGCACATGAAAGCTCATACCCAGAACAAACTTAGTTGGTCTCTAAGGTGCTACTGGAAGGAATTTTTTTTATTTTGTTTCAATAATAATAGCTGCTGCTGTGCTACCCTTCAGGCATGTATTGTCCCTCAAGGAAAGCTTTCTAATAAAGCTTACTGTGACAATAGTCTGCTCTGCCTCTCCTTTTTTTTTGGTAAATGTTTTGTGCCACGGGGGAAGCGGTAAGTCTGTACTGTTATGTTATGGATGTTTGTATGTGATGCCAATAAAAGGTTTGATGATGATGAATGAAGCTTATGCGATTCTTCCATTCCGTCCCCGCTTCCTTAAGAACCCCGATCCTCCCCTTTAGCAGTTTTGCCTTCCCCCCGTTCATCAATTCTTCCTTCCTCTTTGGGAGCAACGACTGGAAGAGCACGCCAGGGCAAAAGGCTTCGCCAGAGGCACCGCGCATGCTCGACTCTTCTCCCACTTTCGCCAATGATGCGCTGCTTCTCTGACGCTTGTCGGCGGCGGCGCGCGCTCTCCTCCGGGCCAGCTGGGGCCTCGCCGCGCGCTCCCGCGAGCACTGTTAGACGTGGCAGTTCACTGAGCGCTCCCGGGCGGGGAGAGCGAGCGAGCGAGCGGGAGAGGCGGGAGCCTGGAGCCGGCTGCCACGCTCTCCCTCCCTCTGACAAGCGCCTGCTGGACCCGCTTGGAACGGCGCGACCCGCGGAGCCTCCGCGCGGCGAGAAGGGCGGACGGGAGCGCGGGAGACTGGCCAGGTGAGGGGGCCACCTGTGCCCAGGTGGGGAGGGGGGAGAGGCGAGCGTCCTGCGATGGGGGGGGGCGCATCCTGGATGTTTTGCTCAGTGAGTGGAGCTCCTGTCCTCCAGGGAGCAGGAGGGAGGGGAGCATCCCAAAAGAAGGAGCAGCACAACGGCTGGAAGGATCCCAGGATGAGCCACGAATTTTGTAGATTTGGCATAGGGGGAGTTCTATGGGGAGGAGGAGAGGGGTGTCCCAGCACGAGAGGGGACTGGGGAGAGTTTATCCTTCTCCCACAGCAAGTTGGGTGCAGTTGCGGGGGGTGGTCGCCAGGATCTGAGCAGCACCAAGGAGGCACCTCCAGCCTTCTAGGGACTGGCATAAGTCGATGTAAATAGCAGGAGTGTCCAGCTCTTCTTTGAGATTCGGGAAGGTTTTGGTTTAGGGATTTGCTGTATCCTTACAGACAGTTTTAAATTTGTTTAACTTTTTTTTTTTTTTTAGAAAGTTGCCTCCATTAGTACAATGGTAAGGTGCTTAAAAAATACACACACCATCACCTGTCTAACTAGCACCTAATTTTGCAAAGCTTCTGTGGTTTTTCTAGATTGTATAGGCATTGAAATTTTGACAGAATGCATCTGGGCTGTTTAGGTGGGCACAGGATTTTCTGTGTGTGATGAGTCAAAAGTGTGATGTTGGCACCTTGGCATATTGGGAGACTGTTCTTGCCATGCACATCAGGGTTGGGCAAATCAGCCTAATCACCATAAAAGTTGCATGCTTCTTCCCTTCCTTTTTATAATCTTGGGTTGCCCACTGACACTCTTTTTGATGGGTTGTGTAGTCTTTTGGTAAGCATCTTAAATACTGGGGGCGCTGGAAAGAGATTGCACAACTGCTTCACCTTCACCATGCGCCCATCATTGTAGAATACAACACAACCACAAAACATCTCACCTGTTGATCATGGGAAACTGATGTTAATTTCAGAAACTGCCACTGTCCCCAACAATCTCCTTCTGATTTACTTCTAGTATAGCATATTCTAGTATAGTATATTCTTCTGGCATAAGAAGAAAAGGAGACTCGTAGAGTTGGAAGGGACCACAAGGGTCATCTAGTCCAACCCCAGGCAATGCAAGAATATTTTGCTCAACATGGGACTTGAACTCACAACCCTGAGATAAAGAGTCTTATGCTGTACCTACGGAGCTATCCCAAACAGTTGTAGCATTTATTATTTATTATTATTCCTTATTACGTTTATTTGCCACCTTAATTTTTCAAGGATCTCAAGGTGGTGCACATGGTTCTCCTCCTTTCCATGTCATCCTCACAACAACCCTGTGAGGTAGGCTAGACTAAGAGATGGTGACTGGCCCAAGGTCACCCAGTGAGCTTCATGGCCGAGTGGTTTGTTGATTTAACCTGATTTAATCATTTTTGTTGATTTTTAGATCTTCCTTCCTCCTTGCTCACCATTCCAGCCTATACGACATGTGTGATATGCTTATGAATGAAGGCTCTTCCTAGTGTTTTTGTGGAAAATCATGACATGGGTCAGACATCACTGCTAAACCAAAGATCTGTCACCTGGGCCATGCCTTGGACTCACAAAGCCCCACTTTATCCTTTACTTCCTGGTTGGCAGTACTTATAGTTTGCTGTGATGTCCAAATCAGCCAAAGTAGTTACTGCAAGCTATAGTTTACCACAATACCAGAATTGCCACAAAATCATGGCTTGAACTGGGCTTCTAAAACAGTTTTGTGAACATCTGTTTTTGGCAGTAATCATATTTTGCTTGATTTGGATGTGGAAGAAAATGAGGAGTAGGCGAGGGAACTGGGGTGCACAAGGAGAGGAAGATGGAAGTATCCAAGCTCCAGGTATGGGCCAGATCACAAGGTGATTTAGCTGTGATAGCTAAACCTGGCCTAAGCATGACTAGTTCCTTCTATGGTTTGCAGTCAATCACCTCTTTCAGCATGACTTTGGGAAGTCTACCTGAGTCCAATCATTCGACCGCACTGGTAGGACTAGAATCCCTAATAAATTTAGACATATCCTGGAGGTAGATGAAATGGCAAAGAGTACTTCCGGTTGGCCCAACAAATTATATAGGTGTAGAAAGAGTTTGTGACACATGTTTTTGGACACCTTGGAATAGGGAACTTCTGTCTCTTTGGGGAAGGGCAGTAACTCGATGGTGGAGCATCTGCTTTGCATGCAGAAGCTCCCAAGTTCAATCACTGCTACTTCCAGTTAGGGTAGGGAATGCCCCCCGTCTGAAACCCTTGGAGAGCCACTGCCAGTCAGTGTAGACATTACTAAGCCAATGGCCCACTCCACATAAGGCAGCTTCCTATCTCAAGTGGCCAAAACCAAATACATGGTTTTAGTACTGTTTTGTGTGCCCTTTGTGATTATGAGGAATGGGTTAATTATACTGAAATCTGATGTACTTTGCAAAATAGGGTTTTACTTGTACTTTGTATTGTATTTGTTTTGGGGGAAAGGGTGTGGTTTATTAAACCACCTATGTTATCTGTAATGTGTTTGGAAGTGGATATAGGCCACTAAGTCAGCCGTACTATGTTTGTATTTCTAAGAGTTTAGAGTCTATTTAGTTGTGCATAGGAAGTCTGACGTGGCACACTGTCTTTCCCTCCTACTGAACTGTGCAGGAAGTTGTTTCCTTTAGATACTATCAAAGCTAAGAGCATTACCTAGTCCTACAACAATTGCCCTGAACTTCATTCTTTATACTGACAATGAAAATGTAGTGTAGGTGCTTTCATGCTGGCTGCTAACTAAACTTGCTGAAGTGACCGGGTTTTAGACTGCCACGTTTCAGTCTAACCAGAAGGAGGGAAAACACCTTGGCACTGGGAGAAACCTGATGTGCCTATGTGCTTTCTTTCCTATTTCGTTTTCTAAATCTTGTAGATTAAAAAGATTCCAAGAAAGGATTTGCAATTTTATATATGCATGAAACTTGAGAGGCTTGGGAATTTTTTAAACTGGAATTTGTTCAGTTAATAGAAACATTCAGTATAGGTAAAACAAAACAAATATTTCAACAAGGGGGGGAAGTAGTGTACATTGCAGACCAGACATCTACATTAGCATCCATAATCCAGAATGATAACATTGATAAATTAACACTCTCGCTGTGCGTCCTATATTAATATTCAGTGAGATATCTCCATTGCATTTGGTAAAGATTTGTTGATACCTTTCCTTATGCACACCTGAAAGTTAGCAGCATAAGCATATATACACACACTATCCACAGAAGAGTTAGTTTTTTTAAAAGCAGAGCAGATATAAAGCATTTTTTAATGCGTTTTCACCCTAACACTTTTTACTAGTGGTGTTTCTGCATATATATAATATAGGTAATATTTCTTCCAAAAAAGTTGATATACTCTTTCAGCACATTGAATTATTACAAGCCGTGTGCACCCGGAATACACCCATGTTGATTTCACACACAGAGAGACACTCAATCCCGCCAAATGGCAATTGAATATGGTAGCTAGGCCTGCGTGATCTTTGCTACCTTAATTTTTATCTTGGCTAAGTTGGAAGTAGATAATGGCTGTAGTTATAGGGACTGAAAGTGATAATTGCAACCCTGGTACAGTTTTTTCTAATGCCACGTCATCATACTTACTTTTTTATTTGGAATTTCCCCTCTGTACTTCTAGTTTCTCTCTGAAGAGCTAAAATGTTAAGTAGGAGATGTTATTGGGCAGGTGATTTCTTTGGCTGCAGTTCTTCTGTACATGCTTTTTTGGGAGTTAGCCTCATTGAAATCTGTGGGACTTGCTTCTGAGTAAACTTGCATAGGCTTGAACCATTAGGTCACATTTGTCATCTTTACTGCCTTCCATCACTGTAACCACCATTGTAATGTACTCTGTCATGTTTACTGAGTCACACAGCATGACCCCATCTGCATTTACTCAATATGCTGTATACACACCATACCTTTAAAGCACCTTCTTTCCCTCAAATAATTGTTTGTTAGCATTGTTTGTTAAGGGTTGCCAGGAACTGTAGCTCTGTGAGGGATGAACTTCAGTGCCCAGAATCTTTTGAAGGAACGAATGTGCTTCTAATGTGCTTTAAAGGCATCGTGTACGCGGTCAAAAGTAAGCCTTGTCATGCTCAGTGGGGCTTAACTGAGAGCCAGTGTGAGTAGTGGTTAGAGTGCTGGACTAGGACTTGGGAGGCCAGGGTTCAAATCCTCACTCAGACATGAAACTCACTTGGTGAATTTGGGCCAGTCACACAGTCTCAGCCTAGCCTACCTCACAGGGTTGTTGAGAAGATAAAATGGAGATGGGAAGTGTGTGTATGCCGCCTTAGGCTCGTGGGAGAAAAGGTGGGAAATAAATGCAAAAATTAAAGAGTAAAGGGGCAAACCATTGCAACCCTCAAGAAGAAGTGGAAGAAGAGTTTGGATTTGATATCCCACTTTATCACTACCTGAAGGAGTCTCAAAGCGGCTAACATTCTCCTTTCCCTTCCTCCCCCACAACAAACACTCTGTGAGGTGAGTGGGGCTTAGAGACTTCAAGGAAGTGTGACTAGCCCAAGGTCACCCAGCAGCTGCATGTGGAGGAGCGGAGACGCGAACCTGGTTCCCCAGATTACGAGTCTACCACTCTTAACCACTGCACCACACTGGCCTGAGTTACTGCCTGAGTTACACAACTGGAAAAACATGTCTGGATTACACTTGCAGGACTATATAACTCCTGATATGGTTGAGTTTTTTGTGTTTTGACTGGAAGTTGGAGACTAGATTGTGGTATACTCAGTATACATAATAAGTATTGGCTGCCACGGTGCCCAGTTATGGGCCAGGTCTCATGGCTGTTGGTGTGTGGCTCTTGGACTCTGTGTGTGTGTGTGTGTGTGTGTGTGTGTGCGTGCGTGTGTGTGTGTTGGTTACCTACCGATGACCACTTAGTTGTGTGAAGCAACTGCCATGGATGGGATCATGCCTTTTGAATCTTGTGGTGGCAACTGTTTGAAAAGACAGATTTTGCAGCAGTGTGCAAATGAAGGTCCATAGGCAGGGAAAATGACCTGAATGAGGAATATCAGGGGCTTCTGTGTGCTCAGTGACTATGGAAACTGGCCTTACTTTAGAGCAAATATTTAGAAAAATCAGTGAGCACTGCAGTGTGTGCCCATGCACATGTGTTGCAAATTCCAACAAAATGTAAGCACGGCTGGATCCACTTCATAAAGTGCTCCTGGCAAGGTCAATCACTAGATTTTGAATTCTGTTGTTCCCTGGTATAATACAGGTGACAAGGATAGCTTTGGGTTCAGAATGTGCAATGGAAAGACCCAAAAGTGCAAAATAGGGGAAGCTTGGTGTTCCTACTGTGAGTAGAGGGTGGCCCATTAGTGTGGATGGGGCAATGCCCCACCAACCTGTCTTCTTACATACAACCAGTCATGAGGAGTCTCCACCTGTCCTTGGTTTTGGCTCCACCATCTCTTAGGCTCTCTTGTCTTCTGCCCTTTCAGCCCCAATGGGCATTGTCCACCACTGCCTACTGGTATCTGATTTCCTGTTTGCATTTTCCATGGAGCTGGAAAGGCAATGGCCCTTTCTACCCAATGGTTGGATCTTTCTGGAAAGTCATCTGTATAATATTTTTAGGTGCTAAAGATAATATTATCGTGTCAAAACCGTATGGGTTGTCAAAATATGTTTGGAATCATCCATAGACATACCTACTTTTTTCCTACATTGTGCCACTGTCAGGGAACTGCCATCGGACGGAAGGGAGGTGAAAGGGCTCACACAGGTTGGGAGAGACTCAGCAGCTGAAGAGGGAACCAGCAGGGAGGTGAAAGGGCTCACACAGGTTGGGAGAGACTCAGCAGCTGAAGAGGGAACCAGCAGGGAGGTGAAAGGGCTCACACAGGTTGGGAGAGACTCAGCAGCTGAAGAGGGAACCAGCAGGGGAGAGGAGCTGAGCGGAGGGAAAGTGAGCTGGAGGGATGGCTCAGAGACACTTCCAGCGAAAACAGTGGGGAGGTTTCAGGACCTCCTGTAAGAACACCCACTCCTCGCCGGAAACTGTCACGCAGAGAGTCCAGAAGACGTGTTTCCGTTAAGGAGCTTTTATGTTGGAAGCGATTACGAAAGCAACCACTGTCGGAATCTGCTAGTGACTAGAGGAGCCATGTC